GCAGCAGTGATTTGACCAGGACACCAGTCAACATCTAGTTGAATGGATGGGGACAGTGGTTATCAGGGACTTCAACACTTGCGGCTCATGGGTCTGGAAGGCTGTAAAATGCCAATTTAACTTGTGCTTCTTGGAACGGATTAGGATGCTCAGGTCAGAGCTAAACAGATAATCAAAAATGGCAAATTACTGGAAACTATGTCCGAATGGTATAAACTGCAAAGGGATCATCCAATCTACTGTGTGATTTCCCCCACCTTTACAAAATTGAAATAAGTACAAGTAAATTGCTGTTTCCCCTACCAGGAATACACAGATCCTGGATTGTGGGAAGGGAGGAGATGTAAATGAAGGGTAGGAATTGCATGTCCTGCACTTGTGTGGATGGGAAAAGGATGTTGTCGATAAATAGAAACAGAGATCCCAAAGTGTGCTGTCTGATGGCCTCAAGTGTGCCCAACTATGGCCTTGAGCCAGTTTCTGAAATTTGGGCTACAGTAAACAGGATCTTAAGGGGTATAGACTCTATGAATGCTCTTTAGGAACACACATGCTGGATTTACAAAGATTGTAAAACATCAAAAGCAGAAAACCCTGGCTTTTCCTAATCCCTAGGTCAGCAGTCATGCTTCAGTGATTCCATAGGTCAACTAATTTGATCCAGCATTGGATCTTTGGTCTGTGGCTTCAGTAACACATCTTTTGACTGCAGCTTAAACCCGTGTATTTTTTCGAGTTTATTTTTAATTTCTGTACTTTGAATTCAAAACATGAAACGTATTTAATCACATGGGTTTAATTTCAACTGATATAGGTAACCTGAAGCTTGTCATTTTGCTGTTTGCTGCAGGATTATGGTGCTAGTTTCTTAGCTTTGGCAGTTGATATCTGTTTTGCAACATAATAACTTGTTGCTAGCCAACAAACTGATGAGTGGGAAGGGGCATAGCACCCGTCACCTGCCAGATTTAGCACCATTCAGCTCTGAGAAAGCCCATCTAATTAATCAAAAGTACCATGGTATTTTAGCTCAAAGTCCTCATTGAAGAAATTATAGAGATGTAACAGTCCTGAGAGCAGAATTAGTGGAAGAAAGGCGTTTGTGAAAAGAGCAGAGATGACAGAATATTCCAGAAGGCGGTCTGTGCGAACTTGGAGAGGTTAAGTTATAATTCAGTGTTCTCTAATTAATTGGGCTTTTATTAGTGGGCCTAGTGTTTATTTGAACAGTATTCCAGTAGAGTTTAGACCAGTTAGGAAATAGTTAGTCAAAGGGGGAATTGTTGGTTTGGTAGTAATTCTGCTAATTTGTTCACTGGGTTAAATAAATTGTTTTTTGTTACTTGTAAAGTGGGGATTAGGGATTTTCTTTCTTTCTAACTACTCTTTTAATAAATTACGAGGGGCAAGATGACCTTTTGAGTGTTTCAGGGATAATTATTAGAGGGAATCCCCTACTCCTGGCATTACAGATTGGGGCTTGTGTTTTAGTTTAATTATCAGAGGGGTTTGGCTATTCTCCCTCCGTAACAGTGTAGCGTTCCACATCCTTATTAATCACTATTAGTTTGCCATTTTCACTCCCAGAGGACTAACATTCACTGCTTTTTTTTTCATTTTTTAAGTACTTGTAGAAACTCTTGCTACCCTTTTTCACATTTGTAGCTGACTTCTTACATTTTTTCCCTCCTGATTCACCTTCGACTTGTTCTGTTTTCTTTTAAAATTTTGTCTCATCATCCAACCTGTGCAGTGATATGCTTTTTCCTCGAGTTTGATACTTCGTGTAACCACTGGAAGTTAACTACGAATGGTGGGCCCTTGCTTTGGAATTTTTAGAATGTACTTATTCTGAGTGTTTTCCACTATTGCTGTTGATCTATCTCTTAGCCTGGAATGCCAGTTTTCTTGAGCTATCTCAGTTGCCCTTTCTAAAATTTACAATACTCGTCTTCAACCCAATATTTCTTCTCAAAATGAATGTAAAATTCAATCATATTGTGTTCACTGCTACCTGGAGGTGTCTTAACCCTAAGGTCTTGAATTAAACACAAAACCAAATCTAATGCAACCTGGTATAGAGCTGGATGAACACAGCAGGCCAAGCAGCATCAGAGGAGCAGGAAGGCTGACGTTTCGGGCCTAGACCCTTCTTCAGAAATGCCCATTGGCCTGCTGCTTGGCCTGCTGTGTTCATCCAGCTCTACACCTTGTTATGAGATTTTCTAGTATCTGCAGTTCCTACTATCTCTAATGCAACCTGCCCTGCAGTAATTCAGGAATGTGCTGCTCTAATAAACTATCCCAAAAGCATTCTATTAACACTTCGTCCAGGGTACAATGTACAACCAGTTTGATTTTCGTTTTACAGTTTTAAATGTAGAATTAAAGTCATGCATAATTATTGCCGTTCTTTTATCACAAGCTTACTCTACTTTTTATATACTTTGTCCTACATTGTGGCTATTGTTAGGGAACCCGTAGACTACTCCCACTTGTGAATTCTTTCCTCTACTCTAACTTGTCATCATTCAAACCAGTCCTACATCCTGATCTCCTGAATGGAGCTCATCTGGATATCACCAGGCTTCCTTTTAAAAGGAAGAGGATTTTTACTGTCGTCTGTCTGCTCACAGTCTGCAGACTGTAACGACGTGAATTATTTAGCACTTTTTTCAGAATATGATCTACTAATGATATGAGTGAAGGAGTGGAGGCTTGTGTCTCTGATTTGACAGTGGAAATTAAGTTTTGTGATTGGAGCAGGACGTTACAAATGAGAGTTGACAGACCAAGTATGGGTGTTGCGGTGGAGGGGGCGGGGGGATAATGCTCAAACTGAACAAAATCACCTTTTAAAGTGAGACAAAAGGTATGGAAGATCAAAGATTGTCCATGACTATATTTAAGGTGTGAAGGTGAGTTGCTAGATTTTGCAATCAATGGAAGGTGAATAGCCCTTATTTTTGCTCTGCTTAAACTTTCCCATGGACATTTTAATGGGGTTTTGCTCTCCAACTTGTAATTAGAAAGTTAATTTGGCACAGTGTCCTTTTGTGAGATTTGGAACAGGACAAGCAGTCGTGTATGTCATAGCCAATGAGATTGAAGCTTTTTAAATGTACAGAGTGTGAACTTAGAAGTGAAGGTTAGATTAGTTAATTCAATCCCAAAATTTGTATAGAAAGAAGCTTAAAGAAGTGGAACACGACTAAAGAAAAGGTTATTTGCATTTTTTCAAGATCTTTGAGAAAAACGTAAAAGTTTTGAAAGAATGAGGCTGTACACTTTAAAAGTTAATTTTCAGTGAAAGAGAGGCTGCTTAACAGTAATTAAGCTACCATGCTGTTTTTAAAAGAATGTACGGATACTGGACTGGATAATCCTTAATGTTTTTCTGGTCTGTGCATCTATTTCATTCATTACATGTATTAAATGCAGGCTAGAACTTCTAGGATAGCAGGTCAATTTTGACACTTAGTGATTTTTCAGATTTATCTGATGTGTGGGTTTTGCAAGTTGCAGTCCAATGATGGTAACCACTGATGGTCTTGATTTTTGAAGTAAAAATAGCTCCCAAGGTTGTAGCTTGCAGAGAAATTAAGGGAGAATTCAAGTTAGCTGTGTAGTGTTATTGGGTCAATGTAGTTAATCTGGATATTCAGTAGACAAGCGTGTAATGTTAGCTTTGAGAAACCTATGTCTCTGATTTTGATGGATGTCTATTTAGCAATTAGCAAGATGTATTATGTATCATTGTGGTAGTAGGTAAAATATGATGGTAAATGGGTGTGGAATTTTGCAGAAGACCATTATATAACTGGTCTCCTTGTCTGATACATGTATTGCCCTGGATATGTAAGCATTCACATGTACTTTTGACTCAAATGCCTTGTTTGTGAAATAATGAATTACAATTGAAAATGTAAGTAGTGTAAGGCCAACCAAGTCATTAATGAGAATCTAAGCTACCAATCAAGGATTGAAAGCACAATCGTCAAAGTTTGCCTGTCAAGAAATAGCTACCATTTGAAATTCCGTCTGTTTGCCCGAAAACTGCCTCCCTTGGCAATTGCTCTTTTCTTAGCTCTTTGTTGACCAAGGCAGTTCATTTTTGCTTCTGGCATCTCCCTTATTCTGTATCAGTGATGTTTTGGTTTTGCATCTGGCAGAAGCCATTTGTATTTATTTTGGTTTAAATGGAATTTCATTCAGCTCGCATAAATGCCATGTTTGGGGACGTTGGGTTCATTTAGGTGAACGTGTGAGCTCGTCACTTACTCGATAAAGTTTCCTATTGGCCCAAGATTCCTGATCTGGGCCGCATTGAGCTGATACTAATTTTGACAACAAAAGAGAACACTTATAATGGATCTCTATTTAGATTTGACAAAAAAGAAATTGCCATTCTACAAATCTGTTCAAATCATAAATCATTTGATGATCAAATTGTCAGTGTGCTGCTGTCAAGCTGGTCACCTCAGTGCTGCAGGTAGCTGTGGTGGCATTGCTAGACTGGGGCATTTACTGTGTGCTAAATGATTTCAGCTTGAACATGACGATCTGCTAGAGAGTCCATGGTTTCTGACCTTGCATGAAAAGAGCTGGTCTGTTTGTAAGAAGAAACATGTATTTGATTTTCTGGATATAAGTGAATATGATTTCATGTGGGGTTATTTTGGGTTTTAATTTGGATGGGGATTAAGAAGGAGCTAATTGTAGTGAGATTACATCAGTGCCAAGGTAAATGCAGCAGCATTTTCTTCTGTTCTGCAGGGCCATGAAATTTACATGTAGAATCTTTCATTGGAAAAAGTGTTGCAGATATGAGATAGCAGATATTTAGTTTTGACATGGAAAATACTGAAATAGAAAAAATTGATTTTGAACTATTTCCAATTTGCCATCATGTGCTGTAGACTCCTTTGCCTTAATTTCTGAAGTCGAAGGGTTTTTGTAAGTTATTACTTAGTTAGCTTTCTGTTTTACTTTTATCTTAGCTTGCGTTCACTCGAGATGGACTCTGTGGTCTTTGGAATGAAATGGTCAAAGATGGTGAAGTTGTTTATGCGGGTCCTGAAGCAATGCAAAATCTTAATGACTCGTTAACATCAAAAGGTAAGAATTTAAGTGTGGTGTTAAAATAATAGCCTTTAAGCGACTGCAATATTGTGTTTCAAGGTGTTTCTGTTTTTCTGCACCGTTAGATTTTGAAATTGAAAATCTTGAAAGGGGTCTTTTGAAAATAAATGAATCCGGGCAAATTTTAAAAATAAGACTGCAGATGGATGACAATTTAAAATCAAATAAGAACAAAGTACTGTGGATGCTGGAGATTTGAAATAAAAACAATGCTGGAGAAACACAGGTCTGGCAGCGTGTGGAGAGAGAAACAAAGTTAACAATCCAGTCTGATATGATACCTCCGTTTTTTTTTTGTTCTTAAGACTTGTCAAATGCCCATGTGTCTTTTACTTAGTTCATATACAGCAATACTGAAGATTATGCATAGCATAGATGTAAGCATGGAAGTGCAGCACGGGCTGTCCTATTGTCACTTAGAATTAAAATATGACAATGGGAGTTATCAAGGTCTCTGAGTTTACTGAGACTTCTGTCCTTGACCCCATGGAAAAGCATCTGAATAGCCACGTGGCCTCCACAATGACATTACTGGGATTGTGAATTCCTCTTGTTGATTATCATCCAGTAAACTCAGTCCCAGTTCCAAAGCAGATCCTTGGTAATGCACATACATCAGTTATAATATATTAATTTGCTGACTTGTAAAGATACCATTGAACCTATTTCCCACCTTAGCATCTTTGAATGAGGTAAAAACAGTTTGGATACCATTTGTAAAAAAAAAAAAGAGAAACATTCTCTTCACCTTGTCATAGACCTCTTCCTGTCTTGGTGGTGTCTTGTTGACCCATTTTCTCCTTTCCATGTTTTTATTTACACCCAATTTACATGTCTGTCTTTGAAAACCATTGTCACTGCCTCTGTCTTTTGCTCTGGGATCCTTACAGTCTGTGTGTCCTTGTTCTTGGTTGTAGTGGTCACAAGTTTGGAAGTTTGTTTTGGAGAAACTCTGGTGAGTTTCTGTAGTGCTGATGTATCCTAAGAACTTAAGGAATTGGAGCAGAAGCAGACTGTTCCATTTTTCAAGCCAACATTGCCATTCAATAAGCTTATCACCGATTTGTCCCAGGCTTCAACTCTCTTGTTCTAAGAAATCTCATCTACCTCCTCTTTAAATGATCTAGCTTCCATAACACACTCTTGGATTGAGAATTCCAGACATTCATTACCCATGGGGAGAAGAAATCCCTTTGCATCTCAATTTTAAACGAGTGTCCCCCTATTCTGTAACTATTCTAACAGGATTCCCCACAAGAAGAAGCATCTTTTCATCATCTACCCTGCAACGTCTTCTCTGAATCTTACATTTTCTATACACTGGCGACACAATGGCTCTGGTTAGCACTGCTATCTCACAGCGCCAGTGTTTAATTATACCCTTGGGCGTGACTGCCTGTGTGGAGTTTGCAAGTTCTCCCTGTTTCTGTTTGGGTTTCTTCCGGGTGCTGTGGTTTCCACCCACAGTCCAAAGATGTGCAGGTTAGGTGGATTGGCCATGCTAAATTACCCATCGTGTCCAGGAATGTGCAGGCTGGTAGATTAGCTGTGGGGAATACAGGGTTACAGGGACAAGGTAAAGCGATGTATCTGGGTGGGATGCACTTTGGAAGGTTGGTGTGGACTCAATGGGCCGAATGGCCTGCTTCCATGCAATAGGGCTTCTATGGTTCAAATAGGATCACCCATAATTTTTATATACTCTAATGAATAAAGGCCTAACGTTTTTAGACATATGAAGTCAATGCCTTCATCCCAAAAAACAGCTGAATCAATTTTGTTTTGAATTGCCTCCAATGCCAATCTAGCTTTTCTCAAGACCGGGTCCAAATTGCATGGTACTCCTGTTGCACCCTTACCAACATGCTGTCCAGGTATAACAGGCTTCTACTTTTAAACTCCAGTCCTAGCAATAAAGACTAAGATTTCATTTGCCGTCTTAATTACTTGCTGCACTTGCATGCTAATATTCTGTTTATCATGCACAAGAACACCCAGATCCCTCTGTCCCAGTCACTTGCCTATCTCCTTGTAGATTCCTTATGTTTCCCTCTCCACACACCCTCATACCTATTTTTGTACCGTCAACAAATTTGGAATCATTGCACTCTGCTACCTCCTGCAAGTTATTAATATATATAAGATACAATTGAGTCCCTGGGATTGATCCTTATGGCACTCCCATTAGTACTGCCTTTCCTACCTATAAAAGGCACATTAATCCAGAGTGTCTGTCTTCAGTGTTAACAAATCTTCAATCAATAATCTTCAATACTGTGAGCTGCTATCTTGTAGAGTAACCTTTTATGTGGCATTTTATAGGATGCCTTCTGGAAATTCGAACTATGCCTATCAGTTCCACATTATCAATTATGCTTATTATATCCTCAAAGCGTGTTTCCTTTCACAAAACCATGTTGACTCTGTTTGGATGCACTAAGCTTTTCCAAATGTTCTGTTCCTTCTTGGCATTCAGTGAGCTCAGGAATATTTCAGCCAATACCTCCCTTTTCTTTGCAACCCTTTAAAATCCTTGGATGTAGGTCATTGACCTTTCTGCTTTGTCTGCTTATGTTGGTGGTGAAGGGTGTGACTGCTGAAGGTGATGGATGGGGTACCAGTCAAGTGGATTGCTTTTATTCTGGATGGTGTTAGCTTTTTGAAGGAGAGACCAGACTAATGGAGTTGAAGGTGGTCTGGTTATATCATTCACATTACAAAGAAAATGTAATAGGTAGCTATTGGGGAAACCTTAAGTTTTATGAGATTATAGTGGACTTATTAGGTTGGATACATTGGCTAGGCTGGAATCATGGAAACTAAGTGTTTTGGAAATGGTTATTAAATATTCTTAAAGAATTCAAAGTAGAATTGGTGACCTCCACAGTTCTGTGGTGATCACTGATGATCAGTAATTTTCCAAAAATGACAGTCTAATAATGGCACAGTATGTTGAATACATTACCTGTCCAACCCCTGTTTGAAGGTACATTTTTGAGGCATGGAACAATCAAGCATGTTTTTAATGCTTAGCCTTACAGGTGGCTCCTCCTGTTTTAAGTGTGTTTCATTACAATGCACAGAAGTCTTGTGTTCTATTCTACCGTCTTATTTGGTGAAGCAACAGTTGTATTCTGAGCCTTAAAATATGATTCTTTTTTCCCCAGAGGATAATAATGAATGTCAGGCTGGGTCAAAGAAGGATGAACAGAATGACAAAGAGAAAAAGGATGAAGAGGAGACGCCAGCATCCACTTATCGAGCCAAAACAATTATCGAGTCATGGGTTTGGGGCAGACAGCCAGGTAATAACAGTTTGAGGTCTCTTTGCGTGTTATAATACATTTTTGATCTTACTGACAACACATGTATGTTTGAGTTTTAAGATAGCAAGAACGGCTGATGCTGGAGTCAGAGTCAATACAGTGTGGAGCTGGAGGAACACAGCAGATCAGGCAGCATCAGAGGAGTAGGAAAGTCAATGTTTCGGGTCAGAGCCCTTTATTAGGACTGGGGAGGGGGAAGGTAGCTGGGAAATAAATAGAGGGAGGAGGGGTGGGGCTGAGGAAGATAGGTGGTATGGTGATAGCATATCACCATATGCTATCATATGCAGGCATGCGGTAGTGAGGATTGGTCAGTGGGAAGGGTGGGGCAGGTGGGTGGGAAAGAAGATGGACAGGTTGTATCAAGTCAAGGAGGCGGGGATGAGAGGGACTGTTAGACATGGGATGAGGCTCGGGGTGGGGATATTTTGAAACTGGTGAATTCTATGTTCAGGCCATCGGGCTGTAGGCTCCCGAGGCGGAATATGAGGTGCTGCTCCTCCAGATTGTGGTGGTGTCATTGCGACACTGGAGGAGGCCCAAGATGGACATGTCACCCAGGGAATGGGAGGTGGAGTTAAAACGGTTAGCAGCCGGAAGGTGGAGTTGATTATAGTGCACAGAGTCCAGATGCTCTGCTAATTGCTCACTATGTCTGCCTCACTGTAGGGGAGACCACATCGGGAGCAATGGATACAGTAGAACAGGTTGGAGGATGTACAGGTAAACTCTTGTCGGATTTGGAAAGTTTCTCTTGAACCTTGGATGGAGATGAGAGGAGAGGTGTAGGGGCAGGTGTAGCACCTCCTGCACCTGCAGGGAAAGGTGCTGGGTCTGGTTGGGTTGGTGGGGAGTGTGGAGTGGATGAGGGAGTTGCAGAGTGAGCGGTCCCTACGAAAGGCAGATAGGGGTGGAGAAGGAAATATTTCTTTGGCGGGGTTGGATTGCAAGTGGCGGAGGATGATACACTGAATGCAGTTGAGGGCATTATGGATCAACAGAAGGGGGACGTTGCGGTCCTTGAAGTAGGAGGACATCTGGGATGTCTGGGAGTGGAATGTTCCATCTTGGAAGCAGATGTGGCGGAAGTGACGGAATTGGGAGTAAGGGATTGCATTCTTGCAGGATGGTGGGTGAGAGGAAATGTAGTCATGGTAGCTACGGGAGTCTACCAGAGATGGTGATAGAGAGGCCCAGGAAGGGGAGGGAGGTATCGGAGATGGTCCAGGTGAATTTGAGGTTGGGGTGAAAGGTGTTGGTAAAGTTGAACTGGTCATGGGAGCATGAGGCAGCGTCGATACAGTCATCGATGTAGCAGAGGAAGAGGTGAGGGATGGTGCCAGTGGAAGAGAGACTGTTCCATGTATCCTACGAAAAAGCAGGCATAGCTCGAACCCATATGGGTGCCCATAGCCACCCCTTTGGTTTGCAAGAGGTGGGAGGAGTTAAAGGAAAAGTTGTTTAGAGTACAGACAAGTTCCCTTAAACTGATGAGGGTGTCAGTGGAGGGGGAATAGTTGGGCCTGTGGGAGAGGAAGAAGCAGAGGGCTTTTCGGCCATTTGCCTGGGGAATACAAGTATACAGGGATCGGATGTCCATGGTGAAGATGAGCTGTTGGGGGTGGAGGAGGTGGAGGGCGTGAAGAGTTCCTGGACCGGGGAGGAGGAAAAGGCAATAATCGAGGTACACAGAGGTGAGTTTAGTGAGGCAGGAGCAGGCAGAGACAATGAGTCAATTAGGGCAGCCAGGTTTGTAGATTTTGGGAAAGAGATAGAAATCGGTGGTGCAGGGTTGAAGAATGATGAGGTTGGAGGCTGTGGATGGAAGGTCTCCTGAGGTGATAAGGTTATTGATGGTCTGGGCGATGATGGTTTGGCGATCAGGGGTGGGGTCATATTGAGGGGGTGTCAGAGAGTTGGCGTCTGGCTTCCGTGATGCAGAGGTTAGTGCGCCTTATCACCACCACCCCCTCCAGCAAATCAGCGGATTTGATGGTGAGGTTGGGGTTCGAGCAGCGGGCTGCTTGTTCGGTCAGGGTCTCATCCCATGTCCAACCCACCCTGTCATCCCTGCCTCCTTGACCTGACAGCCTGTCCATCTTCTCTCCCATCTATCTGCCCCACCCATCTCAGTGACCAATCCCTACTGGTTGATAGAAAGCACGGACCAGGTAGGTAAAAAGTTAGAAGCCTTTGGCATATAACACCATTAATCATAATTCTAGTCCCCTTATAAAAATCCCCCCTTTTCACAAACATACACCCAGGAAAATTTGGTTATTCGGCAGTGGAGTAAAACTGGAAAGACAGTACAATAGTCTTTGTTCCCTCGTTCTGTTGCTGAGATGATCCTTATGACTTCTATGCTGGTCTCGACGTTACTTCAGTCGTCATCCTAACAGACTTTCCACTGGTTTGTAAGAGACTAAAGGTCATAAGTTAACTTAGCTGATAAGTCAGAGAACTTATTTAAAAGTCACAGTTTACGACTAGCGCAGGAAAGATAGACTGGTTTACTTTAGCTTTAAAACTGGTTTTGCTACTAGTGGGGAAAAAAGATGATAAAAGATTTAATGTCAGAGCACTTGGAAAACAGTGACAGGATTTAACAGAATCAGTGTAGATTTATGAAAAGGAAATCATGCTTGACAAACCTACTGGTATTTTTCAAAAAACACAAAATAATGAGACACAGTTCTGATGTGAATTTTCTGGAGACATTTGAAGGTTTGAATTTTCACGGATTTGCTTTCCCCCATCTTTGTTTTTGGAGTTTCTTTTGTTGGTTTCATTGGAGCTTACAGCAGATAACCATTTGACCATTGTATCAACTGTCCATTTTCCTGCGCTTTTCTCAGCACTTTTAAGTGCTTGAAAGAGAAAAAAAAAATCTCTCTTTATTTGCATTTGTGGTACATCCCTAACTGCCTATGAACTGAGTGACTGCTGAACCATTTCAGAGGATCGTAGAAAGTCAACCACTTTACTGTGATTGCACAGAGTCAAATGTAGGGAGAAAATATAAAAATGGCAGATGTCGTTACCTAAAGGACATTAATGAACCGGATGGGGTTTTAGGATAGTTGATAGCTTCATGGTCACCCTTGCTGAAGTGAGATGTCAATTCCAGAATTATTAATTTGTTCATTCATGACTGGGATTGCCCTGGGATTTGAACTTTTGTGCCTCTAGCATTTGCATGGATTACATACAAACATACATACAATTTATGAGCAGGATTAGGCCATTTGGCCTCTTGAGCTTGCTCTGACATTTAGTGAGAGCATGGCTGATCTGATTGTAACTCCACCTTCATATTTTTACCTACCCCTTATAACCTTTCAACCCCTTGCTTACCAAGAATCTATCCTCCTCTGCCTTAAAAAAATGTTTGAAGACCGCTTCCTCCACCACCTGAGGAAGTAAGTTCCAAGAACTTATGACTCAGAAAAAATTTAGCTCCATCTCTATCTTAAATGGATATCACCTTATTTTTAAATGGAAACCCCTAATTTTAGGTTCCCACAGCATCCTCTCCAGCCTATTCAGGATCTTGAGTGTGTTTCAATCAAGTTGTATGTTGTTTTTTTTAAACTCCATTGGGTACAAGTCTAATCTGTCCAATTTTTCTTCCTAAGACAACGCATCTATTCCAAGTATTGCTAACTCAGTGAAATTACAACTGTCACTGTGTCCCATTGACAGTATAAATACAGGGTCCAAAATCCATACCACCGTGTCCCTTCCCTCGTATCCTAACAACCTCGTGTTTAAAAACAAAGGCCAAACCCCCTCTCTTTATTGCTTTAGTGTTGATCTTAAATTTACGACCTCCATTTGAATAGAAGCTATTTTTCAGGATGTAGTCTCAAGTGAGTTTGGTGTGAGTTGTGATCGAAATGTGTTGCCCGATGTGGTTCTGGAGGCTGATTTGATAACTTTGAAAAGGGAATTAGATAGATACTTGAAGTGTCAAAATTTATAGGCCTCTGGATATAAAGCAGGGAAACTGGATTAATGGGCATCTCTGCCAGAGAGCTGGTACAGGCCAGATTGCTCCTCCTAAGAATCTGATTCTATGAATCAATTTCATCTTATCTGCTAAATTTTAATCTACTGCATGTCTTGGTTATTGTTGCTCAAATTAATAGAGCTGCAATTTCTTTAATCTCCCCTTGTGATTCATACCTCCTGATATTTTAGTGAAACTCTGTACACAGTATCCCTGGCCTTGACAACTTTCTTGCATAAGGCATTCGGAGCCTGACATAGTTATATAAATGTTGTTTACCCTGTGCATAGGTATGTGTTTCGGGTAGATAGCCATATGTATTTCAACTCTGTAGTTCCAGTTACAAAATGTATCATTCCATGTACACTTTTGACAGCCTTAACAACATGTAAGGGGAAGTACATCAAACGTTCAGCGATTTAAGAATGGTCACGAGGAGGCATAAACAACTTTACAAGGGGTACAATATGTGCAGTCTTGATTGTTTCCCCTCTAACTTATGTACTTCTGCTCAGAATGGTCAAAACCAGCCAGAGGATATTGACTTACATGACAGGCAGACATGAAATGTGACATTCTTAATTTGGTTGCATGCCAAATGTTTCACTTATTGAGCTGCAGGGTTACCCTGGACAACAGTGTATTTGGAAAGGTCACTGCTTAGTCCACGAAAACATTGAGATCTCCTGGATGCATCGTGCAGGGCTGATAATGCTTGTGGAGCAGCTGCTTGTTGCACAGCTGAAATAGAATCACAAGACCAGCCTGACAGATCTGTTAAGTGAACATTGGCACATGATAGACATCATCGTAGTACAGAGCCAAGTTATTAACTATGTAGAATAAAAACTAAAAGAACTGCAGATGCTGTAAATCAAGAATAAAAACAGGAGTTTCTGGAAAAGCTCAGCAGGTCTGGCAGCATCTGTGAAGAAACAGTCAGAGCTAACGTTTTGGGTCTGGCTCTGAGTTTTGAGGAAGGCTCTCTGGACCCGAAATGTTAACTCTGATTTTTTCTTCACAGATGCTGTCAGACCTGCTGAGCTTTTCTAGCAACTCCTGTTATTGTTATTAACTGTGTAGAAACTTACAGAATACCTTAAACTTTTTAAAAATTACGTTATAGTTTGTTTAAAAAACGTTATTCTGGTCTGTACAGTTACTTACAATTTTGGAGGTAACCCTTTGCAGCCTGTTTCCTTTATATTCATTATTTTCAAATTATCTTAACTTAGAATAAACTTTTAATGTTAAATTGTTTTGAAATCGGTTTTGTAGTTTTCAGCTTGCAAAAAAAATTCCTCTAATCTAATAAGAAGAATTTGAGTGTAAAGTGTCAGATAAGCTAATTCCTGGAAATTGCATGACAGTAAAGTTGGTGTTGCACAGCCTAGACGTGACAAAGTGATGCAAGATTAGGTAGCTGAGCACTGGCTCATTAACCATCCAGTAGCGAAAGGAACAACTAAGAATAAATATGATATTTCAATAGGCTAGACATAATAAAACCTAAAGGAGCTTATAATACTTGGGCAGAAATTAGACCGCAGTCATCTTCTATATTATTGGGGAAATAACACTTACAGATTTAGTTAGCTCCTATGTGTGCAAATTACTATTTGCTGAATGAAAAGGGTTGAACAGAATAACATGACTTGTATTTTCTGTATTCCTTGGTGGGATGTAGGCTAGGCTAGTATTTATTGCCCATGCAGGTAGGAGCCAACCATATTGCTTTGAATCTGGTGTCCTGTCTAGGCGAGGCTAGGTAAGATGGCAATTTCCTTCTCTTAAAAGATATTAGTGAAGTGGATGGGTTTTTATGATTGTTGACATGATCATTCTTTTCTTCATTCATTCATGGGATGAAGGCGTTGCTGACCAGACAGCATTTATTGCCCATCCCTAATTGCCCAGAGGCCAGATTAGAGTCAGCCACATTGCTGTGGGTCTAGAGACACATGTAGGCCAGACCAGGTTAGGGAAGTTTCCCTCCCTAAAGGACGAGTGAACCAGATTGGTTTTTCCGAAAATCGACAATGGGTACGTGGTCATCATTAGATTCTTAATTCCAGATTTTTTTTTATTGAATTCAAATTCCACCATCTGCCATGGCACAATTTGAACCTGGGTCCCCAGAACATTATCTGGGTCTCTGGATTAACAGTCCAGCGATAATACCACTAGGCCATTGCCTCCCCATATGTTTGCTGTTCAGCTAGCTTTTTCTTCCAGGTGTTGAAAATTGAATTCAAATTTCACCATCTGCCTTGGTGGGATTTGAACCCATGCTCCCAAAGCATTAATGTGGTTTTCTGATTTAGCCACAATCACTATACCACCACTTCCTTGAATGACACCCAAAAGAGTTTCAGGAACATTTCTGCCTGACAAACCTTGACCTTTTTGAAGAAGTGAATGTTCTTTGGGAAGCGATGTTCCACTAAATTGAAGTCTACCGTAAATTCCTGCTTGTGAGTTTGCAATATGAGTTTATTTCCAGAAAGAAAGCAACTGTTTGAGGAGTAGTGGAACATTTGGGAAATCCACTAATATGGATCAGGCTGGAGCCTCTATGTGCGCCTCGAAATATTTTTGAATGACCAACGGTATTAATTGTGACAAATAGGCTAAGTGCCATACTGAAGCAGACGGGGTAGTGAGAGTAGATCTAACACTTAACTTGACTGCTCCACTTAAAGTAGCAAACAACAAACAAAGGAGAATTATGTTCTACATTGCCAAGTCTGTTCAATTATCTGTGAAAGCATGAAGAGGAATTTGCAGATATTGAAGACACAAATACTTATTTCACGGTAGTTTAGAAGCAAATTTTTCTTGAGAATGGTCATCTTGTTATAATGTCAAAGTAAGCAATTTAAATACTTTGCTGCTTAGATGGTTAATGTTATTGAACAGACCATGTAGACCGTTAGTACCCAAAAAATCTCAACTGTTGCTCTCCCAATTTCTAACCCTTGCTTCCATCCTGACCAGCTTCACAGAGGCACTTGAATGGCTTACATTGGAATGAGCCTCAACTCATTATTGTTTCATGGAAGCAGTTGTCCCCTTAACCTACCAGTTTGTAACAGGTATCTTCTGGTTTTTCCTTCACAATTCAACAAGGCACAATTTCCTACCTATTGTTCAAGCTGGAACTCTTCTGTATAACTTTTTCTACTCTGCCACTCTTCGGCATGCTGCCACAGTCTCTTTGCTGTGCTTCACTCCAATTTCCCCATCCTCCACAATGTCTTTTTCTCCTCTTCTTCGCTCCAGGTTGAGATATACGTTCCCTGTAATTGTCAATTATTGTCTTTCCCTTTTCTGTCCTGTTCTTTTACCTTGTCACTTCATCTTATACTTTCTTTCTACCTCTTTATTTCCCTATTTTTCACTAAACCATTTACTGCCCCTCCTTTTTCTTTGTCTCCACTCATTTTTTTGTTTGTCTTACTTTCTTCTCAGCCTCTTCATTTATTCTCTCATTCCATTCCTTTAAAGCTTTTCCACACTGAAATTCAAAAGTGACCTTTTTATTATTATAATATGCGACTAGAAGAAATATATTAATTATGTAACAAAAACAGAATTTGCTGGAGCAACTCAGCAGGTCCAACAGCATCTGTTTCATGCTGAATTGTTTCTGCTTGTCTTTGTGTTTGTTTGGAAGGATAAGGAAAGTGAGAATGTTAAGTTGACATTGGGAACAGATGCTGTATGCTGATTTTCAATTTTAATTACTAATGTAGGAAATAAAAATTTACTTACGGTCTTCCTACAAAAGTATATTTTTTTAATTGATATTTCTTTTGACCTTGAGTCCTATGCATGTAGATTTGTGACTTTGGGGCTGTCTGGTGCTCAAAAATGCTTGATTTGCTTGAAGTGACTGTTCATTTGTTGCAATAATGTAGATTAATATATTCTTTAAATTTTCAAACTTGATCGGGGAACGTGGAAAGATGAGCACTTTTCTGTCTTGGTTTGAAGTGGGTGTCTTTCCTTTTGGATGAAAATGAAACCAGATGTTGGACATATCTGGGGCTCTATTCTAATCTGTGAGGCAGCACTAAATTGTGAAATTTTTTGCAGAGAAGGGTGCAGTAGAATAAACTGTCATGCAAGTGGTGTACATTTATGTTTCTTTCTGCAAGACCTACTGATTGCTCGTCCTTACTTTTTTGTGGTCCACGTCCATGGATCCCTCAAAGTTGCGATCCAAGTTGATAAGGTTATAAAGAAGGCGTATGGAGTGTTGGCTTTCATTTGGCAGGGGAATTGAGTTTAAGAGCCGTGAGGTTATGCTGCAGCTCTATAAAATTCTGGTTAGACCACACTTGGAATATTGTGTTCAGTCCTGGTCACCTCCTTATAGGAAGGATGTGGAAGCTTTAGAGAGGGTGCAGAGGAGATTTACCAGGATGCTGCCTGGACTGGAGGGCAGATCTTATGAGGAAAGGTTGAGGGAGCTAGGGCTTTTCTCATTGGAGCAAAGAAGGATGAGAGGTGACTTGATAGAGGTTTACAAGATGATGAGAGGCATAGATAGAGACTTTTTCCTAGGGCGGAAATGACTATTATGAGGGGGCATAATTCTAAGGTGATTGAAAGAAGGTAGAGGAGAGATGTCAGAGGTAGGTTCTTCAGAGAGTGGTGGGCGTGTGGAATGCTCTGCCGGCAGTGGTAGTGGAGTCAGATACTTTAGAGACTTTTTTAAACGACTCTTAGATAGGTGCATGGAGGATAGTAAAATGTAGCGTATGCAGGGTAGATTGATCTTAGTAGGATAATAGGTTGGCACAACATCGTGGGCCGAAGGGCCTGTACTGTGCAGTACTGTTCTATGTATTTAGTTACAGTGGTACCATGCAGCTCCGTTTTGCTTTTACTCCTTGGAAATAACTATTATTGAATTCTAATTGCAGATGTGAGTGAATTGAAAGAATGCCTACATATACTTGTGAAGGAACAGCAGACGATTGCTGCACAAGCTGCAACCACAACCCTCTCTGGGATAAGACTGAAACAGAGATTGGCAGTCCTCGACCGATACTTCATTGCACTCAGTAGAAGTGTACTCTTGGAACATACAAATGTTAAATGGAAGAGCATTAATGTACCCATGCCTGTTGCCGACAAGAAAAGGTATATTTCAAGCTAACATTGTTCCCATTTTATCAATAAGATTGAGACCATCCTTTCAGTTCCTTCTACTGTCACGTTTCCCTGTGCTTGCCATAATCTTGAAATCATTGTTCTCCTGTTTCTTTCCAATCTCCTTTTTTTGCTTTCTCTGAATGTATCTTATTCACAAGACCCACCTCTGCTCCCTTCGCTGTATTCTCTGTAACAAGCACACAGAACACTGGAGAAACTCAGCAGGTTTGGTAGCATCTGTGGAGAGAAATAGAGCTAATGTTTGATATCAGTTATACCTCCTCTTTAGAACTGAAAGGAGTTGGAAGATTGTTTCTTTGTATACTTTTGAGAAAGGCAGAGGAAGAGCAGATGGCATAGAGGCTCAGTACACAAGACACATGGGTTGTCAATAGTGGAAAAAGAAAAGAAAGATTAAAAAATGTTGTGAATTAAGATGTAAAAAAGAGAGAATTGGTCCTTTCTACTAAGTACATAGTAAATGAGACACAAATGTGACATGGCTGTGCAGTATTGGGGAGAAAGGGTGGGGGAGAGAGAATGTAAAGAAAATGGAGAACCGACCTAATGCTGTCAGTTTCTGAAATTGTTGAAATTAAAACAGAAACCTTGAGCCTCTAAAGTTAGCATGGGAAATGAGGTTGCGTTCCTTGAGCTTGCATTGCACTTCAGTGGAATGTTGCAGTGGGTCCAGAGCAGAAATGTTAGCATGTGAGCAAAGTGGTTTATTGAAATGGTAAGCAGCTGTGAGGTTAGAGGCATTACAATGGACAGGCCAGAGGTGTCCTGCAAAGTGATTACCCTGTCTGCATTTGGTATTGCTAAGGTAAAGGAAGCTGCATTGTGAGCAGCAAATGCAGTAGACCAGATTGAAAGAAGTACAAGGGAATTGCTACTTCATCTGGCCTTGGTCAGTGAGGAGGGAGGAGGTGAATGGACAAGTGTTACACCTTGTGTGATTGCATGGGAAGGTCTACGGGGGAGTCGGGAAGTGTTGGGAGTGATGGAGAAATAGACCAAGGTGTCACGGAGGGAACAGTCCCTGAAGAATGCTATTGATGGAGGAGAGAGGAAGATGTGTTTGGTTCTAGTATCTTGCTGGTGATGGAGGAAATGGCAGAGGATCATCCTTTGAATACGGAATCTAGTAGGGTCGAAAGTAAAGACGAGTAGTACCCTATTGTTCTGGAAGGAGGGGAAGGGGTGAGGGCAGAAATGCGGGAGATTGGTCTGATGTGCCTGAAGGCTCTGTCAACCGCAGTGTTTTGGGGGTTCCTTAGTTGATGAAAAAGGAGGTCTTGTCAGAGGCAACCTGATGGAAGGTGGCATCATCGAAATAGATCCGAAGGAGATGGAAAAACTGGGAGCCTTATTCCCTCTAAACTGTGATCATCTCAATTCTCTTTCCAACCTCGTTGACAAATAATTCTCTCTTTCCCCAGTATTTCGTTCTCCCTTTGGAAATTTATCACCCTGGTCATGTTGGCTCTCACGTCCTTTCAAACTATTTGCACCATCTCCAGTATCCCTTTTTCTCTTGAGAACTCCAATATGCTGACTCATATTTTTCTATCTGCCTGCAGGTTTATCTTTGGATTTTTCCAACCTAACCTTGCACTGAAACACTTCTAATTCAAATCACAAATGACATCTTCTATGTCTGTGGCCATGGTATATTACTGCTGTTTAGTTTATCTTAGTCATTGATGTGGTTGACCCCAGAGTACGTTAGAAAGATGTTTTCCCTGGCTGTGGGGTCCAGAACCCAAGGGCAGAGTCTAGGAAGAAAAGGCAAGCCATTTAGGACTGAGTTGGAGAAGAATATCTTTGCTCAGAGGGTGGTGAATCATTGGAATTTTGGGTCCCGAAGGATTCTGGAAGCTCACTTATGAAGTAAGTTCAAGATAGAGACTGATGGATTTCAGATTACTGATGACATAGAGTTATAGGGATAGCACAAGACTACTGTGTTACAGTAGATGCTCTGCCATGATCTAGAATGACTGACTGAGCAAGCTTTGAGGGGCTTAATAGCTTATTCCTGCTCCTAAGTTCCTATTGTGATACTCCAGTAATTTTCCCCTTTTTGGACTGTCCTTCAATAGTTCCATTCTTGATTATTTGAGCACAGCTAGATCTTGATGGCTCCTCTTTCTAGTTTGCAGAATTATCTTCTGGAGTCTCCCAAAAATCTATTCCTTGTCCTCATTCCTGTTGTTTATCTGCCTGCTGACTCTTGATGACATTATCAGCAAATGTGGTGTCACCTACCACATGTTGACCGTGTCCGACTCCTCCTTTCCACTATCTCTGTTGTGATCTCATCACTGTCGCTGTCCGTCACTCAGTCCTGGACAAGCCAGAGCTTCCTCCAGCCAAACATTAAGAAGACTTAAATCGCTACAAATGCTTGTCAGCGGTTCCATCCTCTTCCTGTCCATTGTAGTAGTTTGGCTTTTCATTAAAGAATTTGGAATGTTTTGTATTATTATGGTGCTACATAAGTTAATTTTCTGTATTTCTAAAAGCAAAATATCTTGATTTCAGGCTTATTATGTTTATACATATAATGGATCAGTCAGACATTTGAAGTGGAATTGCTTCTCACCATTTTCGATCGATTTTTGGTCTTTGATTTTTTTTTGTTTAAACTCCGGCCAAAATCAGTTCATGCTGTCTGTATTGAACATATGGAGGGTCAGTTTAACTTTGGGTATTAACTTCAATTTCCATTGACTTTATTGCCAAACCTTTATTCCCTGTTTTATGCTATTGCACAAAATAAAGGTTTACTGAATTGTCTTACTGACCTTGTTCACTTTGTGAATGGTTGGATGTTCTAGGCTGAAAATGTGCCTGACGACCTTCAGCAGGTCAGTATTAGTGAACTGAATTTATGCAAGGTTAATTGCAAAGACAGGTGCACATTGAAGTGGAACTGTTAATAGATGGGTATGCATAATGTTGACAGTTTTATTTGAGATTTCCTGTGCAAATGCAGTGGGATATTTTCAAAGTTTTTGACAGGTCTGAAACATTAGCATGGTATGAGGTGTGAGTTGGCTATGAGAGCTTGGGGAACATTGCTTAAAGGGAGGTACTGAGGGAAATCAGTATTAGTATGGAAATAGTGTTAGGACTTGAAGGTCGACAAATTCTTAGGCCCTAATAATCTACATTCCAGAAATATTGAGGAAGTGGCCCTAGAAATAGTGGATGCATTACTGGTCAGCTTCCAAGATTCTGTAGACTCTGGAACAATTGCTAGTTTGGAGGGTAGCCAAAGTAATATCTCTCAAGAAGGATGGCAGAGAGAAAATCAGGAGTTACAGATCAGTCTGTCTGATTTTGATAACAGGGAAAATGCTGGAGTCCCTTTTGGCAGAATTAATAGCTGAACATTTGGAAAATGCTGGGAGAATCATACAGAGTCAGCATAGATTTACATAAGGGAAAAGATGCTTGACGAATCTACTGGAATTCTTAGAAGATGTAACTAGTAGAGTTGATGAGGGGGAGCTAGTGGATGTGGTTTATTTGAACTTTCAAAGGCCTTCAGCTGCTTCATCAATGACGTTCCCTCCATCGTAAGGTCAGAAGTGGGGATGGTTGCTGAATGCTGAGCACTATTCGTAACTCCTCAGATAGTGGCTCAGTCCATGTTTAAATGCAACAAGATTTGGGCAATATCTGGACTTGGGCTGATAAGTGGCAAATAACATTAACATCACACAAATGCTAGACAATGACCATCTGCAATAAGCGCAAATCTAATCACCAACCCTTGATATTCAATGGCGTTACCATCACTGAAATCCCCACTATCAACATCCGGGGGATTACCATTGACCAGAAACTCCGTATGAATAAAGTGGCTACAAGAGCAGATCAGAGACGAGGAATAATGTGGCAAGTATCTCACCACCTGTCTACCATCTGCAAGACACAAGCCCGGAGTGTGATGGAATGCTCCTCCCTTGCTCAGATGGGTACAGCTCCAACAACATTTGAAGCTTGACATCATCCAGGACAAAGTAGCCCACTAGATTAGCCACTGCATCCACTCCCTCCACCACCAACACTCAGTAGCAGCAGTGTGCATCAAAATTCATCAAAGATCCTTAGATAGCACCTCCCAAACCCACAACCACATCCATCTCGAAGGATAAGGGCAGCACATGCTTGGGAACAACACCACCTGCAAATTCCTCTCCAAGCCAATTATCCTGACTTAGAAATAAATTGCCATTGTTTCACTGTTGAGTCAAAATCCTGGAATTCCCTCCCTAAGGGTAATGTGTGTCTATCTACAGCACATGGACTGCAGCTGTTCAAGAAGGCAGCTCACTACCACCTTCTCAAGGGCAACTAGGGATGGGCAATATATTCTGGCCAGCCAGCAGCACCCATGATCCATGAGTGAATTAAAAATCAAAGTCATAGTGTGAGGATTCAGGTACAGGAGCATGGACTTCTTGCTGCAATTATAAAGGGCCTTGGTGAGACCACACCTCTAATAGTGTGCGTAGTTTTGGTCTCCTTGCCTAAAGAAGGATGTTCTAGCTATTGAAGGAATGCAGTGAAAGTTCACTAGATTGATTCCTGCGATGGCGGGGTTGATATATGAGGAGAGGTTTGGGTTACATTTGCTGGAGTACAGAAGAATGGGGGGGCGGGTGTTGGCAGTGGGAGGGTGGTCTCAGGATTGGACAGGGTAGGTGCAGGAATGATGTTCCTGATGATGGGATTCTAGAACAAGGAGTCAGAGTAAGGTTACAGTGTAAACCATTTAGGACAGATGAGAAATTGCTTAACCCAAAAGTGGAAAGCCTTTGGAATTTGTATTACAGAAAGCAGTTGAGGTCTAAACCATCTTTGATTTCAAGAAAGAGTTGGATGTAGCACTGGGGGCTAAAGGGATCAAAGTATATGGGGGAAAAGCAGGAACAGTCCCTTGAGATAATCAGCCATGATCATAATGAATGGTGGAGCAGGCTCAAAGGATTGAGTGACCTACCCCTTCCACTTTCTCTGTTTCTATGGTAGAAATTGGTTCGATATAGTTATTAAAATTTAAACACTTATTAAAAAAGAAACTCGTGCCGGTGTTGGACTAGGATGGACGAGGTCAAAAATTACACAACACTAGGCTATAGTCCAACAGGTTTCAGAGCTCAACTCCTTCCTCAGGCATAGTGTCAGGTAAACCTGTTGGCCTATAACCTGGTGTCATGTGATTTTTGACCTTCACTCTGCCTATACAGTGGTACATTTTAACAAACAGAAGAATCCAGGTTCAGTTTTTCAGTCTGTTCATGAGCTGGTATAATTTGGGATGTAAGAATTTACTGAAGTGGCTCAAAGTCGGGTGATGGAAAAATTGGTGTGGGTTCCTTTCCAGATTGCTATCAAGTGACTTAGGAAAAGTACATGGAATTTGTCGGTGTCAGATGAGAGCAGCATCAGGTTTTAATAATGAATGCCTCTGCACTCAGCTAGCTGCTGATACTCTAAGCAGATTTACTAGTGAAGAATGGCTGTTGTAGTAAGATGATAGAAGCTAGTTGCTATTTGGAGGTACCTCTGGCATGTAAAAGTGAGGCTGCCATCGAAATCTGGTGCGTTTAGGAAGTAACAGAAGAAGAAAATGCTTGTTTTGCTTGCGTTTTGAGTATTTAAAAAAATTTGCATGCATCATTTTAACATCTTTAAAACTTTCAGTTCTAGGCCAGTTGGGAAAGGTGTTGAAGGACTTGCCAGGGTTGGGTCCAGAGCAGCACTTTCATTTGCCTTTGCATTCCTTCGCAGAGCTTGGAGATCAGGTAAGGGGGATGGTGTGGAATTTGTTTTTAGGGCTAAATGCAGATTTCCCCTTTTTGGTAAACTCTCTAGGCATATTTTTGTTTTTTGACTTTTAAGGTGAAGATGCAGACCTGTGCAGTGAGTTGCTGCAGGAATCTCTTGATGCACTTCGTTCTCTCCCAGAAGCATCATTGTTTGATGAAGGAACAGTATCCAGTGTGTGGCTAGAAGTAGTGGAGAGAGCAACAAAATTTCTCAGGTCTGTTGTTACAGGGTAAGTTGGTATTATGTACAAGCTTAAGTTTGATATTTTGACCAGAAAGGAAAATTACTGTTTTGTATAATTTGCTTAAAATTCTGTTGTGCAGTGATCTTCATGGAGCACCAAGCTCTAAGGGATCAGGGAACATTCCACTTCAAGACCAGCATTTGGCACTTGCAATACTTCTAGAATTGGCAGTACAAAGGGGAACACTGAGGTAAGGAATGCGAAATAGTGTATTTTCATGTCTAATTTCCCTTACAGAATTTTTAAACTAAATTGTTTTATTTTCAGGTAGTTCCTCACCCAACACAGCCTTAGTAATAGAGAAGGATGGTGTCAAGTTGGTTTGAGGCAATTGTTGATAATCTAGCTTGTTCCATTTGTTCAAATTTATTTCAAAAATACTTAGATCATAGAACCCTTATGGTGTGGAAGCATGTCTTTCGGCCCATCGAGTCCACGCTCACCCTCTGAAGTGCATCCCACCCAGACCCATCTCCCTGTCCCATTCCTGTACCCTGCATTTCCCATGGCTTATCTGCCTAGCCTGCACATCTTTGCACTGATAAACTTTAAAAATTGGTTGTGACCCCAGTGTGTGAGCGTGACCAACAGGGCTTGCAACACGACTGACTTTGGGGGGCTTGCTGACATCTGTCATTTGCACATTGCCATTATTCCAATTTTGAACCACTTGTTTTGCCAGCAGTCGGCTTCAGGGGTGTCCTGAAGATGGGGAATGGAACTAATCAAGGACAGATATTCCTGCATCTCCTGGCCCCACAATACCATTTTTATTCGGCTTTCAGTGGTGGTTACTGTTGAAGCCATAATGACCTTTATGTAGATCAGGACTACGGTGAAGTACTTAAGTGATGGAATCTTCTGTACTTCAGTGTCTATAATTTAGCACTAGTGCATTGGTTAGTAGTTTGAATGTAATTTTAATTCAGCATTCACACTTCTAATAACCAATCAACCATCTTCCTGTTATCTGCTGGTTTCTGTAATTTAGGTACATGTTACATGTTTTCATATTTTAAGCCAATTTAATTTCTTCGTATATGAGTATTACGACACAAGTTGCGCTGTAATTCAGTCTTTCTTGAGTGAAATAGAATTTTTTAAAAAGTGTTTTGCATTTTAATATATTTCAAGGTTTTTGCAAAATTACTTTTATACTTCAGATTAATTTTTCAGACTCCTGCCTGTGACATTCTAGACCTGTCAGAACATGAACACAAACTTTACAGGATTAAACTTGACTTTTGGTTTGTCAAGTTAATGTCTTGATTTTGTTGCGTACTAGTGGGAGCTCTTTCAAACTTAAATTCTGATCTTTACTCCTAATCTTTGTAATTGCTTGGGTTGTAACAGTATTCTGTCCCTCTTGTTTCATTTGTAGCTCGGTTAGTAGCACACACTTCATAACACTGGTACCGACCTGGCAGAATGGAAAATTGTCCAGGTATTTCCTCACAACATAAAAAAAGGACCAGTCTTTGATAGTGGTATTAACAAGCATTTACTCAATGTTAACTTGCTCGCTGATGCTCAATTTCTGTTCCACCAGGCCCACTCAGCTCTTGATCTTGGTCCAAAATGAGCAAAAGTGTTGAATTCCAGAGGGATGATTGTTCTTGATATCAAAGTAGTATTTTACTGTGTTATAGAATAGTAACAAAACTGAACCAATAGGAATCAAGGGAAAATCTTTCTGCTGGTTGGAGTCATACCTAGCACAAAAGAAGATTTGATGTGGTAGGTGATGCTGAAAGAAGTAATTACACTCTACGTTGTTCAAAATTGAAGAAGAATTGATGGATAGATCATTGAAGGTGGCAGGACAGCTGGAGAGAGCAGCTAATAAGGCTTAATGATTTTATTAATAGGTGCATAGAAGATGAGCAAGGAGGTTACACTGAATCTGTACACAATACTTGTTAAACTTGAGCTGGAGTATGGTGTACGGTTCAGGGCACTATGCTATAGGAACGATGTGAATGCATTGGAGAATGTAGCAGAAATAAATAAAAATTGTTCCAAGGCCCACAGTCATGAGAATAGAGGAGCTGAGAATGTTTTTCTTGGAGAGAAGAATGCTAAGAGGATATCTGGTAGAAGCTGACAAAAACTTGAGAGATTTCCATACAATAGACAGCGGTAACTGGTCCCACTTACAAAAGGATCAGGGACACAGATTTCATGAGATTTGAAAATGTAGCCTGGCACTCTGGTTAGTTTTGTGGCTACTTTTTAAAAAAATACTTTCACTAAGTATTGGTCACCCCTTCAAATTGGTGTTTTGTATCCATTTTTTGCCTTGCTCTTGTGAATGACCTTGCTTTGAGTTTTCCTTTAAATGTTATTTAAATGATATTGTCATTGTTAATAATGCATAGGGGTAGTTGTCAGATGAGAATAGGAATGGGCTTAGCTGTGATTTCTAAGGTTAAGTGACCTATTGATACTCAGTATCTAGACGAGTAATTGAGTGGCCACTTGAATTTGCAGGAAATGCGTTTGTACAGTTCACCAACATTACTGTGTCAGGATGCAGTTTTTTTAAAAAAATTGACAAAATATATCAAGCATGGGAGAACCTTGTTTTGATTGTCTCATTTATTGAATATCATTTTTCTTAATAGCCAAATGCTGTCCGCTGTTTTGCTACTACTGCAGCTTTGGGAAAATGGAACCAGGGAAACTGACAATGAAAGATCTTCACAAGGTACCAGCGCACCACTTTTACCTCTTCTGCAGAGATTCCAGAACATACAGTGTGGAAAAGATTTGCCAACTGCAGATGAAGAGGTATGAATAGACTTAGGAACATGCTTTCATGTCATTAAAAACTAAGTACTGCATTCGTTTCTCTCACACTGTGGTATGAAATGTAAGGAGTTCCGTGTGTGAATTTTTGGAAGAAGTTTGCTGAGAATGGTTTCAGAGATAGTAGGAACTGCAGATGCTGGAGAATCCGAGATAACAAGGTATTGAGCTGGATGAACACAGCAGGCCGAGCAGCATCAGAGGAGCAGGCAAGCTGACGTTTTGGGCCTAGGCCCTTCTTCAGTAATTTCTGAAGAAGGGTCCAGAACTGAAATGTCAGCTTTCCTGCTACTCTGATGCTGCTTGGCCCGCTGTGTTCATCCAGCTCTACACCTTGTTATCTCTGTTGCTGAGAATGGTGATGTGGAGCATACTTGTTCCCTTCCTCCCTAACTCCATTCTCTGGCTGAATTTAATGTTTGTTTCATTTGATTGACTGCAGCAGTTCAGAGCTGATGAGTTTTGTGTTGTTCAACAGTAAGTTGTATTAGTTGCGGAGAGATACAGCAACTATATGCCTCTGTGGTTGATTGTCAGATCTTTTTCTTGGCAAATGTTCTCTCCTGTATCAGTTTACTGTCTGACAGTTTGAGAATTAAATAAATTCAGCAATACGAATCAACTTAAATGAGCAGTCCTGAGACTTGAACTTTTAACAGTTGCGTGATAAAATAGCGCTAATAATTCTGGAGTCTTGAGTAATTTCACAAAACGTCATCGGACTTTATTGCGATTAGTGTACTGTCTGCAGATCAATCTTTCACCTCATAAAGTCATACAGCATGGAAACAGACCCTTCAGTCCAACCAGTCCAAGCTGACCATGTTACCAAACTAAAGGATCCCCACTTGCCTGCATTTGGCTCATGGCCTACATGTGTGAAACTGCAAAAGCACGGCAGGTCAGACAGCATCAGAGGACCAGGAAAGTCAATGTTTTGGGCCAAAACCCTTCGCCAGGACTCATTTGACTCATATTCTGTCAACCTTTTCCTATTCACGTACTTATCCAAATGTCTTTTTAAACGTTGTAACTGTACTTGCATCTGCCACTTTGGCAGTTCATTTCACATACGAACCACACTCTGTAGATTTCAAAAAAAGTTGCCCGTCATGTCCTTTAAAATCTTTCTCATCTCTCCTTTAAAAAAAAATGCTGTCTAGTTTTGAACTCGCTCACCTCAAGGAAAAGACCTTTGCTATTCACACCTATGAGGTCACCCGTCAATCTCCTACACTCCAGTGAAAAAGTCCCAGTGTAATTTTATAATGCAAACTCTCCATTTCCGGCAACATCCTGATAAATCTTTTCTGAACCCTCTCCACTTTAGTAATATCCTTCCCATAACAGGGTGACCAGAACTGCTCACAGTACTCCAGAACAGGCCTCACCAATGTCTTGTACAATGTCAGCATGACATCCCAACTGCTATACTCAAAAGTCTGAGCAATGGAGGCCAGCATGCTAAACGCCTTCTTTAACCACTCTGCCTGTGACGCAAATTTCAAAGAATTGTGCATTTGAACCCCTAGGTCTCTCTGTTCTACAACACTACTTGACCCTATCTCAAAATGAAGGAGAACAAAACTACCATAAAATAGAGGTGCAGAATTGGGACATTTGGTCTATTGTGTCTGCTCCACCGTTCGATCATGGCTGATAATGTTTCTCAACCCCAGTTTAAAAACCGTCATCCAGCATGTTGCACAAATTAATATTTGAAATTGAAAACATGTTTAAAATGGGAACTCTGAAGGGAAGAAAATTTGTACTGATGTTGAGGAAAGTTGCTACTGAATTTTGTCAATGGCATGTTAGGAAGATTTTTTTCCAGACTTATTCCACACTAGTTGTGCTATGCCTGATCTGGAAATGCAGGTTAATGATTTAAAAAAACAAAGATATTTTATTTCATTCAGTTCAATGTTATGTCAACAGTTGCTTCTCAAAAAGTTGGTTCTTGTATGAATACTTTGATACTTTGTATTATTTAGAATGTAAGCTATGATCATTAGTTGAAATACTTGTGTTTCTCTTCACTAATTCAGAATGTAGTTTACTTTGCTGTAGTCATTTAAATAGGTGAAACTTCACTGCTATGGCTTTTGCCACTTAAGTTGCATGTGAAACAAAAAAGATTCTCTTGTCCTCTGTCCTGTATCTATATCACCTTGATCTGGCCTACTGGAGAAGTTTGCTTTTATCTGCTCCATGACTTCCTTTTAAAAATTGAAGCAATTCTACTGTTCTTCCCGGTGATAATCAGAAAAGTCCGAATTTTAAAATCTTTCCCTATATTGGGGTTTTTCCTTGAACCAGGCAGCATGCTTGTGAATCTATGAAAAATCAAGCTATCATAATGGGGTTCATACCACAATAAGTCCAAATGTGACACCTTCATTTCAAAGGGAATTGAGTATAAAAATAGTGCGGTTTTGCTAAAACTGTACAAGATATGAATCAGATCACAGCTGGACTATTGTGAACAGTTTTGGTCCTGTTTATCTAAGGAAAGAAATACTGGCATGGAAGCCTTTCAGAGAAGGTTTGCTAGATCCTGGCTACGGAGAGACTGCCTTATGAGTGGTTAAGCAGATTAGAATTATAGAATCCCTACAATGTGGAAGCAGGCCATTTGGCCCATTGAGACCACATCGACCCTCCAAAGAACATTCCACACAGACCCATCCCCTTACCTAACCCCGTAATCTGCATTTCCCATGGCTAACCCACCTAGCTTGCACATCCCTGGATACCATGGGCAATTTAGCATGGCCAATCCACCTAACCTGCACATCTTTGGACTGTGGGAGGAAGGCAGAGCACCTGGAGGAAACCCATGTAGGCACGGTGAGAATGAAAACTCTACACAGACAATCCCCCAAAAGGGTGGAATGAAACCTGGGTTCCTGGCGCTGTGGAGCAAGGCTAACTACTGTTACCCGCAGATTGGGCCTATACTCTTTGGAATATAGAAGAGAGTTGACCTTATTGATGAAGTGGATATGGAATGGTTATTTTGCCTTGTTGGAGCATTGTCTTGGAGCGAGAGATTGCACATTTTAAGACAGATTATGGGGAAGTTCTTTTGAGGGTTTTGGATCCGTGGATCTTTACCACAGACAGCTATTGAAGATGGGTCATTAAGTATATTCAAAGCTGAGATACAGATTTTTAATCAGTAAGAGAATCAAGGATTATAGGGGAAAAATAAACAGCAAAGTAAAGCCAAAGATTATCAGATCTTATTGAATGGCAGAACGGACTCAATGGGCCGAGTGACCACCTTTTGCTTCTGTCTAGTGGTCTAATCATTTGCCCATACTCTCCCCTGAGTTGCCTGAACAGTTATAAAGCTGGTGGGGGGGGGCGCGGTGTCAGGTCCCAGAGCCGTGAAATGGACTTTGTCCTAAATTCTCTTTTTTTTTAATATTTGTTTTTTTTATTGTACTATTGTAGACGGACTGTTATTCTGAACTTATTTTTTTCTAATTTATTACTGATTTTGTACTTTGAAGGTCTGTTGTTGCTGGCCTTTTTATTTCTTCATTTTTCAGTTTTTTCTCTTAAGAATTTGTACTCCAGAATCTATACCTAGGTATCTTTGTACCTAAGATGGTGCTGTAAGTGGCGACTTCTAAACTTTTCACTGTACTTGATAGAGTACATGTGATAATGAAGCTAATTCCGTTCAATTCAATTCAATATCATGCTGTCAGACCTGCTAAATTTCTCAAGCAATTTCCGTTTCCATGTGTTATCTTTTTTATTTTTTTTGGTTTCCCATGCCAATGAAGAGCACTTATTATTATTTTCCACCAAGGACATGATGAACCCTGTCATACTCCAATATCTACCCAGAAGATTTGCATGTGAAGCATCATTTAAAACGACTAGCTTCATATCTTCTGGATTATTCAAGGCTGCAAACTAGAGTATGCATTTTTCTGAACTACTTGTTTGTTCTCAAGACTCCCTCATCAGTAGCCTCTTTGATCATCATACTTGGCATAAATCATCACAAGCATCGTGGCTGTCTGAGTTCATGACTAGTTTAACTGTCCAGTTATATTTCTTAACAACTGATTTGTTTCTTCGTGGATGCAAAATTATTTTTCTTTGAGGACCTGGCTCGATTTGATGGGAAGTAGTTAATACTTTAAGAATAGTTAACCCAAAATTACCCCTGACTTATTCTGCCTAATATCCAAGTCTTTGTATTTAAAGCCAATCTCCAATCTTAAATTCCTTTTTTATTTTATTTATCATAGTATATTCAAAATCCATTTAATCTCCCCACAGATAGCTGTTGATGCTTGTCATAAAAATAACTGATAGGTTTCCTTTGTCAAACATTGCTGAATTGTCTGAGTGGAAGCAACCTATTTCCTACAAGACAGACCTCACTGAGAAATATCAAACCCTGTCTACATCATTGAACCCACTAGTACATGTGTTTAACTTCTGTAGCTTCCCTTCTATATCATCTTCTACAGGTATGTTCAAAAATACTTCCCATTGAAACTTCTCACCTAGCTGAAATATAGGTTTTATATTGATTGAGTTAGTCACATGAACATGTTATTAACGTTGTAAAGAAGATCTTCAAGATTACTTTATCTGCAGTATGGGAATCCACCTCTAATATCTTGATCCCTAAGTTTTTCCTCAAATTCCCCAACACACTAGTCTCAGTTTAATTTCATTGGTTTCATGAGCTACTTCTAAACTGTGTAATTTTAGGTTTGTGCTCTTTCAATAGTTTAAGCTAACTTGTAAATTGCAGTAATGTATCTGCTATTGAAAGATCTTGAAATAAATGATATTTTGTTTTATTCTAGATATTGGGAAATCCTCTGACCCCAAATGAATGTTTTTTGAGGTATCTTACTTTACCCCAAGATAATGATTTGGCTATAGATCTACGGCAGACAGCAGTTGTGATTATGGCTCACTTGGATCGTTTGTCAACTCCCTGCATGCCACCACAGTGTAGCTCTCCTCCATCTCAAAAGGTAAAAATGTGCAAATAACTTGTAAAGTCTCAACCTCATAGAGTAGAAACTTCCACTTCAAATTATTTGTCACACATTTCACAATCCGATCTGAAATCCAAATTTGGCTGCTAAACATTGTGAAGTTGTAATACAGTGGACACATTTTGTTATATTTGAGTCCATTTCTATACTGGCTGCCTGTCCTTTTGAGGGTGCTAGATTGGTTGGTGTGCAATGTGGAAATCTCACACAGCTAAGATATTGATGCCCTTCTGAAGTTGAAACTAAAATCTTCTTAGCGCAACTAAGAGAAGACACTTCCCTTAGTCTGAGTTGCTGTACTTTGAGTTGGTTTTAGATGCTGTCTTGGGCATGAGTAATACTGATGAACCCAACTCTTGCTGTCTTTGAAACCAATGTGTGGGTGCAGTACTGATAGTGGAGGGATCCACTGAATGTGGAGGTCTTGCTGGATTTATCAGTAGCATTTCTTGTTATTTATTTTGCATCTGACAAAGCAAAAGTGAAATGATGGCAAGATAAGGAATCCACATTTTAATACAAACCAAGTTGAAGCTGAATTTTGCTGAGCTTGGAACATGTAGCTCAGGTTAGATATATCCCTGATGGTTGCATCAAATCTTTTGCCACCGATGTGCTCACCTAACCAGAAATAGTGTCTCACTGCCACCTCTTGACATTCTGACTAATAAAGATAGCTGTCCATATAAAATGAAAAGAGCCATAAATTTATATAGCCTGCTGGGAGTTCCTGAAAATTCATCTTCAATCACCCAGCAACCGTGAAAATTTGGGAACCTTAATCAGTACTGAACTGGATCATGCTTCTGGTCTCAGGACCAACTCTCAGACCTGTCTGACTTTATACCTCTCATTACAATGAGCAGAGCAACTGCAGGATACAACCTGCTCCTCATTGCTGAAGACGTCGCTGCCAAAGATCTGGAGGGAGAGCTCAACTTTCTAAAGAAAAGAAAATGATGTAAATATGCAGTTGGCAAGTGAGCATCTGTGTACAGAAAAGATGGGTTGAAACTTCTGGGGATTTTTCTGCCCCAGCATTTGCAGCTTTTTGCCTTTTACTAAAATATTTCTGTAAATTCTTATGTGAAGTAATCGGACATTGTTTCCTTTTTTAACTTCAAAATTTGTGTGCAAATAAGAGTACTGACAACAGCTGGAAGATTCATTTGCATTGAGAATTTTTCCATTCAATTTTGTGGTAGGGATCTTTGCAAGAAGTTCTTGGCTGGGGGCTGCTTGGTTGGAGAAGTCAAACAACAGTGATTTGTCCAATTCAATGTGAAGGCATTGCTAATCTTGGAGTGATGCAGATTGCCTGTGCTGAGAAATGCTTCATTATTCTATCAAGGAATGGAAGGGTTTACATGCAAGCATACAGCAGTGATACACTGGTAAGTTATAGTGTTTCTTCTACCATTCTGTCGTGTACTGATTTCGATACTTGGATTAGGTTTGCTTTAGTCATGAAAAAAAATCAGAATCGTTGCAACTGTTTTCATCATTCTTGTGAATTAGCCAGGCAAAATTTAAAGGCAGAACTTGGATTTATATAGCACCTTTCATGTTGTCAAACTAATGAGATATTTATAAAATGTAACTTGTTCTGATCTGTAGACAAATGTAATCCAAGGCCCCACACAACAATTGAAAGAAATTACCAGCTGACTGTTTGTTTGTTTTTGTTTGCAAAAAACATCCTGAGTATGTAAATATATGCACGTATACAGTAAGCATTTGGTCCAGCTGGCTCGTTTGGGCACTTACCTGAAACTCAACTCCCTCAGACTAGCTTTGTGTGAGAGAAAGTGAATTATTGTTATACCTCTTGACAGCCCCTCTGGTCTCAGCTTCTCTAACTCTCCTCAGGGCATACTTAACATACTTTTTAATTTAAAAAAAAAAGCTAGCTTCCTTTTGGCCTTGCAGAGAGCTGCTGTCTGTAATCAACTCAAATCAGCAGGCAGTTCAATTGGATGTAGGAAGAAACAGTACCTAAAACACTGAACAAGAGTACTCAAGTAAAACTAACCTTAACAACAACATTTGCAAGTGTGATGTAACCACATAACACATGGTTGGAAAGCTCATCACCTGACCTTGAGTAATGTGTGCAACCAGAGCTCCTAACCTTGCAAGAAGCTCCAGACCCATATTTATGTCAGTTCTTGGAATTATAGTTTTGGCATTCATATAAATAAACCAGAACCTTTTGGATTTGCATGGGCCTAGCACTTAAAGGGTTAAGCAACCTTTTTGCATTTTCTGGTTTCCTTGCACACAAGAAGAGGGGTTGCATATGCAACCCCCCCGCCCAAAAAAAGTAAGGAATTTTAACTCAAAAATCTCTAAATTGCTTCAAAGATCGAAAACCTCCACCACTGTGTGTGGAGGGGAAATCCAAAGATTGATGATCCTCTAGGAAAAGAAATTTCTCCTTTAATCACGGTCCTGATTTTAAGATGCTTTGTTTTTTTAAACTGCCCCATGGTTGCAGATTTCCTCACTAGTGAAAATATTCTCGCATCATGTTCCTTTGCCCTGCCAAGTTTCCCCAAGATCTTTCTATTTTTCAATAAGATTATTTCTCATTGTTCTGAGCCTCAATAAATATAACCTAACCTGCTCAAACTCTCCTCAAGATAACGCATTCATTACAGGAATCAATCTAGTGAACCTTCTCCAAAACTGTTTCCAATACAAGCATATCCTTCCTTTCATAAGGACATCAGAACTGTACAATACTCTAGGTAAAGTTTCAACAATACCTGGTATCATTGTAGCAAGACATCAGTTATCCTGCCTCTTGCAATAAAGACTGACATTCTATTTGCCTTGCAATGCCTGCATGCTAACACATTGTAATTTGTGTACAAGGACACCTGAGAACTCTGTAACATACCATTAGCATACATAGCCATCTCTCTTTAAATAATCTGATTTTTCTATCCTTCCCACCTAAGTATACAGCATTATATTTTCCCACATTGTAGTGCATCTGCCAAATTTTTGACCACCTCTTTGCAAACAATCTTTATTCTCCTCGCAACCAAGATAGGCCTGTCCTCCCTATCTTTGTATCATTAGCAAATTGGTGACGATGCATTGGTCCATTGATTTATGTCATTAAGGTAGATCATAAATAGTTGAGGCTCCAAGGCTGAACCAAGTGGCACCCCATTGCTTATAACTTGCCAACCTGATAATGATCCAGACTCTCTGTTCCTGTTAGTTACCTAACCCTGTATTTATATCATTGCTGACTCTATGACCTATAATACTGTGCAATAACTGTTACATGCCTCTTACAAATGCAGCTACACTACATCTGGTTTTCCTTTATACACTCTTCTTATTACATCCTGAAAGGACCCATAATACATTTGTCAAACATAATTGCCCCTTCCCAAAGCAATATTGACTCTGCCTAATTGCATTGTGGTTTTTGAAACATCCTGCTACTGTCTTCTTGATAACAGGTTGTAGTAAACACTTGGGATAGGTGTGCTTCATTGTCTGGATCTGCATTTATTGCCCATTCCTTACTGCTGTGGGGAAGATGATATTGGACTGCCTTCTTGAACCATGACAGTCATAGAGTCACTCTTAATACTGTTGGGGAGGGTTTGTGAGTTATTTTGACCCAACAGCAGTGAATGAATGATTATATATTTCCAAGTCAGAATATAGTGAGTGGCTTGAAGAGTTATCAGCAGTTGGAGGTATTCCCAAATATCTGCTGCTGTCATGCTTCTAGATGGTAGTTGTCATGTGTTTGGAAGCCGCTGTCTAAGGATCGTTGAATTCCTGCAGCACATCTTGTTGATGGTACACACTGCCGCTGCAATGTGGTGGAGGGAGTGAATGTTTGTAGATGTGGTGCCAGTCAAGCAGGCTGCATTGTCCTGGATGAAGTCAAGCTTCTTGAATGTTGTAGCTTCATCCATTTGGGAAAGTAGGGAGTATTCCATCACACTTCTGATTTGTGCTTTTAGGAGGTTGACAGGCTTTGAGGAGTTGGAAGGTGAGTTACTCCCTGCAGGTTTCCTAGCCTCTGACTTGCTCTTGTGACCACAGTGAGGAAAGGTCACCGGACCTGAAACATTAACTCTGTTTTTCCCTTCACAGATGTTGCCAGACCTGCTGAGCCTTTCCAGCAACTTTGTTTTTGTTGTGTATAAAATGACAAGTCCAGTTGAATTTCTGGTCAATTGTACTCTCCTGGTGGCAGTTAATGCACGTTTCAGCAATGTTAATGTCATTAATTTTCAAGGGTCAGTAGCTAAGTCCTGTCTTATTGGAGCTGGTTATTGCCTGGCACTTGTGTCATGAATGTTTCTAGCCATTGGTCAGGCCAAGCACTGGTTATTGTCTAGGTCTTGATGTGTTTAGACATGGACCACTTCAGTGTCCGTGGAGTCACAGTTACTGCTGAACATTTTGCAATTATTGGCCAATATTCCCACTTCTGACCTTATAATGGAGGGAAGGTCGTTGATGAAACAGCTGGAGATGTTTGGGCCAAGGACATTACCCTGAGGAACTCCTGCAGAGTTGTCCTAAAACTGAAACGATTGACAGCTAACAACTACAACTATGTTCCTTTTGTGCTAAGTATGATTCCAACTAATGGCTAGTTTTCTCCTGATTCCCATTGACATTAGTTTTGCTAGTGTTCTTGATGCCACATTTGGTCGAATGCAGCTTTGATGTCGAGGGCAATTACTGCCTCCTCACTATTGGAATTTACTACTTGTTCATGTTTGAATTAAGGCTATAATAAGGTCAGGAGCTGAGTGGCTGTGGCAGAACATGAACTGAGCAACAGTGACCAGATTATTGCTAAACAAGTGCCATTTGATAGCACTCTTGATGACATCTTTCACCGTTTTACTGATGATCGAGAATGGACTGATGGGGTATTGGTTGGGTTAAATCTCGTGTTTAGTGTACAGGACATAGATGGCCAATTTTCTTTATTGCCAGTTAGATGCTATTTCTGTAGCTATACTGGAAAAGCTTGGCTATATAGTGGCAACTTCTGGAGTACTACTCCTTAGTATTTTTGCACTTGTACTATTGGAGGCCGAAGCCTTTACAATATCCAGTACACGTAGCTGCTTCTTGATATCACTTGGAATTAATTAAATTGGTGAAGACCGGCATCGGTGATGCTGGGGACCTCTGGAAGAGGCCGAGATGGATTATCCACTCATCACTTCTGGTTGGGATTTGTTGCAAATATCTCAGTCTTTTGCATTTACATGCTGCGTTGCTCTGATATTGAGAACGGAGATATTTGTGGACCTTTTCTACAAGTGAAATTTTTTTGTCCTCACCAATTAATGACTGGATGTGGCAGGATGACAGAGCAATAAATAACTTCTATTTATCACTGATAGTAGGAACTGTAGATGCTGGAGAATCTGAGATAACAAGGTGTAGAGCTGGATGAACACAGCAGGCCAGACAGCATCAGAGGAGCAGGAAAGCTGACGTTTCGGACCTCGACCCTTCTAGGCTCAACATCAGCTTTCCTGCTCCTCTGATGCTGCTTGGCCTGCTGTGTCCATCCAGCTCTACACCTTGTTATCTCTATTTATCACTTGCTGTTTTTGATTGTTTGGCACGCAATTAGACCAATGAGTGCTTCCTGTCGGGGATGTAGACTGTTAGCAATACTCAGAGTTGTATCAGTGGCAACTGATGCTTGACTTGTCTGACAGGCAGCTGACCCAGTTTTGGCACAGTTTTCTGCTACGCCTGGTATTTCTTCACTGTTTTCTGCTGTGAAGACCGAGAATATTTGTTAGTCTCAGCTTTTTCCTTGTTTCTCATTGCTAAGTTTCCAGTCTCAGCTTTTGAAAAGACTAACATTCACTTCAGCTATTCTTTTTCCTTTCTAATATAATTGTGAAAATGTTGCTGCTTGTTTTTATATTTCTTGCTAGTTTTATCATACTTCAGTTTTTCCTTTTGTTTCCCTTTGGTGTATTAAATTTTACCAATGGCCTCGGCTACCACTAATTTTTGCAGCATCCTGTACCTTTTCTTTCAATTCTGTGCTAACTTCAACTTCCTTAATTAGACATGGATGGTGCATATGAGTTTCAGTGCCGAGCAGCTCAGTGTTCCACCGCCAGGCAGTCTGCTGTGTTGATGAAATAAAGATGTGGTTCAATTAAAGCTATAGCTGCTTTATCACACAGAGCCAGAAGTGAGCAAATTGGTGGTGGCGCTACTTCTTTGTTGTATAATGCATGATGTTCTTTCACTAAATGATGTGAAGCATGATTGCTGTATCTCTCTTGGAAAAGAGGGGGGACAAAAAAGAGAAATAAAAGGAAAACCATGAAATTTCTGCAGCAGAAGTTTAAATTCTGAGTTATAGAGTCATATAGCACGGAAACAGATCCTTCAGTCCAACTCGTCCATGCCGATCAGACATCCTAGACTGATCTAATCCCATTTGGCTGGTTTCCCTCTAATTCGTGTACCCATCCAAATGCCTTTTAAATGTTGTAATTGTACCTGCCTCTGCTACTTCCTGTGGTTGGTCATTCCATACATGCACCACCCTCTGTGTGAAAAAGTTGCCCCTCAGGTCCCTTTTAAATCTTTCCCTTCTCACCTTAAACCTGTGCTCCCTCATTTTGGACTCCCCTACCCTGGGAAAAAGACCTTGGTTATTCACCCTGTCCATGCCCCTCATGATTTCATAAACCACTATGAGGTCACCCCTCAGCCTCCAATGCTCCAGGGCAAATAGCCCCAGCCTCCTCTTTAGCTTGAACCCTCAATCCTGGTAACATCCTTGTAAATCTTTTCTGAACCCTTTCAAGTTTAACAACATATTTTCGATATCAGAGAGACGGGAATTGAATGCAATATGCTAAAAGTGGCCTAACCAATGTCCTGTTCAGCAGCAACATGATGTCCTAACTCCGTTACTCAATGCACTGACCAATGAAGGCAAGCATGCCAAATGCCACCTTCACCACCTTGTCTATCTGTGACTCTGCTTTCAAGGAACTATACATCTGCACCACTAGGTCTCTTTATGCAGCCACACTCCCCAGGGTCCTAACATTAACTGTATAAGTTCTGCCCTGTTTGCCTTACTAAAATGCAACACCTCACATTTATCTGAATGAAACTCCATCTGCCACTCCTTAGCCCATTAGCCCATCTGATCAAGGCCCCATTATACTCTGATATAACATTCTTCACTGTCCATTATACCACCAATTTTAGTGTCATCTGCAAACTTACTAACCATACCTCCTATATTCACATAAAAATCATTTATATAAATGACGAAAAGCAGTGGACCCAGCACCGATCCTTGTGGCACACTGCTGGTCACAGGCCTTCGGTCCGAAAAACAACCCTCTACCACCACCCTCTGTCTCCTACCTTCAAACCAATTTTCTATGCATTTGGCTAGCTCCCCCATGTGATCCTACCTTGCTAACCAGTCTACCATGTTCAACCTTGTTGAACACCTTGCTAAAGTCCATTTGACAACATCTACTCCTCTGTCTTCTTCAATATTCTTTGTCACTTCTTCAAAAAACTCAGTCAAGTCATTGAGACACAATTTCCAACCCTCAAAGCCATGTTGACACTTCATAATCAGTCCTGGTCTTTCCAAATACATGTAAATCCTGTCCTTCCGAATCCCCTCCAACAGTTCATCCACATTACGCTATAGTTCCCTGGCTTTTCCTCACCACTTCTCTGAAATAATGGCACCTCATAATATTCACAATCCATTTGAGTGTTGGCAAGTTTGCAGCTGGCTTTGCCTGCCTTTAAAGTAAAATTTTGGCTAACATTAACGATATAATTTAATTGCAACTTGTATGTTCGCAGTGTGATTTCAATCCCTCTTAATGTCCTCTTCAGAAAACAGATGTAATTCTCTAACTTTTCTTCTCCTTTACGCTTGGAATGGTTTTTAATGCCATTCTTAATAAAACAATGTTTCTTCCCGATTTTGTTTTGCATTGGTTGTATGCTTCCATTGTTGTCTTTGTAATGTTTGGGTCTGTTTTACTATTGAAAATTATGCTGGCATGCTTACTTCATGATTAGATTTTTAAGAATCATGTTTAGAGTTGCTGATGTGGTCCTAATTTCTTGCTTTTTTTAAACAAAAGGCACCACAGTTGGTTCAGGGGCTTGCCTCAAGGAACATTGTAAAAGTTGCATCGCATCCAGATGGTCAACATTTTCTGTCCTTGTCAGCAGCTGGGGAGGTGTTCTCTTGGGGATGTGGTGATGGTGGAAGACTTGGCCATGGAGATACTGTGTATGTATTGGAATTGAAAAAAAAATGATACATTGGTAGTGCATAACTGAATTAATGTTGTTTAAAAAAGTCCATAAAGACTTCAAATGATTAAGTTTGATGATACTTACAGTCGTTGAGCACGGAAACAGACCCTTCAGATCAACTTGTCGTTGCCAACCAAGTTTCCCCAAATTAAACTAGCCCCATTTGTCTGCGTTTGGCCCATATCCCTCTAAACCTTTCCTGTTCATGTATCTTTCCAAATGTCTTTTAAATGTTGTAACTGTACCTGTATCTACCACTTCCTCTGGCAGTTCATTCCACATATGAACCACCCTCTGTGTGAAAAGGTTGCCCCTCAGGTCCCTTTTACAGCTTTCTCTTACCTTAAAAAATGCCACCTAATTTTGACTCCGCTACCCCAGGGAAAAGACATTTACTATTCACCCTATCTCTGCTCCTTATGATTTTATAAACCTCTCTATGGTCACCTGTCAACCTCCTATGCTCCAGTGGAAAAAGTCCCAGCCTATCCTCGTAAATCAAACCCTCCAATGCTGGTGACATCCTGGTAAATCTTTTCTGAATCCCCTTCAATTTAATAATCTTCCTATAGCAAGACAACCACTACTGTACACAGGACTTTTTACTGTGAATTTTTGTGCTCACTGAAATGAATGATGTACATGGAAACAAAACGCTGCTAACTCATTACTCTTAATCAGTTTGTGAACATAGTGCCAATGTATCCTCACTACAGCAGAAGATGCAAAGTGTAACCGCTTTTACTTACTAACATTCCAGAGCAATCACCGTCTTGGTGGAATGCATTTTCTTTGTATGCCAATACTGTTAGCCTATGTCCACTTTTATTTGAGATGAACAACTTGGTGCCAATTATTGCCCAACAAGGTGTGTTTTTGTAAATTTAACTGGCTGGACTGAGTTATCATGAAGGTCCTGTCTTCTTGACCTCACCGCTCACCTGGAGCGTGGTGATGATCAGGTTAAATCCTCACAAATTGTGTCTCTCTAATGAAAGAATAGTGACTTTACCTCTACCAGAAATTTAACCAAGACTGGAAAAATTTAGGCATGTGAAAGGGAAATACCTATCCCATTTCACCCCAGACTATGTCAACTTTTTAAACCTTAGGATTGCGTGAAAACCAAGTAAACCCATTGTGTGTTACCAGCTAGGCATGTAAATTTTACATGTTTTTAATATTTCATTAAACGTGCCCTTTCGCAGGAGCTCCTTTGTCTTGTGTGCCGCTTCCTGGCCTGATAGAGGAGCTGATATTCTGTTTGTAAATTTCTCAATGGTAATTTGATGTTTGTTGTCAACTTGAGTGACGTGGAGTGTGTCTCTTCTCCACTTTGATCTAATACCAGCTTCTGGTAACTTTACTTAACTTTCTCTATATATTATCAGAATTAAATATTACGTGCTCTGTATACTGCATAGCTCCATGTATTCTTAAAAGTTGTTCACTTCCAGTGCAGGCACTCTTATCTATATAGCCAGATTTCAAATCTAGTTTTGCTCGGTGACTAGATAGATAATGGATTAGAATACCAGTTAGTATAAAAGTATGTTAGAACAAAACTAAAATTAGCTTTGATCTGGAGCTGACATTAGTTTTAAATATTTTTTGTGCCCTAGAATGTAACCTCATGCAAGATGTTTTAAAATTTGCAAATGCCTTAAAATTTTCACTGCATGTTGATTTGGTTTGCACTGATAATTTGTGATACAAACAAACCTTGTCTTTTCTAACTGTGACAGTAGATAGATACCTATAATTGTTAAATAACTTTGGCAGATGGTTGAAAAGAATAAATTTTGTTTTTTGTGTCTGCTTTCAACAGTTCTCTTGAAGAACCAAAGATGATTGCTGCTTTGTCAGGAAAGCAAGTGGGAAAGCATGTTGTTCATGTCGCCTGTGGAAGCACCTACAGTGCAGCCATAACCTCAGACGGGGAATTGTATACATGGGGAAGAGGAAACTATGGCCGACTTGGACACGGTATTGGTGCAGTTTATCTACCCTAACTGTAACAGATGTGAAGCATATTTCATCTTTTAGATTGTGGATATTGCAGAAGACAGCTGTTTGGTTTGCAAAGTACCATTTGCTTTGTGCTGGAATTATCCGAATCAGAAATTTTTGAATGTTTTGAAGTCTCTAATGTTCTCCACTGTTGAATAACTTGAGATAAATTCTCTTTAGTTGACAAAGTGGTAAATATTCATGAACATTTTTCTTCTCATGATTTACCTTTACCTGAGCTGAGGAGGCATTTCAATTGAATCTGTCTGTCATAACTGATTTCTGTAAATCCCTACAGCTTCACACATCTGAGATGAAACTTGGAAAAGGCTTCCTGTTGACTGTTGGCAACATCTTTGTAAATACTAATTGCGAATGTTTGATTTTGCTGAAAGAAATATCTCTTGGAAATCTTAGCTCTTTATATTTAGAGTTTCATCAAAGTCTGGATAAGTGATGAATAAACTAGTTGTACTAGTGTTTGTTCTTTGTGCTTAATTGTTTAAATAGAATCCATTAAAGATTGCATTAGCTGTGACAGGATTGGAATGATACTGTATATTAACATTTTGTGATTGTTTTAGTTTTTACTGCATTTGGTGAACAGAAAATAGCCACCTTTTTTTTTTTTTGAAAGGTTTTTTGAACCAGACTTTCATTTCTTCTTAGTTCTGCTATTACTGGTGAAAAGAAAATGTGTTCCACTTTTAAGCCTTACACTTGATAATCTCTTGTCTTTCTAGGGTCCAGTGAAGATCAGACCACACCCATACTGGTGACTGGATTGAAAGGATTGAAAATTATTGATGTTGCATGTGGCAGTGGGGATGCCCAGACTCTAGCAGTGGCTGAGAATGGTAGATAATAAAGATTAATTCGTAGCACTGTTTTAAATTGAAGAAAAACTGTACTACTTAGGTTACAGAGACAGGAGATAAATATGCCAAAACGCAAATTCAAAACTGAAATCATGAATTTCTATGGAAAGAGTGATTGCTAGTTGGAATGCTCTCCTATTTAGTAGTGTAGGCCAAAAGACTGGAATTGTTGATAGGAAGCTTGGATGCTGTGGTTAAATCATTGATTTCTGTTTAAGAAATAATAGGCTGACTGGCTTTCCTTAGGTTGTTGATATTTGATGCCTCAAGTTCAATCTCTACAAATGAAGAGGGGGAATGTTTTAATCGTAAACATGTTTATGTAGGGCTTATTGAAGGAAGTAATTGTGATTGTTCTATTATGTGGTAATATTAGGGGAGGCAATGGCCTATTGGTATTATCTCTGGACTATTAATCCAGAAATTCAGCTAATGTTCTGGGGACCCAGGTTCAAATTGCGCCATGGCAGATGGTGGAATTTGAATTTGATAAGAAATCTGGAAATAAAAGTCTAATAATAACCATGAAGCCGTTGTTGATTGTCGTAAAAACCCATCTGTTTCATTTAATACCATTTAGGTAAGGAGATCTGTCATCCTTAGCTGGTCTAGCCTACATGTGACTCCAGACCACAGTAACGTGGTTGACCTTTAACAATTAGGAATGGGCAATAAATGCTGGCTTAGCTGGAGACACCCACCCTGTGAGTGAATTTAAAAAAAAGTCTGCCGTCTTAGTCAAACGTGTGAAATGCAAGATGACAAACAGTTGAAAAGGAAAAGAAAATGCAAGGGATTCTTAGCTTCAGAAATACATGGTGCAGTGAGAATATGGGAACACAGCGTAGTGATGATATGGATATTTCTACTGCAGCAGTCAGTATGACTGGCACAGTGGATCTGTTGTTGTACTAGGAATCTAGAGACCTTTGCTAATAGTGTATTCCAGATATGATTTTTGTTGGCAATTGGGGAATTTGAATTCAATTAATTAAATAACTCTGGAATAAAAAGCTGGTATAATGTCTGACTGACTTATGATCTTTTTGGGGAAGGAAATTTTGCCATCCTTACCTGGTCTGGTTGATATGTGACTTCAGCCTTCCAACATGTGCTTGACTCTTGACCTTCTCTGAAGTGGTCCAGTAATCACGATCTTTTTTCAAGGGTAATTCTCAAGGAATGATCAATAAGTGCAGGCCTTTCCAGCAACCCCGTAATCCCATGATTGAATCTACAAAAAAAAAAGTCGATGACTATTTAGGGTGACATCTCGTGTTGCAAGTTACTATTTGTGCTTGTGCATTAGACAATATCATTTGCAGCAATTTTGAGGAAGTGTGCAAATTAATTTTCTTTTAAACCTTAGTTAGTTGTATGGAAGGAGACTTTTTAATATGATCTGTTACTGTGCAATTAAATCTTTCCGTTCATATCAGTAGTTTTGGCCTACAAGAAGCTACAGCACTTAAGATAAGGAAACATTTGATACTGGTGTATCTCCTTAGCTGTTATGTACACATTTTCAACTCTGGTATTCCTGTACAGTAAGAAAATCTTTGGAATTATTTTGTGTGTGAATATTGTATGATCTGTATTTCAAGATGCTTCTCCAAGATTTCTTGAGTTTAATGTGTCCTTTTTAATTTCTGTACAGGTCAGGTATGGTCGTGGGGGGATGGTGACTATGGAAAATTGGGCAGAGGTGGCAGTGATGGCTGTAAAACCCCTAAATTGATTGAAAAGCTCCAAGACCTTGACATTATAAAAGTGCGCTGTGGCAGCCAGTTTTCAGTTGCAATTACAAAAGACGGACAGATTTACACGTGGGGAAAGGGTGATACCCAAAGACTTGGACACGGAACTGAAGAGCATGTGCGATATCCGAAATTGTTGGAGTGTCTTCAGGGTTAGTACTATTTAGCCTCAGCTTATCTACTGCTAAATTGAATTTCTCATTCAGGACTTTGCTGTCTCTAAATGTGACTATTCCAGTGGTTTGCTCACTGATCCCCCACCATCGTCCTCCTGTTGCCTGTATCCTAACTCAAAAGAAGTCTCAATCACGCTTCGCCCCTGTGATCACTGACCTACATTAGCTCCTGCTTTGTCAACTCCTCGATGATATTTTTTATTTGAACACATTTCCTTATTCAGCTCCCTCCATGACCTCCCCTTTCTATATTTCAGTAACTGTCAGCCTCGCAACTTTCCAAGCATATTATTTAAATGGGGAGAAATTGCAGAACTCTCTGCAATAAAGAAACCTGGTGTCTTTGGACCTGAATCAGGTAAATCATAAAATGAGTTAGGTAAATCATAAAATCATAAAATCCCTACCACGTGGAAAGAGGCCATTTGGTCCATCAAGTTTGTGCGATCCTCTGAAGAACATCCCACCCAGACCCAGCTCCCCCCACCCTATCCCCACAACGCTACATTTACTGTGGCTAATCCACCTAAACTGCACATCACTGGATGATGCGTGGCAATTAAGCATGGTCAATCTAACTCAACTGCACATCTTTGGACTGTGTGAGGAAACCCACGCATACTGCACACAGACAGTCGCCTGAGGCTGGAATTGAACCTGGGTTCTTGACACTGAGGCAGCACTGCTAGCCACTGTGCCATATAGCAAAATGTATATTATTATTTATTGCAAGGGGAATGGAATGTAAAAATATAGGTTTCCGACAACTGTATAGAGTATTGATGAGACCATGTCTAGAGTACTGCATACAGTTTTGGTTTCCATATTTGAGAAAGGGCGTAATTGCATTAGAAGTAGTTCAGAAGATTAACTTGACTGATTTCTGGACTGAGTCTCTTCTGATGAAGAAAGGCTGGGCCTGCACCCATTGGAGTTCGGTAGAATGAAAGATGATCTTATTGAACTATAGAAGGTCCTGAGGGACTTGATGGGGTAGATTTTGAAAGAAAGTTTCCCTTTTAGGGTATATGCAAGACTAGAACTAAGGGACATAGTTCAAAGTAAAGCGGTCTTCCATTTAAGATGGAGATTAGGTAAAACGTTTTCCCTTAGATGGTCGCGAGTCTTAGCCAAAGAGTGGTGGAGGCAGAGTCAATTAATATTTTCAAGGCTGAAGGAGACAACTTCTTGGCTACCAAGGGCATTGAATGATATTGGGATAGATAGGAGTGTGGAGCTGAGGCTGCAATTGGATCAATATGACCTTATTGAATCACAGAATTATTATAGTGCCAAAGGAGACCATTCAATCCATTATGCCTACACCATTTCTCGTATCCAGTCTAGCTGTTTAATTTAATGCCAATCTCCTGCCTTTTTCCCATATCCCTGCATACCAAATCTATCCAAAATAACATCTAATGCTCTCTTGAATGCCTGAAACAAATTTGCTTCAATTACACTTCCAGGCAGTGAATACCATACCCTAATAATTTTATGTGAACAAGCTTTTCTCTCCTCAACAAGGAAGTTTTTTGTTTCTGCATCATTTTAAATCCATGCACACTCTTTCTTCTTTTACAAGTGAAAACAGTTTCATCCTATCTACTTTCTCCAGCTCGCTCACAAATTTGAAAACCTCAAATGGGTCTCCTGGCCTTATTCTCTCCGGTGAGAACAGTCCCTACTTCTTTGATCTGTTGAATTGGAGGGCAGGTTTAAGGGGCCAAATGGGCTCTTCCTACTCCTAATTCATACTCTGTACTCCTCCAATTTAACGTCCTTGCGTGATCCCTTTTTAAAAGTTTCAGTATTAGAAACCTAAGCTGTCAGGGCCCTACTCTCTGGAGTTTTGCATCTCAAGCTCTCTCTTTCTCCCCCTCCTCTTTAAACACTCCAGTAAGTTATTTGACACTTGGTCTTTCATTTCCTTTCATGTTAGTTTGTTTAATAACACACTCATGAAGTATCATGGATGGTTGATGCCCTTAAATACAAGTTGCTGTTGTTTCTCCGAACCTTCTCAATATTTGAAAATAAATTTTGTGTTCCTGACAGTGAAAGTGGTCAAATTGTTGAGTAATTGAACATGAAGAATCCAGGTTCACACCATGATCTGTATTGTGTTATCTGATTGCTGTTCAGTTGTTCCCATCGGAATTTGAGTGCATTGGATGAGGGAAACATATCAGGCTGTTTTATCACTAATTAAAGAACCTGTTGTTTCAGTGAACTCCCACTGATCTGTGATTTGGCAGGGTCTAAATATTCAGTTTTGAAAATTGCTGGTTATAAGTCAGCAGAATCCCAGAAACATTGCAAGCAATTGTTCATAAGGAATAATTGACAATCTAGCTGTGGGAGGCCCCTTGGAGAAGAGTGACTAAAATGGCATATAATTCTTCATGTAAGATGATGAGTGACTTAGTAGCTTCTGAGACGAGGATCCTGAATCTGAATCAAGGAAACTGTGATGGTGTGAGATGCAAACTGGCTCGAAGGGCCAAATGGCCTACTTCTGCTATTTTCTATGTTTGAGTTTCATGGAAATTGTTGAATCTAGAAAACAATTGTCCATTTTGCAACATTACATTGAGTTTGCTGAGTTTAGTTTTAGTTCATGATTCACATATCTGGGGTGAAGGGAGGGGAAAGCCAAGGATGTTCAGAAGATTATCTTAAATCCAAATCTTCCCCCTCAATTGAATGTAAATGATCCTATGGCACCGTTCAAAGAACATGGACATTGTCCTATGGTCTAGTCAACATGCTGCCCTCAACCGATATTAAGTAAATATCCAGTCTTTTGTTTTACTCATGTGTAGGAGGCATTGCAGCGTGCAATTTGGCAACCATAGTTGCTTACGTAATCAATAACTATTTTAAAAGTATTTAATTGGCCAGGAAGTGCTTTGGGATATAGTGATTTCCTTTTTCAGTCTATTTTCTATAACGTTGTTGCAACTAAATGTTTCACTGATTCTTGCAGTGTGGGAATTATGTAAGTTAGAGTCACCACACATAGCATACAGTGCTTCCCGTTTTTTACAGATACTGGATCCTTTTTAACTCGTTAGGTTTTGGGCCTCCATGCCGTTAACTTTAGACCTTACTCAGGCAAAGCAAAATTGTCTAGATGTAATAAGTATGTGCAAACCTCAGATTTATTTTCTCAATGATGGCAACAATGTTTGTAAAATTCTTCTGGTATAGATTTTTTGCCTATACTGTAAACATTGAGTTGGTTCAATCTGGAACACTTGTTTAACAATAGTATCTGCTTAGTTTTCGTCTTGAACGGTATTGCAAGAGAGAAGCGAAACATCTGGCCTTGTCTGAGTTTGTGATCCAGTTGCAGCTGGGTACAGAGCCTATCCAAAAAAAAATCTTAACATTTAGTCAGACGCCAGTTTATGATTGACACATTTCTATTTGAATTATATATACGAAAATGTACATTCCTGACTTGCAAGAAGAGAGGCAGTTTTTAACATAAATTCATTTTTGTGCCTTTCCTAATATGTTTTGGAGACTTATTAGACACTAAACGAAAGTTGAACGGGGCTTTAGGGTGTTTAATCTGTATATTTATTATTATATATTTATTATCATTACAACTCCATTTGGATGTGCATATATTCATGTACACACACTTACATTTACATATTTGATGTAGGTCTTGTTCAGATGCAAAAAGTATTTATTTTTTGGATTATTTTGTTTAATTACAGGTAAAAAAGTAATTGATGTTGCTGTTGGATCTACACACTGCATGGTACTGACCGAAGATGGTGAAGTTCATAGTTGGGGCAGCAATGATCAGTGTCAACATTTTGATACTCTGAGGATAACAAAACCAGAGCCAGCTGCACTGCCAGGCCTTGATACTAAGCACATTGTTGGCATTGCTTGTGGGGCTGCTCAGGTAAAAAGATATTTGTATTTCAAGTGTATATCTGTCTCTGTGTCCTTGGGTAATATGTTCTACAATTACATCCTGTTTCTTAATTACAGTTGGATTTCTGTAGTGGTGAAAGCATGACATTTTAGTGCCATATTTACTTGAACTGAGAGTAAAAAGATCCATCAGTAAACTTAATAGAATTATGTCTGGATGCAGTATATCGTTATGGTTTCCTTAGTCGTGGTCATGGTGGGGATATTTTCAGGAAATGAATTAGAACAGTTTTTTTCCCTGATTCTTCTTGAATGTACTTAATACAGTTGCAGATTACGCATCTTGAGAGAATTGGAAAAGTAGATGACCATTGTGTATTTCATTCCCAAAAAACAAAATATCCAATTTGGCCACACCTTATTTATTTATCTATTTATCTATCTATCTGTTTCTTTCTGAAATCTTTAAGCAATTTTTCATGGTTATTTCCATACTTGCAATGCAACCTGTGCCTCGTGTAGTTAAACCTAGTCCATTCATGCTCTCTTTTTTTTTCAAAATAAACTCAAGCCTGTGACCTATGATAGGAAATGGCAATCTCAAGCCTGTCAAGTTTGAAATTGAGTTAGTAAGAACTGCAGATGCTGGAGGAACACAGCAGGCCAAGCAGCATCAGAGGAATAGGAAAGTTGACGTTTTGGGTCGGGACCCTTTTCTGAAGATTCTGATGCTTCTGTTAAAACAAAACCCTGCATTTTTTTGACTTGGTTTTAATGGGATTTTTATGTCTCTTTATGATGAGGATATTTTGTTAAAATTGTTCTTCGAAATGCGGTAAAAATCATTGAAGTAAGTTTTTGCCGCCTTTTGCTGGTTGTTTTCTGTTTAAGGTTTTGAGCTTTGTTGAGTTACATGAGAGATGGGTTGCATTTCTTGGATTTTGACTGAGTGATCATCATTTTTATGTCATGATTTCTTGATGAATGTCAGAACATTACTTGCCTATTGAGAGCATCATGCCTGAGCCTGTTATGTCCTTGGCTGATATGCATATCATCATATGTTTTGATACTCTCCAGCTGATAGATCTTGTCCCTATTTGTGGCTCTTGTTTTATTGGTAATGAAACCTGGTACCTTCCTGGTTATGAAGTTCATTTGGACTCTGTAAGATAGCCAAGGGTTATTTAGGTTTTGAATTGCAATAATTAATGACACATAAACTAAAACTGACCGCATTACAGAAGTGCAATTTGGCTTCGAGTATAAAATTATTTTCTGTTACTTTAGAGCTTTGCTTGGTCTTCGTGTTCAGAATGGTCAATTGGCCTTCGTGTACCCTTTGTTGTGGATGTTTGCCAGATGACATTTGAGCAACTGGATTTGCTGTTGCGGCAAGTATGTGAAGGAATGGATGGCACTTCAGACTGGCCTCCACCTCAGGAAAAAGAATGTATGGCCGTTGCAACACTCAACCTACTGAGACTTCAGGTAATGAGATGCCTGTACATAAATTAAGAGCTGTGTGCTTCAGTTCGCCAGTTTAACATTTTATTAATGATAAAGGTAGCACATTCAGACTAAGGTTATCCTACTTTTAAAAAAAAGGCTAGTTGAATTCAATCACAAAATGTGATTTTTTTTTTTTGATTCTGTTACAATCCACTTGGAGGCAAAAAACTTTTGTTTTAAAATTGGATGAGTTTCCCAGTAACTGACAAAGAATTTCAGGATAAGATTTCTGATTTTAATAAAGTGCTGGACAAAGTCAGGTCTGGCAACATCAAGAAAGGCTGAGGGTAGAAGTGCAGGAAATGGGTTAGACTCTCTTGAGGAGAGAGAAAGTCAGAAGCGCTATTGTGAAAGTTAACATTGTTGGATTAGATATGAGAAATTGGGAGAATGGAATGGCATCTTTACAGGAAGCAGGGTGTGAGGATAGGTAGAAGTGGGAATTGGTAGGTAGACAAATCTTAGTAGACAGCTTATTCTTAGAAATGGAAACAGAAATTGAGGATGGGGACATGAATAGGAAGCGTTCAGAGAGATTCGGGCCAAATGCCAACAAGTGGACTGGATCAGTTTAGGATATCTGGAGGGTATGGATGAGTTGGACTGAAAGGTCTCTTTCTGTGCTGTCTAACTCTATGGCTCTATAAGAAAAGGGAAGAGTCAGAGTTGCACCAGGTGAAGTGAGAGAAGGATGAAAATTGGAAATAAGGATTCATGCAACTGTCCAGTTCCAGATGAGAGCAAGTAGTGGCACTGCCATGGTCATGAATGTACTGGCGAAAGTTCTGGGAGGGTCTTGAGTAGGACTGACTCAAAGAATGTTCCACATACCTCTCCAAAGGTGAGCATATCTCAGGCCCACGTGGATACTCAAGCCAACACCTCTGACTTTGGAAAATGAGATAAAAGACGAATGGTAAATGAGAACACAAGCTCAGCTAGGTGGAGGAGGGTGGTGGTGGTGGATGTGGACTATTTGAGCCTAAGTTTGTGGAAGACAGGCAGAGGTCTCAGACTGACCCGTTCGGAGATGGATGTGTAGAGGCAGGAGCCCTCTTCTGGTCAATGGACACTTTCATCCATCTCCGACTCTTCCTGTCTATTTGGACTCCTTCCTCTGATTTATTTATTTTGGAAACTGTTGGCGTAACATTAGCTGCCTGGATTTTTCCGGTTCCATCAACCAGTTTGATCCGTCTCTCTCTGAACTTTCTGTACTCTGCTGTCTTAGGTCAAACCCTGACTTTTTAAAATCAAAACTGCCAAGAAGGGTGGTGCTGTTGTTATCTGGCATCCCAGCCTCCTTCTTGTCAAGGCTCGGTGCCAGTTCTCAGAAACTCCCCTGGTCTATGATCACACTGCAGAGCATTAAATCATTTATTTTGAGGGCTGACAATGAATTCATCTGTGAAGATCTTCCCTCTCTTCAGTTTTCCATGTTATAGGCCTCCCCAACTGCATACAGCCATGTTCTACATTCTTCCCAAAATCCAAACAAAACTGTCCTGATGTACCCATTGAATCAGCCTTTTCCTGTCCCACTGAGCTTATTTCGTAATACTTGACAATATGTTTTGCTCTTGACCAGATTCTTCCCATCCACATTTGTGAATCTTTTGACTCCTTCTGTCACTGCAACAATTCCAGTTTATCTGGCCCTAACTGCTGCCTGTTTACTGTTGATATGCAATTCCTCCACACAAATATCCCCATCAGAATGGTCTGAAGACTCTGTGCTTCTTCCTTGAATGTTTTCTGTTTTTATTTGCAGCACTTGGCTTTGTTTTCACATTTTAAGCTTATTTTCCTTTTTTTTGTTGATCTTAGATTAAGCTGCTGGCTAATTTAAAAAAAAATGGTTCAGGCTTGAACATATTGCTTTGTTTGTAGACAATGGGTCCCTGTGTATCACCTCTTTCAAGGGTAAATGAGCCGTGTTTTGAGCTCAACTACTTATCTTTAAAATGGCTGTCAGTGTAGCTATTAGTGCACTAAAGATTGTTCAGCAGTGCTGCTTAATCACAGAATCACATCAGATGACAGATGTTTAGTTTCATGTTTTGCAAGTGTGAGCTGGTTGAGTGTTTGTCCTCTGCCGATAACAAAGAACTGAAGAAACATGTTGTTTGATTCATTCACCCATGTGGTTGACAGCTAATTTAGCCGATATAGCACTGGCAATGAAATTCATACATGTACATTCGGACATTTCCTTAATTGTATTGTCAGCAGAGCATCTTTTAGAGTTGATAGCAGTATTGTTTCAATAGCAAATACCACTGATATAGTCATTGAACAGATGCTGCTTTCCAATCAATCAGCACCGTTTTCTCCTGTTGTATTGTCATGAAGCTTTGAAATTTGGTATTCATGCATTTGTCCTGGTTAGTGCAATACATAACCCTATATCAACATGTCTTTCTCTTCAGTAATTTCAATTTGTATGAACAAGTCCAAATATGTTATTTCTCTTTTCTATTCTAGCTTCATGCTGCCATTAGCCATCAAGTTGACCCAGAATGTCTTGGTTTAGGCATAGGAAGTGTTCTATTGAATAGCTTGAAGCAAACTGTGGTGACTCTTGCCAGCAATGCTGGAGTTCTCAATACGGTTCAATCATCAGCACAGGCTGTGTTGCAAAGCGGATGGTCTGTGTTACTCCCCACAGCAGAGGAAAGAGCCAGAGCCCTTTCGGCTTTGCTACCTAATGCAGGTAAGGCTGGGAATTTTTTTCTTGATTTGTGTTGGTCATGGAAAGGGGAAACGGATCTGTTCCAAAGAAGTAGGTCTTTGAGAAGAGTGAAACCCTCATTTATTTAACTTTAACTGGTACTTTAACTCCAAATTCAATAAGCACTCATATGCCCTACCTGAGGATGTTTCTAATTAGTACCAAACTTTGGTGAGATTTATTCTTTTAGTCTAACTTGGTTTCCGTGCATGAAAGACCAGTATCTAACCACCACTAAGTCCACTGTGCAAAGATGTAAAAATGTAAACGTGTTGTGCACATTCAGCATTGATTTTATTTTATTGATCATTAAGTTTCAGGGAATGAAATGAATGTAAGTCCAGGCCGTCGATTTATGATTGACCTTTTAGTGAGCAGTTTGATGGCAGATGGGGGTTTAGAGTCGGCACTGAATGCTGCAATTACAGCGGAAATCCAGGTAAACGTGAACTTTTCGTGTAGTGTATCTCAGTATTCAGAAATGTTTTCAATTATTTTCTGATTTAGGGAGTATGTTTGCATTGAGATTTTGTTACTTACCTAGAAATCCGTAGACCCATTGACTCTTTAAAGGAGGCAAGAATTCAAATCCTAATCTGGTGGAATTTAAACTCCAGCAATTAAGTAAATCTGTTATCAATAGTGGTGACCATGATTGAGAAAACCCCTATAGTGCATGAATGCCCTTTTATGGGATGATATTTGCCGTACTGCTTATGTGACTCCATACCCACAGCCATGTGGCTAACTCTTAGGCGCTCCCCTGAACTGGACCGGCAGTTGTATTCCGGCAGGTAGTTCACCAGTTGGGCTGGACAGTGGATGTTGGCCTTGCTGGCAAGGTCATTATCCGTTAATGCATTTTTACAGGACAAGAGCTATTTTTTGTTGTTCGATTTGAAACTTGTCGTGGAACTGATTAGAAGATGAATTAACGCAACCAAACAGTAGAATTAGTGAACAAAAACAGAAATTGCTGGAAAAGCTCAGCAGGTCTGGCATCATCTGTGAAGAAAAAAAATCAGAGTTAACGTTTGGGGTCCGGTGACCCTTCCTCAGAACGGAAGTGTCACTGCACCCAAAACGTTAACTCTGATTTTTTTTCTTCACAGATTCTTCATACGTGCTGAACTTTTCCAGCAACTTCTTTTTTTGTGAGTACAATTAGTGAGTGACCTTTTTAATCATTGCTTAATTTTTCTCCACAGCATGTATGATCTAAAGAAGTTCAGTGGTTTGTTTAGGATCGCTTTTGTTGCGAGCCCATATTTCCTCCTTCAACTTCGCTTTCTTTAGACACCAATCAGTTTACTTATCTCTCTTTATGTTGTCTCTTACTTCAATTCTATTCTTCTTCCACCTACACCTCATGATGCTGGTTCTCAAGTAAGCCTGTTTAAATTTGCAGTAGCAAATGATTTTTTACAATATTTTAATAGTAAGGAGTGGTCTTTTCCAGACTGTCAGGCTATTACTAAGTGCTGCAAGGATTAGTGCTGGTGCCTTAGCCTTTTACAGTGGTTTTTTTTCGACTTAAAAATCTGTTAATGATGAAGGTTAGGTGAGAAAGGAAGGTGTGGAGGCTGTAAAGGGATAGAGAAAAGTCAAACGAGTGAGCTAGAAGGTTGTAGATGACATATAGTGTGGAGAAACGTGATATTATTCATTTTAGCAGAAAAGCAGGATACTTTTTAAATGGTGAGAGTCTGAGAAACATGAGTGTTTAGAGAGATTTTGGTGCCTGTATACACAAAGCACAGTTAACATGCAGGTGCAATAAGCAATTGAGAAGGCAAATGGTATTTTGGTCCTAATTGTCTTGCTACCATTGCGCAAATTTTGGACAAAGCATGCCTGGAGTAATTTTGTGAAGAAACATGCATGTACTTTTTGTTTGGGAGCTCGGTAGGTGGGAGGATTTTGCAGTCTGCATTGGAGATAGCGTAGCAGCCAAGAGGTGTCTCGACACAGCTACTGTGTTATGGTTAGCCTTGATGAGTTTTGGGGGCTGGGGTTTCATTGAAGTCTATGGAGTAATTGAGAGTGTTGTGTGAAGGAAGTGCAGATGGGAGGTTGGAATTGAGAACACTTTTATGTAATATATTTAAATATTTTCTTCTCGCCATATAAAAGGGATACAAGATTGATGAGAATGGACAGAGTGAATAGAAAGCAGCTGTTCACCCCAGTGAAAGTGTGAATAACAAGGCATCATAGTTTTAACGTGAAAGGCAGGAGGTTTAGAGGGGATTTGAAGATAAGAAAATTCATCCTGTTGGAGTGGGAATTTGGAATGCACTGCCTGGAGGCTAGTGATGTGAAACCTCACAACCTTAAATTTTGAATGAGCACTTGAAATGTTGCAATATTTCAGGCAATGGGGTAAATGCTGGAAAGTGGGACGAGTGTAGATTTAGCTTGTTTCGGTGCAGATTCAATTGGCTGAAGAGCCTCTTCTGTACTGTATGATTCTGTGAAAACATCAAGTCTACTGCAAATTCAAATAGAAACAACAGTCTGGCGTAGTTGGAAGCGAGAGAAACAAAGTTAACATTTCAGATTGACAACCCAGACCTGAAATGTTAACTTTGTTTCTTGCCCTACAAATGCTTTCCGACCTGCTGACTATTTCCAACGTTATATTTTTATTTTAGATATTTGGTATTGTGGTAAATTGGCTGATGCATTCAAGCGGATGGGTTTCTGTGGATGATTGACAGTGAGCATTAAATTGGCAATGCCTGTGTTTTTCTGAATATTTTTTTGTTTTAGGACATAGAAGCAAAGAAGGAAGCCCAAAAAGAGAAGGAGATAGATGAACAAGAAGCGAATGCTTCAACACTCCATCGGAGCAGAACACCACTGGATAAGGATCTCATTAATACCGGCATATATGAGTCTTCTGGGAAACAGAGCTTACCGCTTGTTCAACTTGTACAGCAGTTATTAAGGTACTGGTAAAATTCTGTTTCATTATTTCCCTATTTTGCTTGCTGTAACTTTTGTAGAGAGCTATATAAGCTGAAATGTGAAATATGAGCTTGGATCATATTCCTTTACTTCTAATTTGAAAATATATTGCCGATTTTTAAATTGAGATTTTACTTGGCCTGGAGCCAATGTTGGCCAGCTAGCAGAGTGGTGATAGATGGACAGGTCTTGTGCAGGGAGTTGATAGAAGTCGAAATGAGAGAGAGCTGGATGCTGTCTGGATTCATGTGAAACCTACCACTGTGCTTTCAGATGTTGCTGAGTGACAGCATATAGATCAGAAACGGTACTGTTTCAAGGATAAATCCTTGGGGGACACTGTAGTAGTGGTGCAGAAGCAGGAAGTGTAGCCATTCTAAGTGTTTGGCCATAGTTAAATAGATAGAATGGAACCAGGTGAAAGAGGTCCCACTTGGATGGGAATCAGACCTTTATGGAAGATCGTGTAATCAACCATATTAAATGCTTCTCACAGGTTTATCAAGTGCATTAAGGACTGGGCTTAGCTGTGATGCTTTGTGTGAATCCCTACCCTGTGTAGGGTGACTGTTGGTAAGATGATAGAAGACATCTAGCATCCAGCCAGCAGTCAGCATTGTAGAAAGTAAACATGAAAGCAATACTGGAAAGTGTAAAAAGGAAGTGGGGGAAAATCTATTTTTAAAAAAGTATTCAACTGTTTATCTTTTATTTTTAAAGAAACATTGCATCACAGAGCATTGCTAAATTGAAAGATGTCACACGGCATATTTCTTCTTCTTTGGACCATGAGCACTTCAATCAGGAGAGGTCAGCTTCTTTGGATTTGTTGCTGCGATTTCAGCGTCTGCTAATCAGCAAACTTTACCCTGGTGTAAATTTCAGTTATGAGACCAATGGATACAGTGAGTGAATTTCTAATAAACTTTTCTTCTTAGTTCAGCTAATAAGCAACTGATGCGATGCAAACCTCGTTATCTTTTTTGAAAATTACCTTTCAGTTGGTGTTGGATCTGCATTAAAGCTGCAATGATTCAAGTCTAATTTAGTTTGAAGAAGGTGATGGTAGTTTTCTCAACTCTGCTGTTGGATCAAGGAGAACATTATAGAGTTCTGTTCCATAGTTGAATAGTTACAAATGATAGAAATTACTTTAAATTCTGAAACATTTAAAATTTGTTCAATACTTTTGAAATTGGTAAACTTTATGCTTTCTTTTTGCAAGAGTGTTTTTCTTTTTTTTTCCAGTTTTTGTAGTTATTCTTGGACAGTGACTAGCCTAAGCAGTAACTATCATTCTATATTTTTGCAGGTCCTGAGCTTTTGGGAGTAGGTTCATTGCTTAAAAAGTATATTGCCCTCCTGTGTACACACATAGGGGACATTTTGCCAGTGGCTACCACCATTGCTTCAACCAGTTACAGGCATTTTGCAGAGGTGTCTTGTATTCTTGAAGGAGATTTAACAGGTAACACGTTTATAGTGATGCAGTTTTTGAAAAAATGCGTTTTGGGTGCATCTTTTCTCCACGCTTCTGAAAAATGCAATTGTTACAGTTTTGTCTTTTTATGTATAGTTACTCCATAACCTGTTGGATTTTCCAGCATTTTTCTTGATTTACAGTATCTGTAGTATAACTTCTGAACAAAAAATCTAACAAACTAACATGATGTTCACGTGGTGCAGTGAAAGTGTCCCTACTTCTGAGCCAGGCGCAGGTAATGTTACAAGTCAGTAATTCAGTGATTTATGCCGAAAATCCAAAGAATGAGAGTTCAAATCTTACAATGTTTAAAAAAAAAAATCTGGAAGTAAAACACTGATATTAGTATAAATGCCTTGGCATCCTTCTGAATGAAAAGTGTTGGATTGTGACATGATAGCATGGCTCAGTAACCCCACTTTGGTCTCTGTGCATTTGCTGCAAACGAAGGCAGTGGGCTGAAAAGGTGCAAGGTTTATTGACCTCTGTTCTCTTGTTGACCTTTGTCCTCTATCCTGCCAGCTGAGCGTTTTGTTTCTCCTTTCCTCTGTTCGTGCCCCTTCAGACAGTCTGGCTCCAGCGTTACAGTCATCAGTTACTGTGTCCCAGTTGTCACTGCCAGTGATGATTGAAGCTGTTGTATTTTTTGTAAAAGCTCAACTGGTTCTTCACTGCCATGTCTTTTATGCAATGAAATCTGTTGTCCTTTGTGGGTCTGTATGTATATGTGAAATGGACTAAAAAGATACAGTTGTATCAATCAGTCCTCCAAAAGAAAGTGGCCCACCTTGACATCTTTGTATTAGGACATACCGGGATTGATATTAAGATCCAGTGTGGACAGCAGTTCTTTTGTTTTTTTTCACCTACTGTGCTATCATGTGTAGACCTTGGGAGATACGCTGAGAAAAATAAACTGAGGTTCTCTATGTATCTTCACTACATGAGAAAAACACTTAGTGATAAAAGCCTTTTTGATACATTGATACATTGATGCATTCTTTACGTATGATTAAGTGCCACAGAGTCTCACAGCATGGAAACAGATCCTTTGGACAACTCATCTGCGCCAACCAGACATCCTAAACTGTCCTAATCTCATTTGCCAGCATTTGGACGATATCCCCCTATACCCTTCCTATTCATATACGTATCCAAATGCGTTTTAAATGTTGTAATTGTACCCATCCCTTCCACCTCTGGCAGCTCGTTCCATGCATGCAGCACCCTCTGTTTAAAATAAAAAGTTACCCCTCAAGTCCTTTTTAAATCCTTCCCCTCACATTTAAACCTAAGGCTAGGAGTACAATGTTGATGTAGGGGATTAAGTATTTGAAAGGATGTCAAATCTACCTTCTACCAGTCTTCTCAAGCATTTATGTTTCCACCATGAAGCCCGAGAGAACACTGCTTGTTGAGGCTATTTCTGGAATGACAGTCAGATCTACATATAGTCCAGATGAGAGTGGCTTTCCCTAATATACACTCCAAGTTCTGGCGTTTTTCCCCAACTGATGAAAATGCAAACTGTTGGGAATGGGGATGGGACTTCTGTAGCTAGGCCCCATCCTGCTGGTTTTAAGGATGTCTGGAATACTCCTGACTCCATGGAAATTCTGGCCAAATGTGTTTCCATTGGTGAATGGTCATCTAAATAAGGTGATTTGCAAAAGAACCAGCAGCAGAATGACAAAATATTTTTGCACCAAGTGGAAAAGCACTACCTGAGAATGTGGTGAGGCAAATACTTACCAGGGCTTTCAAAAAAGAATTGGATACTTTCTTGAAGGGAGAGAAGGTGCAGAGCTATGCTGTCAGGACAGGGAACGTGAGTATCGAGAGTTTCTTTTGAAGAGAGCTGACATGGACGTGACACACTGGTCTCCTCTGCATTAACCAATCTACAATTTAATGGAAATACAAATTAAATACTTACAAGTATTCCACTTAACTTCTCATCATCTATTCCATACTTTTGCAGTTTTGTTCAACACCTTTTCAATAAATTGAAATCAATAAATTGATGCAAAAGTCTATATCTTGAACTATATTTTTTGTAATTAGACAAAGCAGCAAAGTTAATAAAAACCCATGCCAAAGAGATTTGTACCATGCTACTAATTGAATTGATTGTCAGTAATTTCTCAGTTTGGTCTTGTGTATTCAATAAACGTCTTTTTAAGCCATTCAGGTTTTCAGGTATTCAGATGCCAGATTTTTATACTAGTTCTCATTGTCTCTGATTATTCCACTTAAGTATTTTTTTGCACTGCTGAGTTTACGCTCACAAACCTGTTTACTTTTTTTATGGTCAACTGTCAATTCGTTCACGTTTATAATTCTGACTGAGCAGTCAAAAATACTTTCTGATAACTATACTCAACAAAAATAAAGACATTGCCTGATGTTCCCAAGATCTGACATTTGTTGTTGTTTTCTGCTCTTTTATTTTCAATTTTGTCCTCTGATTTCTAATTGTAAGAAAATCTTTGAGGTTGGTGAGGAAAAAATGAACTTTAAATGCTGTCCATGTTTAAATTTAACAGAAGTAATTTCTTGCTAAGTACAAGATTTCTTCTTTGGTGAGTGAATTGTTGGATACGTACGAAGGACAGTTCTGGATGGTTATAATGTTCTGTTCTGTTTTTGTTTTATTGTAGGAGTTCTGCTTCCTGAACTGGTAGTTTGTGTTGTCCTGCTTCTCACTAAAAATGCTGGACTGATGCAGGAGGCTGGAGCTATTCCTCTGCTGGCTGGATTGCTAGAACATTTAGACAGGTTTAACCAACTGGCACCTGGCAAAGAGAGGGATGACAATGATGATTTAGCATGGCCTGGAATAATGGGTATGTCAATTTACAGATAGTTTGCATGAAATAATTTACAGATTTTGCTTAGAAACAATTTAAAGTGGTTCAGAAAAGACCCAAAGATAATATGATAGAAGGTTTTTACACAACAAGTACTGTCTGAGTGAATCTAGCTTCACCACACAATCATGACGTTGCAAAGCAAACTAGACAATAGAAGAATAAAGATCTGCTGAACCATGAGGAAAGGGTGGGAAGTAGGTCAAGGCAAGTTGCTCTGGGTTCCAGCTGAGATGGGTCACATGTCTTATCACAGACTGTTACTACATAAAAAAGAAAACTTGAACTGAAGTTAATTTTAAATCTCTCATTTAATTTGAAAGTATAGTCGAGATTTCTTAATTCTTTAAAAAAAAAATTGTGGCTTTACAGGTTCATTCTTCACAAATCAGAGCTCACGGAACAATGAGGAGGTTACCCTAATTCGAAAAGCTGATCTTGAGAACCATAATAAAGATGGTGGCTTTTGGACTGTAATTGATGCAAAGGTGTATGACATCAAAGATTTCCAGACACAGTCATTGAGCGGGAGCAGCATTCTTGGTGAGATTATTTATCATGTTTCCGAAGGAATTTCACTGATTAAAGTGAATGTGACAAGGTATTTGACTCTGACTTAACTCAGCCATACTGCAACACACAATCCCCATCTTCCTGTTCTTGGCTAATGCCTCCCAACATGAACCCTGAAACACCAACCTTGAATACTGTCACTATTGCAAAAATATTAACTATGCAGTTTCTAAAGCCCAGTGTGTATTTTGCTATTGAAAAGAATTCTGACTTTATTGAAATCAGTCAAGGTTTTTGTAGGTTTCTTTTACTATAACTTTGGAGTGTACGTTGAATAAAAAGTGCTGTTTTCCCTGGACAAGTTAGATATTGATTTGTGCTCAAAATTTAGGATTCTAATTGATGTGAACCAACTGATCTGATCCATTACGCACTGTAAATGGTGAAGTCCTATTCCTCGAGCTGGCTTAAAGCTGCTACTCAAATGTGATAGTGTTATGATTATTTTTCCTGACCAGTAACAAGAACAACATGTCTTGAGTGGCTTCCTGTACTAACACTGTTTGAATCTCTTAATGTCTGTTGGGAAATATTGCCTTTAAAGAATGCCGGTGGCTGACAGGGCTCCCATTGACATGGAATTTCAAAAGAGAAGCCATCATGGACCTGTTTGAAATCTCATGGATCCCACTGGAACACACCTCTCACATTAACTGAAGACACCCTTCCTTCTTAATGGTGTACTACTTGATTGGCCGCAGACATCACTAACTCAGCCTGGTTACTGACCCATGGGAGCCCTAGACCCTGGACAAGCCTCAGTCACTTGAGGTTGGGCCGAGGAAGATGTGGCCACTTTTCTGAAACATGAGGAACGTCTCCAATTGTGACTGTGGCCATTCAAGTCAGACCATCATCCACATACTGGACATCTGCCCTGAGAGATCCGTCTTAGTAGGATCGCAACTGTTAACAATTCATCAGTTGAAACCATTAAATTGACTGTTCTCCTTGACATCGAACTATAACCGCTTCTTAAGCCATGCAATGAAAAAGTTAGGATGTTCTTAGGTGCAGATCTTCCCCCAAAATTGTTGCGTGTGACATTGTTCATTAAGCCCTACTTTGCCTTAACATGTCTTGAACCCAACTGAAAATACCAGTGTAACATGTTATAGAATTTACAATACAGAAGGAGGCCATTCGACCAATCGTGTCTGTACTGAATTCTGAATGAGCAACACAGTTAGTCCTATTCTTCAGCTCTCCCTCTGTCGTCTCTAAATTCATCACTTTAAAAAAAAAATCAGCTTTCTTTTGAAACCTCGTATGGAATCCACCTCCATCAGTCCCCCAGGCAGCGCATTCTAAATCATAACAACTGAGAGGAGCAGTTTCTCCTCATCTCACTTCTAGCTCTCTTGCTGACAGTCTTTGAAATTGTCACCCCTAGTTACTGACATACTAACTAGTGGAAACAGAATATCCTTTTTTACCTTGTCAAAATTGTTCATAACTTTGAACAATCAATAAGGTCACCTCTCAATCTTCCCTGTTCCAAAGAGTACGAGTCCAATTTCTGTAATCGTTCCTTCAGCTAAAATCCCGCATTCTAGTTATCCTTCTAGTAAATCTCCTTTGCATTCTCACTAGGGCTCCATCTTTAAATAAGGTCCCCAAAACTGAACACTATACTCCAAATATGATTTGACCATTCATTTGTAGAGGTGGAGCATCACTTCCTTGCTTTTATTCTCCATGTCTTGATTTATAAACCCAATGATCCTATGAACCTTTTTAGCAACTGTTTCAACTTGCCTGGCCACATTCAGAAAATTATGCACATGTACCCTGAGGTCCCTGTGCTCCTGTACCTCTTCAAGGTTGAACCATTAAGCCTGTATTGCCCCTCTGTTTCTTCTACCAAAATGCATTGTTTCACATTTCTTGGCATTGAAATTCATCTGCCAGGTGTCTGCCCGTTTTGCCAAGATGTCAATGCCCCTCTGAAGTCACACAGTGTCATGCTCACAATTCACTAGACTTATTTTGTCCCTAACACCCATGTCCAAATGCTTTCTTAAATCCGAAAAAGCAAGGGTCCCAGCACCGATCCCGGAGGAGCACAACTTTCAACTCCTCTCCAATCTGAGAAATGCCCATCTATATCTACCCTCTGTTTCCTATCATTTAGCCAACTTCTAATCCATGTTGCTAAGAACCAATCAATCCCAAGCATTTCTAATTTGCTAACCAACCTGCCATGTGGCACCAAATCAAATATTCTTTCAAAGTACAATATACAACATCCACAGTGCTACCCTCCTCTGTGTCGCCTTGTCAAAGAACTTAGTCAAATTTGTCAGACATGACCTGCCCTTGACAAAGCCATGTTGACTCAAGTATTAACTTAGAGAAAAATAAGTGTAGAACATAGAACATAGAACATTACAGCGCAGTACAGGCCCTTCGGCCCTCGATGTTGCGCCGACCTGTGAAACCAATCTGAAGCCCATCTAACCTAAACTATTCCATTATCATCCATATGTTTATCCAATGACCATTTAAATGCCCTTAAAGTGGGCGAGTCTACTATTTTTGCAGGCAGGGCATTCCACGCCCTTACTACTCTGAGTAAAGAACCTACCTCTGACATCTGTCCTATATCTATCACCCCTCAATTTAAAGCTATGTCCCCTCGTGCTAGCCATCACCATCCGAGGAAAAAGGCTCCCACTGTCCACCCTATCTAATCCTCTGATCATCTTGTATGTCTCTATCAAGTCACCTCTTAACCTTCTTCTCTCTAATGAAAACAGCCTCAAAACCCTCAGCCTTTCCTCATAAGACCTTCCCTCCATACCAGGCAACATCCTGGTAAATCTCCTCTGCACCCTTTCCAATGCTTCCACATCCTTCCTATAATGCGGTGACCAGAACTGTACGCAATACTCCAAGTGCAGCCGCACCAGAGTTTTGTACAGCTGCAACATGACCTCATGGCTCCGAAACTCAATCCCTCTACCAATAAAACCTAACATACTGTACGCCTTCTTAACAACGCTATCAACCTGGGTGGCAACTTTCAGTGATCTACGCACATGGACACCGAGATGTTTCTGCTCATCCACACTACCAAGAATCTTACCATTAGCCCAGTACTCTGTATTCCTGTTACTCCTTCCAAAGTGAATCACCTCACACTTTTCCGCATTAAACTCCATTTGCCACCTCTCAGCCCAGCTCTGCAGCTTATCTATGTCCCTCTGTAACCTGCAACATCCTTCCGCGCTATCCACAACTCCACCGACTTTGTCATCCGCAAATTTACTAACCCATCCTTCTACGCCCTCAGCCAGGTCATTTATAAAAATGACAAACAGCAGTGGCCCCAAAACAGATCCTTGAGGTAGACCACTAGTAACTGAAGTCCAGGATGAACATTTCCCATCAACCACCACCCTCTGTCTTCTTACAGCTAGCCAATTTCTGATCCAAACTGCTAAATCACCCTCAATCCCATGCCTCCGTATTTTCTGCAATAGCCTACCATGGGGAACCTTATCAAACGCTTTACTGAAATCCAAATACACCACGTCAACTGCTTTACCCTCATCCACCTGTTTGGTCACCTTCTCGAAGAACTCAATAAGGTTTGTGAGGCACGACCTACCCTTCACAAAACCGTGTTGACTATCCCTAATCAAATTATTCCTTTCTAGATGATTATAAATCCTATCTCTTATAATCCTTTCCAACACTTTACCCACAACCGAAGTAAGGCTCACTGGTCTATAATTACCAGGGTTGTCTCTACTCCCCTTCTTGAACAAGGGGACAACATTTGCTAGTCTCCAGTCTTCTGGCACTATTCCTGAAGACAATGATGACATAAAGATCAAAGCCAAAGGCTCTGCAATCTCCTCTCTCGCTTCCCAGAGAATCCCAGGATAAATCCCATCCAGCCCAGGGGACTTATCTATTTTCACACCTTCCAGAATTGCTAACACCTCCTCCTTATGAACCTCAATCCCGTTTAGTCTAATAGACTGTATCTCAGTATTCTCCTCGACCACATTGTCTTTTTCCTGTGTGAATACTGATGAAAAATATTCATTTAGCACCTCTCCTATCTCTTCGGACTCCACGCACAACTTCCCACTACTGTCCTTGACCGGCCCCAATCTTACTCTAGTCATTCTTTTATTCCTGACATACCTATAGAAAGCTTTAGGGTTTTCCTTGATCCTACCTGCTAAAGACTTCTCATGTCCCCTCCTGGCTCTTCTTAGCTCTCTCTTTAGGTCCTTCCTGGCTAACTTGTATATTTACCTTATCCCATATTATGGCCTCCATCAGTTTTCCCACTACTGACGTCAAGCTGACTAGCCAGTGTTTCGTGGGTTACCCTTTGCTCCTTTCCTAATCAGTGGTGTCACATTTGCAATTCTCCAGTCCCCGAGGACTAATCCTGTCTTCAGAGAGGTCTGGAAAGTTTTTGTCAATTGCTCTGTAATTTGCTGCTTTACCTCTCTCAGCAATCTAGGATTCATCCAGGCCTGGTGACTTCTTTACCTGGAGTGCTGCCAGCCTTTTTAGCATCTCTTCTTTATTTATCACTCTGCTGCTCAGTCATTCAACACCCACATTTTCAAATAGGCCATTGTCACCATTTTCTAATTTGGTAAAAACAGAAGCAAAGTACTCATTTAGTACCTCTGCCATAACTCTTTGCTTCAATGAGGGGTTTGCCTTGCTTGTTCCTTTTAGCCTCCACTCTATTCTTCACTTTTTACTATTAATATGTTTAAAGAACATTTTACTGTTTGTTTTAATGCGGCCTGCTCTCCTTTCCTCATGTTTCATCTTAGCCTTCCTTATTCTCGTCTTAACCTCTCTTGTGCAATTGACATACTCTTCCTGATTTCTATTGCTATTATTATTCCAGTATGCATCATAAGCCTCCTTTTTCTTCCATTTTTTCATCAATATCCTTAGTCATCCAGGGTACTGTAGCTTTGAATAACCCATATTTATTTCTCATGGGTATGTATCTAGCTTTGAGGCATAGTCATACAGCATGGAAACAGACCCTTTGGTCCCATTTGCACCCTATTCATTTCTCTTTTGAAAGCTTCCCATTTCTCATCCACTGTTTTATCTACCAAAATGCATTTCAAATCATATTGTTCCAGCTCAACTTTTAGACTCCCAAAATCTGTCCTTTTCCAGTCTGGGGTCTTAATCCTGGACCGATTTTATCTTTTTTGTATTATTATTTTCTATCTTAATATTGACCCTTAATATTATGATCATTATTCCCCAAATGCTCCCCTACTCTAATGTTCTCCACTTGGACCAGCTTCATTTCCTAGGGCCTTGGCCATGGCCTAGGTCCTTGCCATTAATAGCCAATCTACTTTATGCATATGACTACAAGTAGTGTTGCATTATGACTCCTGTCTGTCTTTGACCATTTTCAGTAGAGAATTGGTAGAGATTGTCAAAATTGAGTTTAGTTTATAGGGCTATTATTTGGACTTTCTGGGTATATCAATGTTACCTGCGTAGTGGTGTTCAAAGGTTAAGCCTGATTACAGTGCCAGTTTTTGATACCATTGACAATTAATAAGAACTCTACAAAGAATTTTATCCAGGATGCAATATACTAGTATTTTGCGCTGCAGAATTTCCAATGGTTGTCAAAGGGCAAAGAGAAAATTAGTTTTTGCTTTTGTGCCTGACTGGGATATTGATTGGTTGCACGGGGATTGCTTCAGTTTTGTTTAGACTATGAATGTGTTAGGCACCAAAAGCTGATGAGAACTATTACTTTTGGACGAATTTGCGAAGTTTGGATGAGTGATTGCTAGTCCAATTTTGACAGTAGTCATACTGCTGTTTTGTTTACAATGTGAAGTATAATCCCAAAAGTGCATTCGAATTCTGGCACTTGTGACATTGTGACACAAAGAAGAGGAACAGTTTTTCCATCAGTTAATCCAAGTTATGACAGAAGAGTGTTCTAATGCATGCTACCCGTGTAGCTGCATTTTAACAGCTTTCATATTCACCTTCGTCCTATTTTTAAAAAAAAGGTGCAAAGTGTAAACTACTTATGACTCATAAATTCAACTACACACGAATTTTTGGCCAATTTTACAAATGTACCACTATTGACGTTTTCTTTCTTTTCATTTTTACCTGGGACAGGTACAGTTTAATTTACATGTCGACCAGATTACTTGCCTGCTTTTGGGCATGTAAGTATAGGAATTTTGAACCCATGTAATGAGATCTGCCTGCCACTGTTCCATGCTTGTATTGTTGAGTCAAAGAATTCTATGTTTTTTAGGTGGGGAGACATAACTGGTATGTAAAGTTGCACATATAGAGAAGTAGGTAGTAAGGGAGTTTGTGATTAAAGGAAATTTGTTTTTGAGATTGAACCCTTGAAGGGGGAAAAAGTGCTCAAAATGTGTCTTAATTGTGTGTTATTTAAGATAAAAGTAGCATATTTGATCCCAATCGTGAAGAAGCTGACAAAATAAATAGAGTATTTCCATTTCCCCACTGAAAATGACTTTGCTCAGAGGAGAAAAAACAAATTTTACTAATCCATACAACACTGTTTGGATTGATATTTTACAAGTATACTTCTTGCTGGTAGAATGCTTCTTTGTTTTAAATGGTGATGATAGCATGGTATTTTTGCTTGCAGCTCAGTTTGCTGGAGAAGACCCAGTGGTTGCATTGGAAGCTGCCCTCCAGTTCGAAGATACAAGAGAGTCAATGCAAGCATTTTGTGTTGGCCAATATATGGAGGTACAGAAATATTTCATAAAGCTGTGCTGAGATCTGCTCCATTGTGTTTAATGAATAGGTTATTTGCCTTTGATTTCTGATTGAAGTACTTTTTTTAAAAAGAAAAATAACAAATAGCACATTGTTTATTTTTCTGAAATAACATAAAATTTCCAGCATGTATTAGACTAAATCAAGTCAAAACAAATTGTTGGAGAAACCCACCAAGTCTGGCACCAACTGTGGAGAGAAACGCATTTAACTTTTAAAGTGCTAGAACTCTCTTTCAGAAGGGTCACAGGACTTGAAACATTAACTTTGCTTTTTTCTCCACAGATACTGCTGGACCTGCTCAGTTTTCTTAGCAACTTTGTTTTTTTTTTCATTCTAGATCTCCAGCATTTGCAGTTCTTTGTTTTGCATCAGACTAAGGTTTTTAAAATCTAATTAATTGCCTTTTAATTTCTCCTTCTTTGTTTTTCCATTATAGCCAGATCAGGAAGTGGTAACCACGCCAGATCTTGGCAGTTTATCTTCACCTCTGATCGACACAGAACGGAATCTTGGTCTCCTCCTAGGATTACATGCATCATATTTGGGAATGAGTACTCCTTTGTCATCTCTAGAGGTCGAATGTGCCAGTTAGTATACTGATAACACAATATACGCAAACCTTATTTTTGTAATACTTTTGCCAACGTTTTAAATCAAAAGTTTTAAAAACAATTTAACCCAGTTATTGTTAACCTCTCCTTTGTTGGGAGATTTGCTCACATTCTATCTGAGTTGCACAAGCTTAGCAATTCAAGACTCTAACTTTTATCTTATTGAAGCTAGGTTTTTTAGCAGTTTGTATTTCAGTACATACTTTATAATGTTTTTTGGTGATTTGAATGGGTGACAGACCTATTTGTTGACTTGCTCGCTGAGCTGGCTTATTTTTGTTCAGATGTTTTGTCATCATGCTAGGTGATATCATCAGTGGAACTTCCGATGAAGCGATGTTATTCTACTCTGCTTGGAATTTATACTGTCTGGTCCGTTATGGTGAGCAGTGTCATTTCCGGTTTTCACCTGTATGGGTTTGTATATGAGGTCCAATTCTATATGTTTGGTTGAATTTTGGGTGGAGAACCATGCCTCTAGGAATTCCCGTGCATGTCTATGTTTGGCTTGGCCTACAATGGTTACCTTGTCCTGGTTAAATTGATGGCCTTCATTGTCTGAATGTACCAATATTAAGGAGAGACATTCAGACAATGAAGGCCATCAGTTTAACTGGGACAAGGTAACTATAGTAGCCCAAGCCAAACATAGACACACAGAGGAATTCCTAGAGGCATGGTTCTCCACCTATACTTCAATCAACAAACATATAGAATTGGACCCCATATACAAACCCATACAGATCAAAGCCGGAAATGTCAGTACTCACCATAAAGGACTAGACAGTATAAATTCCAAACAGTAGAACAGCATGGCTGTGTCGGAGGCTCCACTGATGTCACCTAGCATGGTGACGAAATGTCTGAAGAAAAACAAGCCAGCTCGGCGAGCAAGTCAACAACCTCATCCACAACCCGAGCTACAGATCTTTGTCGAAACTTTAGACCTATTTGTGTTTAAATAGAAAAGGAAATAGGTGGTGGAGAGCCAATGATCAGTTGAAGTGTAAGGGCATTGTGGCATTCAGAGAGGCATTCTTCTTGCCTTGTTTAAGTGGTGTCTCCTGCTAAGTGTGGAGCCACATTGAGGTTGACTTGCAGCATCTGTGATTGCTGTTATGCTAATTAGTGTGATATGTGAAATTGAGGCTTGCAAAAAGAGACGACAAGCAATGATGATTTTAGTTCTTATTGAAAATTGAGGAAGATTTAACACTCAAGTTTGCATTGCCACTTGAAAAGATATCTTGAATTTTATTAAGCTATTTTAGTAATATCCAAACAATACAGTTGTTTGTAGAATTAACACAATTTCTATATTTACCAGAATGGCTGCAATCTTCCCTTTTCTCCGGTGGTTTGCAGACAAGCCAGATTCATTACAGCTATAATGAGGAGAAAGATGAAGATCATTGCAGCTCCACTACAACTCCAGATAAAACCAAACTTTATGTACGGAATTTAACACAAGGTGATCACACTCAACCTTTCCTCCAGGCTATTGCAGACAACAACATTCAAGACTACAATGTAAAGGTATGTGTTTCATCAGGTAAAATGAAGCACTGCTTGTTGCTGCTTTTATCTAAGACTAAAATGGTTATTCTGGATTTTATATGTTAAAGCTTGTAAGTTTTTACACAAATTTGCACTAGAGTTTTTACTTGGACAGAAGAAGGCTGCAGTGCAAATTGCAAAACTGTGGTGGCTGGGAGGTAAAGACCAATCAATAGTTTCAGTTGACTGTTGGTCACAGACCTTGTGTGCCAAGAGTGGTTGATTGAATTTGAGCTCATTTAATGTGAATTTAAAATCCGTGTGAGAAACTGACCTGACGAAGGCTTTAATTTATGGCTGCTTGTTGCAGTTGTGACTGTGAATGCCATTGTGCTTAAAATTCTGCAAGTAATGTTCATGTGTGTTCATCATAAGTGGAATCAATGCATCATACTTATCTGTGGATGTGGATGGATTTTGCTTTGGTAAGTTTTCTTTAGAAATGAAGAAAAAGATCAGGGATTTTGGTCTAAGGTGATTACAAGTGTGTGTTTCGGTCAAATCCACACAGATGTTGTTATCCGGGTAGGTATCATGGAAATTCCAGGTTGTTGTGACAATAAAAGTTACTTAAAACATGTGGATACTTTTATGAACTAGTATCTGCTGTGGCTATCTTCATATATTCAGTAATATAATTTGCTCTAATTGCAATGAATGCATTGCTTACATGGGAGTTGACTTGCATTCTAACCCAAATATCTAATTAAGATCTTATCTTATGACCAGACTGGATGCTAACATCTTTTGCATGTTTTTTCAGCTTCTGTCTCCAAAGACTAAGCATGTAAATATTTGATCAGGCATGGCTTGGGAAGAAACATTAGGCTATGCCATTTTAAATTGGATCAATGTGCAGTGCAACACTTAACATTGTCTTCACTGATTTCAGTCAGTTCAATATGCCTTTGTATAATTCTTATATTCCGTCCTGGGATGTGAGCATTGTTGGCAAGACCAGCATTTATGGGCCATCTCTAATTGCCTTTGAAAAGTCATGGGCAAACCACCTTCTTGAATACAATCTTGGCTTTCTTGGCTATTTTGGAACGTATTTGAGAGTCAATCATGCTGTAGGTTTGGGCTGTCACTGGGACCAGATGAGACGAGAATGCCATACTTCCTTCTGTAAATGACATTACCAAAGCAGGGTTTTTTCTTCTGAAAGTCTGGTCATTTCATGTTCAGCATTATTGATGCTGGCATTTTTATTTGACTCTATTTAAATTCTCAGGCGCTGTGATGGGTGTTTGAACCAGTATCCAGATCATTAGTTCAGACCTTTGGATTCTTAGTCCAGTAAAACAAGGCAAGGCTACTGTACCTCTAACTAATAATAGCACCCAATACGTTTATGAAAGTTCTACACTTCTCCCCATCGGTATCTTATTTAGCGTTGGCAGAATGATCCATTTCTTTCTGCATTTCACCCCTTTAAGAAGCTCCCTTTCCTACTGCTTTCATCCTTTTCTGAACCTTCTTGCAGCATTTGCAGCTCTATGTGCTCTTCTACGTGAAACAAAAGAAAGCTTGACTTGTGGTGACCTAGTGAACATTACAGGACAGCATTATACCCAAGCCTCCTCTGTTTTGATCATCAGGAGATGATGGGCTGTGCTCAGGGTGGTGTCACTTCTGGATTGAGCATTCTGTTTTATCTGTCGGGAGCAATTTGAGAGTGGCAGTGCCTTCCACAGCTAGCACTGATGAATAATATTGTCCTGAGGTTGACTAATGTTATTTCCTTTCAGCAGGTACAGTGTGGAGCTGGAGGAACACCCCGGCCAGGCAGCATCAGAGGAGTAGGAAAGTCGACATTTCGAGTCGGGACCCTCTAAAGAAGGGTCTAACCTGAGACGTCAACCTTGCTGCTCCTCTGATGCTGCCTGGCCTGCTGTGTTCCTCCAGCTCCACACTGTATTGACTCTGACTCCAGCATCGGCAGTTCTTACTATCTTCTTTCAGCAGGTTTTTTTTGTACGATTGGTTCATTCCTTTTGACTTCTGTTTTTTCCATGCTACCCCTTCCTGGCTACCTGTTTTCAGGCATTCCCATGCATTAACTCTGATCCCAATCAACTTCAAGTCTTGTTTGCAGACCTCCTTTCCTTGCATATATAGATGATTTGTTGATCTTGTGCTGATAGTAGGCTTACATGTATCTAGGGAATTGACAATCGTCCATTTGGTTCACGTGGCCCAGTCAATCTAGGTGTTGTCTTGAGGGAAAACAAGCTGGGGATCCCTGCTTGCTGGTGTACTTGCATGTTTGGGGACACACTTTTGTAGCCAGAAGACATCCAATTATCATCTGATCTGGTGGAGGTGGTTGCTGTTGATCCTTTTTCCTTGGCTTTCACAAGTTGTTATTAATTTTTGACTCTCAAGAAAGTGAAATGATTCTGTAGATTATCCATTGGGTCATTGAGCAAACTTGAAATAGTGATTCTAAAGGGCAGTTATTGATAGCAGGTGTCCTGCTTAGTCCTGAGCTGAGTATTTTGACTTTCCATAAAGGCTACTAGCATTTGATTGCATAATCTTGTCTGTCTTTGTTCATCTGTTACTGAAGTGCTTATTCATTAAAAGAATGTGTTCAACTTCTCCACCTTTTCAATGAGAACCCAAGTATCGTGGCTTACAGTATAGAAGTTGAAAATTCAATTTTACACTTTTCAAAATAGTTGTATAATCTATATTTGTTTGCTAAAATAAGTTATATAAAAAAGTAATATTGAGTAGATTTTTCTTTTCTCTGAATAGCTTTGCAGAATTTGACAGTATTTAGTAACGAAATTCTGTTACTTGTTTAAGCATCTTTTTCTTTGTTGCAGTTCCCATATTATTTTGTTTATATTGACTCATTTATGTTCCATTGGCAGGATTTCTTGTGCCAAATAGAGCGCTATTGCAAGCAGTGTCATCTGACAACACCAATCACTTTCCCTCCTGAGCATCCTGTGGAAGACGTAGGGCGGTTACTCTTGTGCTGTCTCCTGAAGCACCAGGATTTAGGTTGGACACGTTGCTAAATCTCAAACACTAAAAATAATTTTAGTTTTAATAAACTGACTTGTGTATTCTGAATTTTTGATGAGCCTTAAAAGGTAATTCAAGAGTTGTTTTTGCAGATGCCAGCAATTTTTTTTAGATTTGGGTAGATCTAATGTTCGAATTTTCTTCCCATGTTGTCAGCTCTGTCACTAATAAATTATTGAAGCAGTTTTCTTCTACTTGCTGCTAATTTTCTCACTGATTTGTTCTGTGTCCATTATTCTTCTATCTTGTGCGTTCTTTGCTATTGTTCTGTTGTCCATGTCATTGGTAAGCTATTTTTAGTTCCCCTCTGCAGTGTTGAATTGAACTCAAATTTTGCATGAATTGATAGACAAAATTTAAATTTCTTTAAACTTTAACTACTTAAATTTATTCAGTTTTCATATGAGTACTCATTGACACTTGTTAACGCCTAATCCTAGGACAAAAAGATTATAACATGGAACCACTGATGCTGATAGGAAAATTGGTTTACTGGACAAAATAAAGCTAATTTGAAAGGAAGTTCAGCATTTGCACTCTTTTGATTTTAAAAGTATCTTTCTTCTTTGTGTCCCGCTTCTCCTTCCCCACCCAGACTGATCTTAATAAGTAATAAGAATTACGTAACAATAGAAATGGGTGCTTCTTAATCTCTGTCTGGTGAAGCCAATATGATTGGTATCAACAGTTTTAACATCTGGCTGCACTTGACATGCAAAAATACAATAGAGTCCTTTACAAAGATACTGAAATCTATTGTCCCCTCAACAAAACTGCAGCAATCAAATTATTATTTCAATACATGGTAGGCTAAACAAAATGGTGTTCTGATTTTAGACAGTCACACAATGGGGTTGTTGTGTACAAAGAAAAAGGAGGAGGAATGGTTATTTTTGGAGAGGGCTGTTGTAAATTCTGAACCTTCTATGAGCTTATTATTCAATTGCTGTCAGTCTGGAGCTTGTGAAAAGGGAAGAAAAAGGGGAAAAGTAATTGCAAATGCAGGGGTTGACAAAATTGATAAACTAGATTATAGCTAGATTTCGAATATTTGATTATTGTGCAGTGAATTTGACTTGAATGGTGCATACTTCATAGGAGACCAGATTGCTGTTGAACTGGATTGATTCTTTAAGACACCAATTCTGAGAATGTTTGAGAAGCTCCACATGTCTGGCAGCATCTGTGGAGAGAGAAACAGTTAATATTTCATGTTCAGAACATTGAAGAGTATATCCTACTTGAAATGTTAATTCTGTTTCTTCACGGATGCTGCCAGCCATGTTGAGTTTCTCAAGCATTCTTTGTTTGTATCAGATTACGAGCATCTGTGGTATTTTGATTTTAGTTGATTCTTTAAGAGAATGCTAGATAGAGGATTGACATGGATAGAGGATCATACTTCCCTATGACTCTGAAGTTACTAATCTTAGCAATTTGCTGTCACAGGCATTAAACAAAGTCTTGTCTTAGAATTTCAGTTCAGTGTTTGGCCTAAATCTAATGTGTGCATTTCTTTTTCTCCGTGTAAATTTTATGCAGGCCATACAGCTTTATCTGTTATCAACCAAAATGCGTTAGGAGTGGATCAAGGAAAGCTCAGAGTCTTGCCTAAGTCGGTGGGTGATGTTTGTCGGGTGGTGTATCAAGCCAAGTGTTCTTTAATAAAGGTGAAGAGGATATTTTATAGACTTCTGAGAATGTCATTTCTATTTTAGATGCTACTTTTAAAGTGTCATTCTCTTTGCAGTGTTATTTGTTGCAAACCAGCTTAAACCTTTTTTCTTCTAAATCTTAGACTCACCAAGAGCAAGGACGTTCATACAAAGAAGTGTGCGCACCAGTAATTGAACGTCTGAGATTTTTGTTCAATGAGTTGCGGCCGGCTGTCAGTAATGACATTTCTATAATGTCTAAGCTAAAACTGCTAGGTTCCTCACCTCGGTGGAAGAAAATTACCCAGAAAATCATCCGTGAAAGAAGGAGGATGAGAGGTACACAAAAATTGTTTTTATGTCTAAGATGGTAGAACAAAGTATATGCACTGACAAAAATGACTTGTGTGAAGTGCACATACGATGCAAGTAAAATATGTGTGTGTGCTATTTTGTATCATGTTTGTTATTTACATCTATGAAACATAGAAATCTTAAGGGCTGCGCTCTGAAAGCTTGTATGATTCCAAAGAAACCTGTTGGACTATAACTTGGTGACATGTGACTTTTGAAGCTGTTGAAGTAAGTTTTTTGGAAGCAAAATTTGATTGCATTCTCTTTTTTGAAGGAATCAACCTACTAGCAATATCTTTGTTTATATTGGCTTTAAACTTTGAATATTTTTAACAATTATATGGTCCTCAAGTTCAAACCATTAAGCTTTCCATTCTTTAGCTGGTCGAAGTTGCTAATAACTAGATCTGAACATTGACTTCTCCATGTAAATCTTATTTCATCTAAAAGTGGGTGGGATGCAGTGAAAACTGCGTGATTAATAAAATTAGGTTGTTTGATAAGCACTGACTTTATTTTGTTATTCAATTTCAACTTATCCCTGACTATGAAGCAAATGCAATCAGCAGAATTATTCACTTGTAGGTTTTTCTAATGATGCAGGCAATAGCACATCTTAGTTGACAGGCTAGGATGTATAATTGAGCAGGACTCATGTATTTAGACTAGACAAGCAGAAGTTTTCTGAGTGTTAATCCTCAAAATTGTCAGTTGAGACTAAGGTTCCGATTTCCTACCTCCATCGAGGTCATAGAAGACAGTAGGAGTGGAAGGGTGCTTTTTTGGAATGGGGATCAGTAACTAGTGGTGTTCTGCAGGGATCAGTGCTGGGACCTTTGCTGTTTGTAATGTATATAAATGATCTGGAGGAGAATGTAGATTGTCTGATTAGTAAATTTGCCAACGACATGAAAATTGGCTGAGTTGCAGATATTCAGGAGCATTGTCAAAGGATACAGCGATATAGAATGCAGATTTGGGCAAAGAAATGTCAGATGGAGTTTAATCCGAACAAATGCAAGGTAATGTGTTTTGGAAGATCAAATTCTGGTGTGAATTATACAATAAATGGCAGAACCCTTAGGAGCATTGACATACAGAGGAATCTGGGCGTTCAGGTCCACAAATCACAAAGTGGCAACACAGGTGGATAAGGTGGTCAAGAAGGCATACAGCACGCTTGACTTCGCTGGCCATGGCATCAAATATAAAAGTTGGTAAGTTACGTTACAGCTGTATAAAACTTTAGTTAGGCCAGATTTAGAATGTTGTGTGCCGTTCTGGTTGCCACACTAACAGACGGACGTGGTTGCTTTGGAGAGGGGGTAGAGAAGGTCAATCAGGATGTTGCCTGGTCTGGAGGGTTTTGGTTATGAGGAGACCTTGGATAAACTCGAATTGTTTTCACTGGAAAGCCAGAGGCTGAGGGACGACCTGATAGAGGTCTAAAAATTGAGAGGCATAGATAGGGTGGATAGTCAGGCATTTTACCAAGGGTGGAAAGGTCAACTACAAAAGGTTCATGGTGAGAGTGGTAAGTTTAGGGGAGAAGTGCGGGGAAAATTTTACGCACAGAGGGTGGTGGGTGCCTGGAATGCACTGCCAGTGGAGGTGGTGGAAGCAGGCACATTAGCAACATTTAAGGTGCACCTTAATAGACGCATGAATGGGAGGTGAACAGAGGGATAGAAACTGAGCACAGGCAATAAGTAGTGGGCCTAAATAAGGCTTAGAAATCATGGCAGGCTTGGTGGGCCAAAGGGCCTGTCCCCTGTGCTGTATTGCATTGTATTGAATCATGAGTTAAATCACTTTCCTGTGATTCTGTCATTGAAATGAGGCTCAAGATTTTTAGTTGCATACATATCTGGACGATAATGGATGTTGTTAATTTAGTTATGCAGTAATTTTGTATTTGACAGTCTTGTTATGATGTGACTTGCAATTTAAAAACAAAATGAGTATCATTGTTCTGCAGTATGATCGTTTATTCCAATTCCTGTGTTCTTTTCTGTATTTCTGTCATGTGCTTATGTGCCTTAGTTTCTTACTAAATGTCATGTTGCCTGTGGCTTTTTCTTTGTTTTTTTTTCAAAAGAAATGTTGGTTTCTTTGGTATATCATCTGTGGTTTCCTTAGCCTGTTGATAGTGCTGACTGTGTGGTTATTCTTTGTAGTTCCAAAGAAGTCTGAATCTGCTGATGTGGAAGAATCCAAGAATGACAACAGTGAGAGTGATGTAGAAGATTCCTGTGTTGTACCACTTAGCCCTGAAGGTGTGGATAAAAAAGTCTTACCAGTGAAATCAAAGGTAAGTTTGTGACAAAGATTCTAATGTTATGTGTAGTTGTAGGTGGTAAACATTCGAGGTTGTCATTATATCATCCGGGATCAAATGGTAGAGCAGACTTTGATGGACCAAATGGCCTAATTCTGTCTCTCTATCTTACATTGTTTGTGGAGTATTGAAACATCATGAGTTTGGAAGTGATAGAAACAAATGTTGGAAATTTAATTGTTCTGGAAACTTTCTTCAGTGTTAATTTAATAAGGATTGATTCTTTTGCGTAATTTATTTTATTCATTCATGGGGTGTTGGCTTTGTTAACTGGACCAGCTTCTATTGTCCATCCCTAATTGCCGTTGAGAAGGTGGTTGTGAGCTGCCACTTCGAGCTGCTGCAGCCCATTTAGTATTGGTAGACCTATAAAGGTGTTACTGAGGGAATTCCAATATTTTGACCTAATGACACTGAAGAAATGGTGACATAATTGCCAAGGGAGACTTGCAGATAGTGGTGTTCCTGTGTATTTGCTGCCCTTGTCCTTCCAGGTGGTCATTGGTTTGGAAAGTACTGTCTAAGAAGCCATAGTGAATTTCTGCAGGGTATCTTGTAGATGGTGGTGGAGGAAGTGAATGTTGTACATGTAGTACAAATTGAATTGGGTGTATAAAAAGATCGTAATGTAAAAAGCCATTAAAAAAAGTAATGTTGTGGGGTGACCTTGTAGAGGTTTATGAAATCATGAGAGGCATAGACAAGGTGAAAAGCAAAGGCTGTTTCCCTAGAGTGGGGAGTTCAAAACTAGCGAGCATGTTTTTAAGGTGAGAGGAAAAAGATTTTAAAAATAACATGGGGCAACTTTTTCACACTGGGTGTTTTGTATGTGGAATGATCTGCCAGAGGAATTGGTGGATGCAGGTACAGTTACAACATTTAAAAGGCATTTGGATAAGTACATGAATAGGAAAGGTTTACAGCAATATAGGCCAAACACAGACAAGTGGGACTAATTTGGTTTGGGAACATGGTCGGTGTGGTCTAGTTGGACCAAAGGGTCTGTTTCTGTGCTGTATGACTCTAAGTAATGAGTGCAGTTTTGACCTTCATATTTCAGTAAAGATGATTTGCCAAAGAAGGAGTGCAATGAAACTTTACCAGACTTGTGGGATGGCATAGCTGTCCTATGAAGAGTGATTGGACAAACTGGGCCTGCTTGCGCTGGAGTTGTCAAGAATGAGGGTTGATCTCATTGAAATATACAAAATATTTAAAGGGATAGACAGGGTAGATACATGTAAGATGTTCCTGCTGGTTGGGGAGTCTAGAGCCACTTAGGTCTGAGATTAGGAGAAATCTTTTGAGGGTTGTGAGCCATTGGAATTTCCTTTCAGAGGCTATGAGGCTTGGTTGTTGAATATATTCAAGGTAGAGATTAACAGATTTCCGATTACTAGGGGCATATTGTGTTATGCGGATAAGATAAGTAAAAGGAATTTGTGTTCGATCAGGAATGATTGTATTGAATGGTGGGCAGGCTCAGTGTACTTGCCAGTGTTGTAACTGTACTGCAACAATTAGGTTCATGGCATAACTGAATCGCTTACTACCAACATCCTGGGGTTATTATTGAACAGAAAAGATATTATGGTTGCAACAGCAGGTCAGAGGCTAGGAATCCTGCAGCCAAACTCAGTGATTGAATACTCACCACTTTCCTGGATGACTGCTGCTCCAATAACACTGAAGAAGCTTGAGGTCATCCTGGCCAAAGCAGCCCGTTTGATTGATACCACATCCACAACATTCACTTCCCCTTGCGGCAGTTCGTTCTATTTACAAGATGGACCGCAGAAATTCCTGAAGGCTACTTCGACAACACCTTCCAAATTCAGGACCACTATCGTCATAAAGACAAGGGCAGCAGATACGTGGGAACACCCCTAGCTGGAAGTTCCCTTTCAAGCCATTCGCCATCATGACTTGGAACTATATTGCAGTTCCTTTAGTGTTGTGTCAAAATCATCTGTTGTGGCATCATGGGTATACCTACACGAAATAGACTGCAGCAGTTCTAGAAGACAGCTTACAGCCATCACCTGAAGAGCAATAAAAGCTGATCTAGCTAGCATTTGACACAACCCATGAATAAATTTAAAAAAAGGAAGGCAAACATTTGTCTGCCAACAAACTCGTGTGCTTTTGAAATGTTGCACTATAGTTTTCTAAAACAAAATACCAATTCTAATTTATGTGCTTTATTCTGTGCTGTGATCCAGGACAAGTGGCAACCCCTCCTTTCTTCTGTAGCAAGTGTTCACAGATACAAGTGGCTGAAACATAATGTTCAGGGTTCTTTTCCGCAATCGGCATTAATGGCAAATATACTTGACTTTGCTTTGAAAGAAGAGCCAATTGATGTGGAGAAAATGCGAAAGTGTCTCTTAAAACAGGTAAGATAGAGTTTCCCACTGAATGCAGGATTCCAATATTGAGAAATTTTACTTTACTGTTACAATTCCTCAACGTTGTGACAAATTCCAAGTATTTATTCATGTGTTGCTTGCTTTTGCAGCTGGAGAGAGCTGAAGTTCGATTGGAAGGAATTGACACAATGCTTAAACTGGTATCAAAAAGTTTTTTGCTTCCATCAGTGCAATATGGCATGTTATGTGGTTGGCAAAGACTCATCCCTGAGGGGATAAATATAGGGTAAATTTATTTTAAATTTATTTTAAATAGTTTCTTACCTGTACACTCCTAAAACCACAAACCCAACAGTATATGCGGTTTGGATATTCATGGGGTTTTGGAGTTAAGTTGGTACCTCCAGCATTACTGGTGAATAATTTCATCTCTGCTATTAGAGGCTCCGATCAATGGAAATGTCTCCCAATGGCAGAAAGCTCCCGCTGTACCATGATAACTTAATAGATCTGTGATTTCAGCTCGAGGTTTTCTGTTGTTCTTCATCTGTGAATACCTGAAATATGTGGCACTGAGTGTAAACTTAGGATGGTTTGTTGCTTTCCTGGTGCTAGGATTAAGGATGTTTCTAAACGTTTCAAGCATGTTGTTAAAGGTGGGATTGAGAAGCCAGAAGTTATTGTACACATTGGTAGAAATGACATTTTTAGGGAAAGGATTAAAGCAGTACAGAGTGAATTTAGGAAGTTATGAAAAAGTTTAAAAAATAAAACCTTTAGCATTAGTAATTTCTGGTTTACTCCCAATGCCAAACTCAAATGAGGGAAGGAACAAAAAGTTAAAGAACATAAATCAATGGCTAAAGAGCTGGTGTATTGTTCAGGGACAACTGGAATGTCTTTTGGGATGGAAAAGACCTGTCCAAAAAGGATGGGTCTAACTTAAACTGGAAAGGAACCAATATCTTAGCAGGGAGATTTGCTCTTTCTATTAAGGGAAACGCTATACTGATCGAGAAGGCAAGTGGAGGAATTCTAAGTAGCAGTGTAAATGGAAGGATTGATGGGGTAGATTGTGAATATGAGGACAGCGCATCAATTTGAAAAGAAAGAGAAAATCAGAGTATGCAGTAACTCTGGAGAACTAAATTGCATTTATTTCAATGCAAGTGGTCTTACAAGTAAGGCTGAACACGGCCTGTATAAGAACGTGGGATTGGGACGTCATAGCTATTACAAAAACTCGGCTGAGAGATGGCCAAGACTGGCAGCTCAATGTTCCCGGTTTTTGATGCTGTAGGAAGTATAGAAAAGGGGGCTGGAGTTTTTGATTAAGGAATACATTACTGCTGTAACTAGGGAAGATATTTTTGAAAAATTGTCCAGTGGAAATATATGGGTAGAAATTACAAATAAGAAAGGAAAGATAGCTTTGATGGGATTGTACTATAGGTCCCCCAATAGTAAGAGAGAAATTGACAAACAAATATGTAGGGAGATATGTAAGCATAATAATGTTGTAATAATGGGGGATTTTAATTTTCCAAACATTGACTGGGACTACCATAGTGTTAAAGGTTTGGATGGTGAAGAATTTGTCAAACGTGTTCAAGAAAGTTTTCTCTATCAATATGTGGATGCTCCCAATAGAAAAGGAGCAAAATTAGACCACCTTTTGTGCAATTAGGCAGGGCAGGTGACTGAATGAAGTGTGGGAACACATTGGTCTAGCGTTCATAATTCTGTTAGTTTCAAAATGATTATGGAAAAACGAAAGCCTTCCATAAAAGTTACATTATTTAATTGGAGTTTGCCAAATTTTAATGGTATGAGACAAGAACTTTCAAAAGTTGAGACAACAAGGTGTAAAGCTGGATGAACGTAGCAGACCAAGCAGCATCAGAGGAGCAGGAAAGCTGACGTTTTGGGCCTAGATCCTCCTTCAGAAATGGGGGAGGGGAAGGGGATTCTGAAGTAAATAGGGAGAGAGGAGGAGGCGGATAGAAGATGGATAGAGGAGAAGATAGGTGGAGAGGAGACACAGGTCAAAGAAGCAGGGGTGGAGCCAGCTTTGCGGAACACCTACGCTCGGTTCGCAACAAACAACTGCACCTCCCAGTCGCAAACTATTTCAACTCCCCCTTCCACTCCTTCGACGACATGCCCATCCTGGGCCTCCTGCAGTGCCACAACGATGCCACCTGAAGGTTGCAGGAACAGCATCTCATATTTCGCTTGGGAACCCTTACACCCAATGGTATCAGTGTGGACTTCACAAGCTTCAAAATCGTCGCACCCCCAGCCGCATCCCAAAACCAGCCCAGCTTGTCCCCACCTCCCTAACCTCTCCTTCCTCCCACCTATCCCCTCCCTCCCACCTATCCCCCTCCTCCCATCTCAAGCCCACCCCCATCTCCTACCTACTAGCCTCATCCCGCCCCCTTGACCTGTCCGTCCTCCCTGGACTGACCTATCCCCTCCCTAACTCCCCACCTACACTCACCTTTACTGGCTCCCCCGCCTCTTTGACCTGTCTGTCTCCTCTCCACCTATCGTCTCCTTTATCCATCTTCTATCCGCCGCCTCCCCTCTCCCTATTTATTTCAGAATCCCCTTCCCCTCCCCCATTTCTGAAGAAGGGTCTAGGCCCAAAATGTCAGCTTCCTGCTCCTCTGACACTGCTTGGCCTGCTGTGTTCATCCAGCTCTACACTTTGTTATCTCAGATTCTCCAGCATCTGCAGTTCCTACTATCTCTGAAACAACTTTCAAAAGTTGATTGGAGTTGACTGTTAGCAGGTAAAAGGACGTCTGACAAGTGGGAGGTGTTCGAGTGTGATGATGAGAGTTCAGAGGCATTTTGTTCCTGTTAAAGTGAAGGGTAAGGCTGGTAAGATTAAGGAATAATGGATGAACAAAGATATTGAGGTTCCAGTCAAGAATAAAAGAGAATTTTTTTAAAGATGTAGACAACTTGGTTCAGTTGAATCTCTTAATCAACATAGAGTGTAGGGGCATTCTTAAGAGAGAAATCAGGAGGGCAAAGAGGGGATATGAGATAGCATTGGCAGATAAGGTTAAAGATAGTCCAAAGAGATTCTACAAATACATTAAGAGCAAGAAGGTAACTGGAGAGAGGGTTGGGCCTCTTAATGATCAGGGAGGTCATCTTTGTGTTGAACCCCAGCAGATGGGAGAGATAGTAAATGAATATTTTGTCAGTTTTTACTGTAGAGAAAGAAAGAGTCTAGAGACTGCAGAGAAATAAACTTTGATGTTTTAAAAACCGTTCACATTACAGAAGTAGTAGTTTGGGAGGCCTTAAAGAATATAAAGGTGGATAAATCTCTGGGACCTGACCTAATACATCCCAGAATGTTGTGTGAAGTAAGGGAGGAAATTACAAGATCCCTTGCAGAAATATTTGCTTTAACTATAACTACTGGTGAGGTGCCTGATGACTGGAGGGTGGCTGATGTTATACCTTTGTTTAAGAAAGGTTGTAAGGAGAAACTGGACAAGGTTCCACATGAGAGATTAATTAGTAAAGTTAGGTCACCTGGGATTCAGGGTGAGCTTGCCAGTACGTACATAATTGGCTTAATGGCAGTAGACAGAATAATGGCTTTTCAGACTAGAGGCCTGTGACCAGTGGTGTTCTGCATCCTGTTTTGTTTGTCATTTTACATAAATGATTTGGATGAGAATATAGAAGGCATGGTTAGTAAGTTTGCGGATGACATCAAAATTGGTGGCATTGTAGAGAGTAAAGAAGGTTTTCTAAGATTACAAAGGGATCTTGATCAAATGGGCCACTGGGCTGAAAAATGGCAGATGGAGTTCACTCTGGATAAATGCGAGGAAGAAGGAAGCTTACTTAAGGCTGAGGAAGTGTGGATCGGACAGGGCTCTAGAGGGTTTCAAGGTAGCCAGGAAAGAACTGAAGAATGGACTTAGAGCTAGAAGGGGGCATGAAAAAGCCTTGGTGGTTAGGATTAAGGAAAACCCCAAGGCGTTCTATACTTGCGTGAGGAACAAGAGGATGGCCAGAGTGAGGGTAGGGCTGATCAGGGATAGGGGAGGGAACTTGTGCCTGGAGTTGGAGGTAGGGGAGGTCCTTAATGAACACTTTGCTTCCATATTCACTGATGAGAGGGACCTTGACATTTGTGAGGACAGCGTGAAACAGGCTGATTGGCTCAAACAGGTTGATGTTAAGAAGGAGGATGTGCTAGAAATTTTGAAAAACATGAGGATAGAAAAGTCCCCTGGGCCAGACGGGATATACCCAAGGTTACTGCGGGAAGTGAGGGAAGAGATTGCTGCGCCTTTGGCGATGATCTTAGCATCCTCACTATCCACTGGAGTAGTACCAGATGATTGGAGGGTGGCAAATTTTATTCCCTTGTTCAAGAAAGGGAACAGGGATAATCCTGGGAAATACATACCAGTCAGTCTGTCTTCTGTGATTGGCAAATTATTGGAGAGGATTCTGAGAGATAGCATTTATTATTATTTGGAAAAGCACAGTCTGATTAGAAATAGCCAACATGGCTTTGGGAGGGGCAGGTCATGCCTCACAAGTCTTATTGAATTCTTTGAGGATGTGACAAAAGACATTGAAGGCAGAGCAGTGGATATGGTGTATATGGATTTTAGCAAGACATTTGATAAGGTTCCCCATAATAGGATAATTCAGAAAGTAAGGAGGCATGGGATTCAGGGAATTTGGCTGTCTGGATACAGAATTGGCTGTCCAATAGAAGACAGAGGGTGGTAGTAGATGGAAAGTATTCAGCCTCGAGCTCGGTGACCAGTGGTGTTCCTCAGGGATCTGTTCTGGGACCTCTGCTCTTTGTGATCTTTATAAATGACTTGGATGGGGAAGTGGAAGGGTGGGTTAGTAAGTTAGCCTATGACATGAAGGTTGCTGGAGTTGTGGATAGTGTGGAGGGCAGTTGTAAGTTGCAACGGGACATTGACAGGATGAAGAGCTGGGCAAAGAAGTGGCAGATGGAATTCAACCCAGAAAAGTGTGAAGTGATTCATTTTGGATGGTCAAATTTGAATGCAAAATACAGGGTTAATGGCAGGATTCTTGGCAGTGTGTAGGAACAGAGGGATCTTGGGGTCCACATCCATAGATCCCTCAAAGTTGCCACTCAAGTTGATAGGGTTGTTAAGAAGGAGTATGGTATGTTGGCTTCATTGGCAGGGGATTGAGTTTAAGAGCCATGAGGTTACGCTGCAGCTCTATAAAACTCTGATTTGACCACACTTGGAATATTGAGTTTGCTTCTGGTCATTTCATTCTCGAAAGGATGTGGAAGCTTTAGAGAGGGTGCAGAGGAGATTTACTAGGATGCTGACGTTTCGGGCCTAGATGAAGGGTCTAGGCCTGAAACGTCAGCCTCTCTGCTCCTATGATGCTGCTTGGCCTGCTGTGTTCATCCAGCCCTGCACCTTGTTGTCTCGGATTCTCCAGCATCTGCAGTTCCTACTCTCTCTCACTAGGATGCTGCCTGGACTGGAGGGCAGATCTTATGAGGAAAGGTTGAAGGAGCTAGGGCTTTTTTCATTGGAGCGAAGAAGGATGAGAGGTCACTTGATAGAGGTTTCCAAGATGATGAGAGGCATAGATAGAGTGGATAGCCAGAGACTTTTTCCCAGTTCGGAAATGACCGTCATGAGGGGGCATAATTCTAAGGTGATTGGTGGAAGGTATAAGGGAGATGTCAGAGGTAAGTTCTTTATACAGAGACTGGTGGGTGCATGGAATACACTGCCAGCGGTGGTAGTGGAGTCAGATACATTTGGGACACTTGAACAACTCTTGGATAGGCACATGGATGATAGTAAAATGGAGGGTATGCAGGGTGGTTTGATCTTAGAGTAGGATAATAGGTCAGCACAACATTGTGGGCCAAAGGGCCTGTACTATGCTGTACTGTTCTATGTTAAATGTTCTATTGCATTTTGATACAACAAACAAAAGTAGGGCTTATACAGTTACTGGTAGGACCTTGGGTAGTGTTGTGGAACAGAAGCACCTAGGGGTGCGGGTGCCTAATTCTTTAAAGTTTGTGTCACATATGATAGGAAGGTTAAAAAGGTGTTTGGCATGCATACCTTCATTGCTCAGTCCTTTCAGTATTGGAGTTGGGAAGTCATGCTGACGTTGTACAGGACGTTGATAAGCCCTCTTCTGGAATACTGTGTCCAAGGTCGCCAGTTATAGGAAGGATGTTATTAAGCTGGAGAGGGTTCAGATTAAATTTACCAGGATGTTGCTGGGTCTGGAAAGTTTGAGTTATAAAGAAAGGCTGATTGACTGGGATTTTTTCCACAGGAGCATAGGTTGAGAGGCAACCTGACAGAAGTTTATAAGATCATGAAAGGAATAGATACAGTTGATGGTCATTGTCTTTTCCCTAAGATGGGGAATTTCAAGTTTAGGGGGCACATTTTTAAGGTGAGAGGAGAGAAATTTAAAAAAGACATAAAAGGCAAAGTTTTTTACACAGATGGTTTGCATATGGAATGAACTTCCTGATGAGTTGGTGGATGCGGATACAATTACAATGTTTAAAAGACATTTGGATAGATACATGAATAGGAAAGGTTGGGAGTGATATGGGCCTGGAAAAGGCAGGTGGGACTTGCTCAGTTTGGGATTATGTTTGGCATGTACTGGTTGGATCAAAGGCTCTGTTTCTGTGCTGAATGACTATTTAGTTTCAATCTGACATGACTGGTTTGAATAATTTTTAAAGACACAAATCTTAGCTTTGAAAGGAAATTGCTTCCTGAAACGTGAGCAGAATTGACGGCCTGGATTTTTACAAATTGGGAGCAGGAGTGCAGGCCACTTAGTTCATCTAGCCTGTTTCACCATTCAAGAGGTACTGGCTGATATGATTGTCACCTCAACTCCATATTCCTGTCTACCCTAAATAACCAATGATTTCTTTGGTAAAAATCTAGTTATCAGTGTCTGCCCTAAAATCTTTCATTGATATTGCCTCCAGTGCTCTGTGTGTCCGAGAATTTCAAAGATTCATGCGACTGAGAAAAAATTCTCATCTATTTTAAATGGGAAACCCCTTATTTTTAAACTGTTCTTTAGTTCTAGTTTCATCTTGAGATGGTGGTAGTGGAGGCGGTGAGGGAGGGACATCTTAACATCATCGACTCTGTCAAGTCCCCTCAGTATCTTGCATTAGGTTTCAGCAAGCTCATTTTGGGCTGGTAATGATGACAAAATTGATGATCACTATTGTTTACTCTTCTGAGACTGACAGCAGTTTCTTGATCCTGAATGTTCCAGTTAAGTGTGGAAATCCTTGACAAAGTTGTACCTTGTTGAATAACTGAATTTTTAACAGCATGCTAAGTTGATAAACAGCATCTTTAGCCCTGAAAATTTGACGTTTGGTGAATGGCCATATTACGGCTTTATGGAGGGTTGGTTAGCTCGGTTGGCTGGATGGCTGGTTTGTAATGCAGAGCATACCAACAGTGTGAGTTCACTTCACATACCGGTTGAGGTTACTATGAAGGACTCTCCTTCTCAATCTCTTCCCTTGCCTGTGTTGTGGTGTCCTTCAGGTTTTACCACCACCTGCTGTCTCACTAATGAGAGCAGCCCTATGGTCTGGTAGGACTATGGTGACTTTAACTTTACTTCATTATGGTAAGAAATTCCGCATTTAATTTAAAAATTATGCTAGGTCAGTGGCAAGTGACATTGTTTTGCTGCTGACCTCAGAATCCCGACTATTGATTTTTTTTTTTTGTTTGCATGTTGGCTTCAATTTCCCCTCTGAGTCACTCGCTATCCTGGCTTGGAAATATATTGCCATTCCTTCACTGTTGCTGGATCAAAATCTTGGAATTCCCTCCTAATGGCATTGTGCGTCAACTCACAGAAGGTGGATTGCAGCCATTCAAGAAGGCAGCTCACCACCACCTTCTCAAGGTCAGCTAGGGATGGGCAATAAAAGCTGGCCAGCCAATGACGCCCACATCCCACAAAATGAATTTTTAAAAAAAAAGTGATTTTTAAAAGACTAAGTTTTTTTCAGTGTTGGATTTAACTCATGTTCTGCCTTCATACTGAAATGAGAATTCTCTGTTTAGTGAACCTGTTTCAGACTGCCTAAAGGATGTGGATCTCATACCACCATTTAACCGTATGTTACTGGAAGTTACTTTTGGAAAGCTTTATGCCTGGGCTATTCAGAACATTCGAACTATGCTATTGGATGCACAAGGTAGATTTGATGGTCTAGGTAAGATGTTGGTATTTTAGATTGATGTAAAGTGCTTATGACCTGTTACATTCGGTAGTATGGACCATTAATCGTTGCTTTGGTGAAAGCTATGACACTATTCGCAGAACCAGAAGATTGTTACAGAAGATGAATGGTTGACATGCTGTGTCGGCACTGACTCTCGAAATGAAATATTTCCCTAATGCTGTTACATAAATTATTAAATGTGTTAAAATCTCATAGAAATTTCTATGACTAACTAATAATTGAAAGTTGTTTGTTTCATGATTTATTATTATTATTATTTAGTAACTTGGATTCTGATGTGGATAGAATCCTGTATAGTTTTAAGTGTGATATGCATTTCTATATTTTGTGTGTTAAGAAGGGGAGATGTGGAACTCAAAACTAAAATTGAGAGTGGTATGATGTTTTCTGGAAATCTGATTTTATAGATCAGTTGAAGCTTTCAAAACAAAAAGAGGTGAATAGTTCAGTACTTCACAAAATAGGATAGAAGAGAGGGAAAAAGCGCTGTTATGAAATAACAAGGTATGCTATCACACATGAAGACAGAAACCAGTTTATTTGTAGAAAGACAGAACAACCCGGAACATGAGGGCAGTATGCATGCTTGTATTGGGGAGAACAGATCTGTGGCACAATTGCTGTTAAGCCAACGCCACCCTCAAAACAGGGCAGAAGAAAAGGAATCCTGGTCACGTATATTTTTGAAAATATAACAGTCAGGTAGGTAAGTCATACGTACTTGTGCACACAAGGTTAAATCTTGATGCACCTTGTTCAAGTCATTGGCTAAACTGCAGCATTCACGTGTTGCAATATGATTTACAGTGCACTACGCAATTTTATCTGTTGCAAGATGTTTTATCTGTAAGTTTAAATATCAAATGTTACATTTCCCAGCAGTATCTCAGAATTTGCAGAAAAAAGGCAACAGCAGAGCAACATTTATGGAGTCTTAGACAACAAAGAAAATACGATGCCACATTCTTATAATGAGTTGAAGCAATTGTTGATTGTCCATACACAGTAAATGTTTTGTGAACTGAAAAAGTTACTGTTGTAGTGTAACCCATGACCTTTTACACCTAGTTATTTCAAGAGAATTAATTATTTTCAATGGATCCTAGTGACCTGACCATTTTTGAAGACAGAGGATTAGTTTCAGTTTGAGATAAGAGAATTACTAATTACGAATTGCAAATTGCTTGATAGAAATATTACTAATTGTAAACATCACCATTTTAGGCATGCAGTCTGTCTCTCTGCATACTGTAACGAATGAGAATCCTTCAGCACCAAGTCTTGGTACCATTCCACAAGCTCGCTTCCTACTCATCATGATAAATATGCTGACACTTCAGCATGGAGCCAACAGTCTCAGCCTTCTGTTAAACTCTGGTTTGCTCGCATTGACTCAAACAGTTCTGCGACTAATAGGTCAGTGAAAAGTAAATGCTCGTGTATGAAATCTGAATTTTTATTCTGTTTTGATCATATTAAAATAGTCTTCTATAACTTCTCTATATCGGTGAGAGTTATGCAAGTGAAGACCATTGGCTTGTGTTTGAACTTGTTGCTTAATTATGTGCAAGTTGTAAAATTTTACATCATATGATTGGGTCAGTTAGAATAGGGCAATCAAAGTAGCTTAAGTTAAATGTTTTCCACTATTGTATGAACATCTAGTAATTTGAAATTCTTTCTTCAGTTAATCTTTGAATTCAAAGTGAATCTCAAAATTATCCCATAAAATTATCCCACGGAGAAATATCACATGGCAAATCTGCTCCATGATAGGCAATCCCTTTACCCTCCCATGCCCTAATACCATCTTATTTTCAGTCTATCATGCATCAACTGCACTGCACAGCATGTTCAGTTTTATCTCGTTGTCTAATTAAAGATTTGTCCTTTACTGTCTCAAATGTTTATAACCTGCTTTGTTGTTGCTTGTTTTGTCATCAAAGCAATTTCAAACATTTTCCTACATTGTCCATATTACCCGAGAGCCACTTTCCCACGAAAGGGAACCACCTACTTCCGTTTCACTTTCAACTCCCTACCCACTCACCCACCTCTATCAAGATAGCTATTGGTTAGTTGTTAGAAAGTAATTCTTGACAGTGGTGTTAGATTGGTTTTAAGAATAGCTTATGGCAATAAATGGAATCTTTAGGGCCCACACACAAAGAACCATGAAAAACGTGGGATTTATCATTAGTGTTACATATTGTGGGAGAGCAAAACAAGGCAAATGTGATGGTGTGAGCCACTGAGGAGTTAGAACTGTTAGCTTGTGGTGAAATCTAGAAGGCAGATTTGGGATACTATGACATTGTGACAATCACTCCTCTTTGTGACTTCAATGTGGAAGTCTTTGTGCTGTAGGCAGAATGCAAACTATCTCGTGAAGCTTAAAATGGAATTACAGGAAAAGTGGGAAATACCTAAGTGAGGTTCAAAATATACAATCATACTGTGCAATTTCTTATTTCAATTAGGATTTAGTGAGGTTAAAAATGTACCATCCTGCTGTGTTCAGTTTTCTTAATTTTTTTAATTGCTTTATTTTGTTTTAGCCTTAGCCTATGCAATATCTTTTTCTTTCCTTCTGACAATTTGGACACAAAGTGGGCTCCATTATTCTGAAAATTAAACCGTTTTTATTAGATTAATTTTATTTCACTGCACAATCTGGATTGGGAAACAGATACGCCTTTTCATAAAATGGATTTAGGACACTAAATATTGGTGCTTATATAGCTTATAACAATCACTTATTTTGTTTAGGACTTACTCTATCGAGTTGCAATTTTTCAAAAATTAGACTCTTTTATAAATCTTGTCATAACCCTTTAAATTTAAATGCTGCTTCCCAATTTTTACAGAAAGTTTTCAAAGTAATTTGCTTTTGTTATCCTCTGGCTTTATTGAAATTTCAAAACTGCCAGTTGTTTATCTTTAACTACGTTTTATACAAGTTTTTTTTAGTGTGCAGAGATTGTTGGAATTAACAATCCTCCTTTTAAGATTAGCATCGCTTTCCCTTACTATATATATATATACATAAGTGCAAGGAATAATAAATGATGCCATCCAAAAACAACCGCAATACCAGTTTATAATTCAAAGAAGCGATTTGTACTTTCAGGAACAGGACCGTCCATATCAAAATTGGAAAGAAACAGATTTAAAGGTGGGGCTGTGTTGTGCGCATGCGGTAAGTGTGCACCTTAGGAATTATGGAAACATTTGGATAAAAAGACATGTGCTTTCTGTGTCTGTGCTTAAATGCAATTTTGAACATTTATTTTTGTGTATAATCTTATGCACATCCTTGTCACTGATCTTAAAACAGCATGATACAAGTGGAACTTTTTTTATGTACTTTATACCCCCAGCCTCATAATTAGGAGCATTTTGGCCATTCGACCCTTTTGAGCCTTACCCCTACTCTGCCATTCAATAAAATTGCAGCTAATTTTCTACTTCACCTGCACCTTACTACACTATCCCCATATCCTTTTGATACCTTTTAGTATTTAAAAGAAATGTCAATCTTTGACTTGAGTCTACCAACAAATTAGCATTCACATTGCTTTAGAACAAAGAATTCCCAGGAATCTTTTTGAATCAAAGCATTTCTTTCACATCTGTGTCCTAAATGCTAATCCCTTATTTTGTGACTGTAATCCCAAACTAAGGGGAAGACCTTCACAGCATCTATTCTGTCAAACCTCTTTTTAATAATTTTAAATGCTTAAATGCAATCATCTTTCTTCTAAATGCGGAATATAGCTCGATCTCTTCTAATAGGATAGTTTTCTCATCCCAAGAATTTCTCTGGTGAATCTTTCTTGCATTCCTTCTATGGCAAGTATATCCTTCCTTAGATGTGGAACCTATTGTGAATATTGCACCAGCTGTGGTTTCATTCAGGCCCAACGCAAGTGCAGCAAAATTTCTTTATTCTTTTATTCCAAGCCTTTTGCAACAATGGATGACAAAATATTTCTTTCCTAATCGTTTGCTGTACCTGTGTCTTAACTCTCTATAATTTGTGTATAAGGAAACCAAAACCCCTTTGAATAACAATGTATCCCAGCCTCTCAGCATTTAATCTGCTTTTCTAGTTTCTTACCAGTTTACCTTTTTCCACACTGCATTGTATCTGTCACGTTCTTACCTGCTCAACTAAACTTTCATAGCTTCTTTTGCAGTCTTTACACATTCACTTCCGTTTACCATCCTAACTATTTGTATATCATCAGCAAACATGGATAATTCAATCTCCTTGGTCCCATCATCTAAATTGTTAATTACGATCGTATCTGACTTTGCGATACCCCACAAATACTGCCAAGTTAATGTTCCTACTCTGTTTTCTGTCCATTGGCCAATCTTAATATGTTACCTGTATCCCATGAACCCTAAATTTTATGTAGTAACTTCTTATGCAGCACCTTTTTCAAATGTTTTTTGAAAATCCACCAGTTTAACTTCATTCACCCTATTATTCACCATGTTTTCTTAAAAAAAAACCTCAGCAGATTTGGCAAATATTACTTTCCTTCCTTAAACCTGGATTGACTCTGTGCATTCATACAGTAAATCCCTAAGTGAATTCCCTGTTATCCAACATTGATAGGTTGGAGCATTTTCCCTGAAACTGATGACATTAAATGGCTTATCGTTCTTGTTTTCTGTCCCTGCTTTCTTGAACAGTGGGGTGGTAGTCTTTCTACCTTCCATTTCACTGGTATCGTTCTGGAATCTATAGAATTGGATAAGATCAAAACCAAAGCACTTTGTTGCCATCATTTTTAAAACCTAGGATGCAAGCCTCTTGTCCTTTTCATCCCTTAATTTCTCCAGGAAGAATTTTTTACGTATGTCTTTTAAATTCTTCATTTGCACCAGACTCATGGTTCCCTATGAATTCCAGAATGTTTTGTTTTGTCACAAAATTAATACTGATATTTCCTTATTCCCCATCATCATTTCTCCAGCCTGTATCTCATAGGAACCCATGTTTAATCTCACTAAAATTCCTTCCATTTTACATATCTACTCCAGCTTTTACTATTTGTTTTTACATCGAGTTAATTTGCTCTCCTATCCCGTTTTCTCTTTGTATTTTAAAACTGCTCCAATCCTCTGTCTTACTGCTCTTTCTGGCAAGAAAGCTACTTCTTTTAAACATGTGTGAACTACAACATTTTGTTTTCCATCGCTAGACCACTTTTATCGTATTTTATATCTAATCATCATGAATTATAAATTAATTTTTAATATCATTTCCATTGCCTAACTAACATCATACCTTTTTAATCTAGTTTCTCATTTTAGCGTGGTAACTCACCTCTCATAACACTCACGTTGGTCTGTCTTCTGTACTGATTCCATTGAGTGGGTACTTTCACAGTTGATCATACCATCCGACTGCAGCAGCTCTCCTTCTTGTCCAGTGTGACTGCATTTGCTTAGATGCACTATTTTGTAGTGTTTGGAAATGTAGCCAGAAGGTCTCCAACAGTCATTTCTCTTCCCGTTGCTCCATTGATGGAGACAGTGTCTTTATTTGCAGACAGACTGATAATAGAGGTGAAAGTATGAAAGGAGAGAAGGCATGGGGGTGAGATTTGCCTCTGGGTTAAAGAAAGCTCTCTTACGGTACAAACTCTCGTGCAGCATGATGTGTTAACTGAGGAGACAATGGAATCAGTTACAGGAAAGCAGAATTTAAAATGAAGGCCAAAGTCAACTACTTGTGCATTCCTAATGGAAAAAGTTAAAATCCAGGGATATGCCAAGTAGTTTGACAGCACAGTATGAGGAGAATGGTCAAGAGAGACGATGAAGGGAGAAGTAATTGCTGGAATTTTACTTGAGTAAGGTAAAATAGAAATAAACCCAGACAGTCCCAAGTTGTGGAACTAGCTAAGAGGAGATGCTTTGGAGGAAAATGGTGTACCAAACTGGGGAGAAGAGAAATACCCTGGTTATACTCTGACGCAATTTATTACTTTATTTCGGACTGTATTGAAAGAGATGAAAATTCAACAGCGGAATTTAACCAGTGGGTTGGAGTAGAACTGGAAAATGACAATATTGAAGAACCTGGGGAATGAAAGAGATGTTAAAAATGTGAATGTCAATGAAAAGGTCAATGTGCAGATTTTTTTTTTTTTGCGGAAGTATGGTGACAATAGGTTTGCAAGGCAAAGAGAGTTATTGAGGTGAAGAAATAATTTATACCTGTCGTAACACCGTGGAAGCAGGATGGATAACTATATTAATTTCATGGAAGGTAGTTGCGGGAGCAGTGAGTCGGTTGCAACAGCAACACTAACTTGGAAGAAAGGCTGGAAAGTAGGAATTGAAGAAATTTAAGAAACTGTGGTGATTCAGGTTTAGTGTGGAAAGAGGCCTGGTGACACAAGCATTGAGTGATGCTTAAGGCTTTGATGGCAATGTTCCAGGAGGCATTTGGTACTTGGGGAAAGAGCCCTACAGTTATCTTTGCCTCAAGGCATGATGACAGAATAGCTAGTGTTTTTGCAGAGGACCAGTTTGGATCATTTGCACTGGCTGAGATTGACTTGTATCTGGCAATGAAATGATGAACCTAATTGTGTGGCAACTACTTAAGTATGTCCCTTGGGCTTAAAGGAACAAAGCTGTGGTCTCTCTGGGGGAAATGACAGGAATGGAAAACAATGAAGGTTTAGCAAAGTGACAAGTGTGAAATGTCAGGGTGTAACAATGATTAAGCCAGTTGGTAGTATCAGGTGAATTATGACAAATGAAGGGTCAACAGCTGGGCAATTTCAACTTAGAAACCGCGTAAGGGTGCATAAGGGAGGGCTTTGTCTGGAAGGACATGAGGAAGTGATCTGAGCAGTGTTGGGGATGTCAAGGGAATGGACCACAAATTGGGGTGGGAGAAATGCCTGAGTCTGCGAGGGTGGTAAAGTTTGACATGAAAAGGTGAAGATTGGAATTGGCTTGGGTAAGGACTCACTTGGTGTGCAGGCTGAGGGAAGGCAAAAAATTAGATACCCCAGAGATAGCTAGGAGGGTCAAACATGATTAGGAGCCATGGAAATAAAGGGGTCAAGAAGTGACTTCAGATTGGATGGCACGCTGCTTCAGTAGGATAAAGGATGGGAAGAATAACCTGGCTTGGAGGCTGTGGTGAGGGAAATGATATCACTGGTTGAGAGCCTAGTTTTGATCAATGCTGGGACATAAGTATGATTGTTTACAATAAGTTGGTGGATTTTTCTGTTCCCTTGGTAATTAAAATATTTTTAATTGTCAGGGCCTATTCATTTTCTTTCGATGTGCGAAGAAGCCATTTGTAGGAGTTATGATTGTTGAAGGGAAAAATGTGCATAGTTAGGAAATGCATCATTTCTGAAGGGCCCTCTTTCATTGATATTGACTTTCTATAGTACAGTAGTTCTTTTAACAAGCTTCCTCTGGTACCTTCATAAATCACTCTTGCATTACATGATTTCAAAAAGCTTTCCTTGGCGGATTCAAAGAAAATTTGAATTTATACCTAATTTTTGTATTTCTTTTAAATGGCACCCGGCTGCTACATTCCTTTTCAAACAGGCTGTGATGTAAAAGGAGTTTAGCAGCTGATCTTTAAACTATACTAAGAACATTGCTGTGTTAATCTGCTTTTGCCACTACAGACTTTTTTAAAAAACATCAAACAAAGCAGTCTTCACTTTTTCATTGCCACCTGAAAATTCAGTCTTAAATAAAGGATTTTATTTAAATAAGTACAACACAGTACAAGCCTTTTTTGTTGGTCTTTTGTTATATTTCCATATAGAAATGAATAAGCCATTGACTGACTCACCAGGCACTGATTCTTTCAAGACTTATTTCCTTGTAGCTTAGTCATAGACCATTTTGAACACTTCTATGGATTGAATTGTGTGCAGCATCTTATTCTGGAGTACCTCCCAAGTATTTCCCCTTCCAACTCATTGTAACAGCATTGCACAGTTGAAATTTCTAACAGTGCCAGTTCAAACTTCATATGCATAATAATTTTTGCATTTATCGCTTGGGTTATGGACTAGTACTTTTTAAACATTGTCTCTTTTGTACACAACGTGATGTCCACTTTGATAGAATACTAGATCTCCAACTTTGATTTAGTTTTCTTCATTAAGTGCTTCTCTTAATCAACTTCCGTTTTGAAAGTTCTGTACTTGCCAGTTGCTTATTTCAAATGCAGTGCATCTTGTTACCAGGTATTTCCAGCACAAGCAGCCGATACAGCCTCTGCTGTCAATTCACATTCCTAACTTTCTAAAGTGTTTGGCCTGGACCAGACTTTTTAATAATTGAGCAATTGTGAAGTACTGCAAGAAAAACTGATTGCTAGACCACCCATCATTCCAGATATGAAATGCTAACATCTGTAAGCTTTTAAAATGCAAAAACATCAGTTTAGATAATACGTAACAGTTTTCGGACTATTTTACATTACATTAAAAGTACTGAATAGTAATCAGAACAACGACATGCATTTGTATAGTGACTCTAAGACAGTAATTGCCCTAAGGCACGTCACACGAGTTCAATCGAAAAGTGACAATCTATGGAAGGAAATGTTTTGACAGGTGAGGCGAGGTTTTAAAAAGCATCTTAGGAGGAAGAGACAGAGGCTTAGAGAAGGTTTATAGAGCCTTTGGCCCTAAGCAGTTGAAAACAGAATTACCAACGGTGCAGTGATAAAGTTGAAGGAGTACAGAGATCTTAGGATGGTTGTTTGGCTATAAATAGCTACTGAGATAGGGAGGGCTGAGACCTTGAAATAATTTGATAACTAGGATAAGATTCTTTAAACTGAGGCATTATGGAACCAGGAGCCAATGTAGGTTAGCAAGCCCCATTGCATGAGACTTGGTTCAAGTTAGGATGTGGGCAGTAGATGCTTGGATGAGCTCAAGTTTACACAGGCTGGCTGGAGGGATCTTGGGATAGCTGTGTCTAAGACATAATGTGGGTCCCAGCAACTGATGAATGAGACAGGAAATTTTGCAAAAGTGAATGCTGGGGATCTTGGCTTTGGAATATCCCTGTGTAATAGAACAATAAACTTATTGAACTGCCCAGTTCAACCTCAGACAGTGATCAAGATGAGGGATGGAATAGGTGGATAAGGAACAGAATTTATGTTGGCATGGAAGGACACCCCGACTGTCTACACCTGCATTTTGTATTAGCTTCAGTGAATTTGCGATGAGGACCAGTTCAGTGTTGATTTTTCTCTTCCAGCTGACTAAATATAATGTGATTATCTTTTCATAAATGATAAAGTAAGTGCAGATTTTGAAAACTCTCAAAAAAGCAGTTGAGGCTTGGTCAACTGAGATTGATCTGTTTTTGTTGAGTAGGGCTATTAAGTAATAATCGAACCTAGGCAGATTAATGGAGTGAAGATCCAGATTGTCATGATCTCAGTTAATGTCAGAACAACAGATTTGAGGGCTCAATGTCCTACTCTTGTCCCACATTTTTATTTCCTGCTTAACTTTGGTATAATATGGATTTGGTTTTGCTTAATTTTTATGTAGTCCACACTTATGTACAAACATCCTTCTTTATTTTTGCATTAGCTTTGTTGCTGTTTCACTGACCTAGTTTGGTTGGAGTTTTCTCCTCAACGCCCATAGCTCCCTCAACAAAGATTGAGGGTGCAAATACAAAAATGCCTAAGAGTAAATCACAGCCAGAGAGGGAACCTTAACACAGCTACAAGGAAAGAAGTATATTTTCAAAGAAACAGTATCTGTGTGCCTTAATGGTCAGCACTTAATCATTTGAACAAGGATTTTTAAAGAATGGTGTGGACCATATTGAAGTTCAACATACTTAGTTTATAGTTGAAAAATTTGTAAGAATTTGCTTAGATGTGATTCTTTGCCTCCTGGAAAGTTTAGTATTACTTTTGCAAAGTTCAAAACTTGATTTTTTGCAACATTTTCTTGTCCTTCAGGTCCTGCTTCTGATAGTGGTGAGGATGATATTGGTGCCTCTCTTCATGGAGCCTCAGCCACTGTTTTAGAGGAATCGAGGAAGGAAACCGCACCAGCTCCGCTGCCTGTCTCTGGTCCAGAGCTGGCAGCAATGATGAAAATTGGCACTAGAGTGATGAGGGGTGTAGACTGGAAATGGGGAGATCAGGTATTGCAGTAAACTGATAGCTGTCTATTCCAAAAAATTTAAAAAAAAAAAAAAAGGCCTAGGACAACATTTACCTGTTTTGAAGTGTTACTTTTGTTAGGGAGAAGCTGAGAAAGAAGTTGGAGCATGAGTATTCCTAATTCAGCAATCTATCCTGTTTGTAAATATTATTTTAATTAGCTGCATTTACCAGTGGCATTGAATTCTATCCTTCTACTTTGCGCCATTCTGATTTATACCTTGCTGTTTTTTTCAATGGTGCAAAGGTTATTATTTAACTTTGGTGTCAAATCTCAATGTGACTGAAACATTAGCTATTGCAATATCTGGGCTTGATGCTGCATGGTGTAAAATTCAGGCTTTCAAAAAGTGCTTTAAAACTTAACCTCCTTAGCATTTTATAAATATTATTTCCAAGCTTTGATGCAATTTTTACTTTTCCAACTATCTACACGTTCAAGGTTAACAGAACTCGGCCCAGGATATAATTCAGGTCACAGTGTAACTTTGGTATTATTCACAATGCAGCTGTTTATAGGGAAAGCACAACTTAGATTCATGCTGTCTTTTAAAAAAAAAAGCAATTTCCCAGTGATTGTGCTTTTACAGATTGTGTCCGTGTTTCAGTTTTAAGAGTGTTATGAAGAAACACTATATTAATTCCTGGTGTGAGGTATGTGGAGGTCATAGTACTGGACAACGAATATCATAGTCATACAGCATGGCAACAGACCCTTTGGCCCAACTCTCTCATGCCAACCAAGTTTCCCAAAATAAACTAGTCCCACTAGCCCATAACCCCCAAAACTTTTCCTAATCATGTACCCATCCTGATGCCTTTTAAATGTTGTAACTGTACCTGCATCTATCACTTCCTCTGGCAGTTCATTAAATATATGAACCACCCTCTGTGTCAAAAAATGTTGCCCCTCAGGTCCCTTTTAAATCTTTCTCCTCTCACCTTAAAAACACGCCCTCTAGTTTTGAAGTTCGAGGAAACCCTAGGAAAAAGACCTTTGCTATTCATCTTATCTCTGCCCCTTTTGATTTTATAAACCTCTATAAGGTCACCCCTCAAACTCCTATGCTCCAGTGAAAAAAGTTCCAGCCGATCTAGCCTATTCTTAAACCTCAAACCCTTCAGTCCTAGCAACATTCTGGTAAATCTTTTCCAAACCCCCTCCAATTTAATAATAATGTTGCTCTGCTACAGGAACAAGAACTGTTCACAGTACTGCAAAAATGCTTTCACCAACATCCTGTACAACTCAACGTGACATCCCAATTCCTTTCCTCAATAGCTTGAGCAATGAAGGCAAGCATGCTAAATTCCTTCTTAATCACCTTGTCTATCTGTGAAACTTTGAAAGAACTATGTACCTGAACTCCTAGGTTTTTCTGGAACAAAAACAAAGTTGCTGGAAAAGCTGAGCAGGTCTGGCAGCATCTGTGAAGGAGAAAACAGAGTTACTGTTTCGGGTCCGGTGACCCTTCCTCAGAATGAATGAATTCCAATGACCCTTCCTATACCACCAATTTTCCTAGGTTTCTCTGTTCGACAATATTACAACTAACTCCATCAGTCCTGCCCTTGCTTGTTTTACCGAAATGCAATACCTCACTTATCCAAATTAAACTCCATCTGCCAATCTTCAACCCATTGGCCAAATTGATGAAGATCCCTTCGTAATCTTGGATAACCACCTTCACTGTTGACTATACCACCAATTTTGGTGTCATTTGCAAACTTACTAACCATGCCTCCTATGTTCTCATCCAAATCATTTATGTAAATGACAAACAAAAATGGACCCAGCAGCAATCCTCACAGGACGCTGCTGGTCACAGGCCTCCAGTTGTAAAAACCGCCCTCCACCTCCATCCTTTGTCTCCTACCATCAAGCCAATTTTGTGTCCAGTTGACAAGCTCTCTGTGAATCCCATGTGTCTAACTTTAGTAATTGGTCTACCGTGCAGATCCTTGTCTACATGGTCTTGAGTAAAGCCTTTGACAATGTCACCTTATCAATATTTTTGGTTATGTCTTCAAAAAAACTCAATCAAGTTTGAGATATGATCTCCCTCGCACAAAGCCACCTGACTATCTCTAATCAGTCCTTGCCTCCCCAAATGCATGTAAATTGTATTTCTGAGAAACCCCTCCAACAACTTATCCACCACTGATGTCAGACTCTCGGGTCTATAGCTCCCAGGCTTCCCCTTACAGCTTTCCTTAAATAAAGGCACAACATTGGCCACTCTCCAGTCCTCTGGCACCTCATCTGTGGTTATAGATGACATAGTATTTCTGCTAGGGGCTGCACAATTTCTTCCCTAACTTTTCACAGCGTCCTGGGATACAATTGATCAAGTCCTGGAGATTTATCTACTTTTTTTTTTAAGACCTCCAGCACCACCACCTCTAATGTGGACTGTTTTTAATATTCTACTAAGGTTGGAATAAACGAAAATAGATATTTTTGGGAGATTTTGTATATACCTTTTGTTCTAGACACCCCCCTTGATTGCAATCAATTCTACAAGTTGAGACTTGGCCTAATGTCACAGCTGAGATTATATCAACCTAGACTGTAAACCGTTTCTTTTCTTGTGTGCAGAACATTCCTGCACGCAGGAGAATGCATCGAACCCTTTGATTGTTGCCAACAATCTATTTTTATCTGTCCCACTCCTTCATGATCTTAAGCACCTCAATTTCATCTGTTTTCTTTTACATTTTATATTTAAATATGAAAAGAATGCAATTTGAGCTAATACAAATGTATCTGTTTGGTTTCTAGCCTTTTAATTTTGTTACTTTTAATGTATGTAATTTTTAGGATGGACCACCTCCAGGATTAGGTCGTGTAATTGGTGAATTGGGGGATGACGGCTGGATCAGGGTTCAGTGGGATACCGGTAGCACTAACTCCTATAGAATGGGAAAAGAAGGAAAGTATGATCTGAAATTAGCTGAACCACCACCTGCTACACAGCCAGCTACGGAAGACTCTGACACAGAGGACGATTCTGGTTTGTAATAAAATTTTTGAGTTAACATTTCATTTCAATGAGAGGATTTCAGCGTTGGTGTTTATTTTAAGGGGGAAACTGTACTGGGCACTACAACAACAGTGTGAGATATTTTTCAGACTAATCTGTGAGGTAACCTGAACATGTTGATCAAGTGCTTAAGACGCTACAGTCAGTTGTCAAGGATTTTATAGCAGAGCACTTGGAAATCAATGGTAGAATGAGATGCAGCCAGCATGGAGTTACAAAAGAGAAACATTGAGGCAGGGTCACGGGACCCGAAACGTTAACTCTGATTTCTCTTCACAGGTGCTGCCAGACCTGCTGAGCTTTTCCAGCAATTTCTGTTTTTGTTTAGGAATAATTGGGTCTTTTTCTGAATGGCAGACAATGACTAGTGGGATACTGCAGGTCTGCTACTTGGACCCCAGCTATTTACAATATGTTAACAATTTAGATGAGGGAACTAAATGTTGGATGTCAAAATTTGCAGATGTGACAAAGCTGGATGGAAGAGTGAGCTGTGAGGGGAATGCAGAGATGTTGCGTTGTGATTTGGACAGTCTGAGTGAGTGGGCAAATGCAGTATAATGTGGATAAATGTGAGGTTATCTACTTTGGTAGCAAAAACCGGGAGGCAGATTATTATTTGAATGGCTGTAAGTTGACAGAGGGGAATGTTCAATGAAACCTAGTTGTCATTGTGAACCAGTTGCTGCATGTAAATGTGCAGGTGAAACGCGTAGTAAAGAAGGCAAACTGTGTGTTGGGTTTCATAATGAGAGGATTCAAGCACAGGAACAAGGATGTCTTGCTGTAATTGTACAGGGCATTTGTAAATTCACATCAGAAATGTTGTTTGCAGTTTTGGCCTTTTTACTTGAGGAAGGATGCTCTTGCTATAGAGAGTGTGGTGAAGATTTACCAGATTGATTCCTGGAATGGCAGGACTGACGTATGATGAGAGGTTGAGCCGATTAGGTTGTATTCACAGGAGTTTAGAAGTATGGAAGCGGGGGGGGATGTCTCATAGAAATGTAATGAAATTCTAATGGGCTGAGATGTCAGAGGCAAGAAGGATGTTCCTGGTGGTGGGCAATTTCAGAACCAGGGGGCATACTTTAAGGGGGTGAATCTTTCAGGACTGAGAGGAGAGATTTCTTCACCCAGAAGGTGCTGAGCCTGTGGAATTCACTACGGCAGAAAGTGGTTGAGGCCAAAACATTGTTTTCAAGAAAGAGGTAGATAAAAGTCTCGTGGCTAAATGGATCAAGGAATATGGAGGAAGGGTGGCATCAGGGTATTGGGCTTGATGATCTGCCATGATTGTACTGAATGGCAGAACAGGCTTGAGGAGTTGAATGGCCTACTCCCGCTTCTATCTTCAATATTTCTGTGCTTGTGATATTTTCAAAGCATATTTAACAGTTGATTATCGAGTTTAATTTCAGCGTATTGGAAAATGAAGGAGTTTTGTGTTAGTGGAGGACTTCAAAATTCAGTTGAAAGGTATATTTAATTTATAATGCTTTATTATCAGAACATGTTCTGATAATAATCTTGTAAATTTGTCTTCCAGTTTTTCCTGCACTGTCTCAAAATAAAAGCAACATACCATTTAGGACTTTTACTGGGTGTTCTTCAATCGTCAGCCTCCTGGGCTTCCTTCACATTTTGAATAATTTTTAAAGAAAAGATTCTTGCATCTAGGAACTAACAATCCAATCAAGTTTTCTTGTGATGCTGTTTTGTGCACAGAAGCAGAACCCATTGAGAAGAACACACACCCAACTGTGATGCTGTTGATGGGGACAGTTAATCTTCTGCAAACATTGTCACTTTCTGCTGGAATTCACTCAGACCTAGTCCAGAATGAAGCTACCAAAACTTTGTGTGGTCTTTTAAGGATGCTCGTGGAGAGTGGGGCATCAGATAAAACTGGTAATTGAACTTTTTTTAGAAAAACCTTAAAACAATATTTATCGAGTGACCATGTTCTGGAGAACAATTACGTTGGTATTTATCATTAGTAGAGGGTGAACACATTAATGTTATGAAGAGCAGAATTGTTTTTTTTTTCTTTTAATGATATGAGAGGTGTAGAACAGCAGGTGTGTTGTTGTATTTTAGTCCCTGACTTCTATTCAGCAGTGCCTACTGCAATGAAATTAAAGCCAGGCAATTTCTCACTGAAGGTATAGTGTGATTATCAAGTAAATACATACTAACTTTTGGGCTTGTGTAGAAATTCTGAATGAAACCTCATTTCCCTGTCAAAAGTATAATCCTCCCAATCATGATCCTTTTTGAAGCAGCTGAGAGAACTCTTATCCCACTATTTACAACTTACACCTGTAATCTGTCCCTTTAGATTGTCATTAAATACAAGTATTTTAGCCCCATATTAAGACCATTCTTCCTTACAATAGGGTGAGAGATTTTATGTCCTGATGCTTCGAGGTTGGTAAAAATTTAATTTTACTGAGCAGCATGAAAGTTTCAGTCATTAAGACATTGACTTTGTTACCACTGAGGCTGAAGGAGTGCACCAGTGCTCTTGTTCCACTGCTTCATGGCTTCAACATGAAATAAAAATAGTTTATCCAGTTATCGAGGTAATAAATTAAGTACTTTATCGACATCAGGTTTTAAATAAGCTCTGGCAACCTGGTTTTTTAGTTAACACAATTATTGGTATATAATTAAAACTCAATTTATTCAATAATGATACAATAATTGGTTAACACAGAAGTATAAAAGCTTACCCTTCTAAATGTTCCCAAAATGCGCACAAACATGCTGTCACTTCAAAAGGGAAAGTAATGCATTTCTCTGCAGAGATGGCCTCTTTTGGCTTTTTCTTAAAGTTATTATGTCAAGGGGTTATTTTTAAAGACAAAAGGATAAAGCTGAAAATGTGCCGGACTCTTACTCTGATGTTCTGGCATGTGGTCAAGTCATGCATGTTTGTCTTTGAAGTCTTGGCTAATTCAAGAACTACAATCTTGATGCTTCTTCAGTCACTCTTTCAAAATAGCAAGTAGTTTCACCCTGAATTCAACAAGAGGGCTTCCTTTTCCAAAATGACAGAGCTTGTTCTTCAAAAACCTTCTTCCAGTTCAGGTTGCTGTTAGCAGGTTTTGCTCCAACTGAAGCAAACTGGAATCTCTTCAAGCCGATCAGTCTTCAAAAACAGCCCTATCAAGAACCTGCAGCAAAGCAAATGGTTATCACAGTCATGTGATTTGCGGGAAACTTTGTCTAAAGTAAAATCTCTAATATCCATAGTGAACTAATTACTTCAATTATTGACTTCAAAGAAACCACTCTAGGTGTTTCTCCATAGCTTGAAATAGTTCGATTTTCCACAATTTTTCAAAACTTAAGCCCTCCAAGTAACATTACATGTAAAGAATCTTGTAACAAGTTATTTGACATGAGAAACTATTGGACACTGACTTCAAACTGAATATGTATTGTTGCTGATAGTAATGAAATGTTGGAATGGCTGGTTTTATTCCTGTGACTGACTTCTGTTCAACTGATTGGAATATTTTACTCTTGTTGCCCTTGCATTTGAGCTACTGTAGAAATAAAAAAAAACTGTTGTTTGGTGAGATGAACATTTGTATGTTGTTTCTAGTTTCTTCAGTAAACAAAGTTGTATCCAGAGAGCAACACAGGAGCTGGTGTACCCTGGGTTTCATTAGAAGTATAGCAATTACTCCTCGAATGTGTAGTACTCTGAGTTCATCTCAGTGGATCAGCTTGCTGACCAAAATTGTCGAAGGACAACAGTCATTCACTGCTGTGTCTCTGCAGCGACAGGTGAGAACTTCTGTTGTACTTTTTTTTGGTTCAAAGAAACCAAGGGCAAGATGTGTTTGAGACACTGTTAAAATAATCTGCCATAGCATTTATCTGAAGTATCCTTTATTTTCCCCCTTCCAAGTCACATGATTACAGTATTTATGCTAATCAAAGGAAAATATTAACATTGACAAAGGGAGCATTTTCGTTTTTCACCTCTGGTGTGATGGGACTAAATTATATCAGAAAATAGCTAAGTGTCAATTTTGGCAAATTTCATGGAGAATTTTTCTCTGCAAGCCCAAGTGTGTGGAAAAAAGACTCACTATTTTCTCAAACTCAACCCATTACCAATGTACTGTGTCCTTATGGCATCCAGCATCTTGTTCTCCCACTTACCACAGGTGGAAGTACCGACCACTGCCGAGACCTCCTGGGATTCCTGGCATTGCACCATCTCTAAAGCTCAGCTGTGCTCTCGTCAAGTGCTGGCAGTCACTCAGAGCTTTGGAAAAGATTAAGGCATATAAGGGAAGGATAGCAAATTGGATTCAAACTAAATGGAAGATAGAAAGCAGTGTGTAATACCTTTCACATGGGAGGTTGATCAGGTTTGGGTTGCTATAATACTTCTGTGAACATGGATGTTTGCTTTTTAATTTGTGTTAGATCTTAGCGCTGCGTTTGCTGCAAGCAGTTCTTCCTTCCTGGGACAGAGATGAGCGGTCAAAAGACATGAAGTTCCTTGTTGAAAAGTTATTTGTTTTTTTGGGTAGCCTTCTGAGCACCTGCTCAAGTGACCTTCCACTCTTAAGAGGTGAGCTTCCTTTATGACTGGTAGATATATTTCTTCCCATATTATTTGACAAGTCCATAATGTTTTAAAAATAAATGTATGATTAAAGCAGCTTCTTCTTGTGTTTACAGATGGAATGTTGAGAAGAAGAAAAGCTAGACCTCCAGCTTCTCTGACTGCCACCCACAGTAGCACACTAGCAGAGGAAATCGTTGCACTGTTGCGAACTCTTCACACTCTGAATCAGTGGAATGGACTTATCAATGACTACATCAATTCTCAGCTGAATTGCATCAGTGAAATCATGAGTGATAAAGTGCCAGAGGCAGTAAGTGTAATGTTGCATTCTTTATTGCCTGTCCCTCATGTTGAGGATGATTTGCTTCCAATGGGGAAGTGGGGAGTTTGGATTCTGCTGTGGTTAAATAGCCCAATTCAGGAGCTGCAGACTCTGCCACAAGTAGGTCTTGTGACGTTTGAGGAGGTGGCTGGATGGAACACTCTGGGTTCTCGGCACACTTCTGGCAGCTTGTGCTTGGCCTCTGCTCACTCTGCTCAGTGACGCTTCAAGTGTTTGGCCTCTTCGCAGATGCTTTTTCTCTGGTTTTCCTGTTCTAGGGAAATAGATCCCCACCTTTGTGGGGATGTTGCATTTGTTCAGGGAGGCTTTCAGAGGGCCCTTGTAGTGTTTCCTCTGCTGTCCTCCTGATCACTTGCCATTGCAGAGTAGACCACTTATTTGGTGAGTCTTGTGCTGGGCATGCAGACAGTGTGGTCTACCCATCGCATGTGGTAGTGCTTTATTTGCTTTTTAAAATGTGCAAGATTATTCTTGTGATCTAATATTTGTTTGGAAATTGCTCAAACTTCATTCTGCAGCTTAAGAATGAGAACTAAATTTGAAGTGGTATAGTTTCTCTTTTCAGAAGATCTATTTTGTCAAAAATAGACTTGTTTCTTTTTTGAAATTTATATTCTCTGAAAAAAAGTAGTTGCCTCCCACAGCTTTTACTTGAGCATTGAGGGACTTTATTGCTCAGTTTCTATTGTCTTGATACTTTGATGTAATTGCTTGTCATATTTGAAGAATGAGATCAAGATTTCCACAGTTCTGACTTCTGTCACCTTATTATAACTCCATAAGTTTCTGTATGGTGCCAGTCTTGTTCTGATTCATTTGTTTCAATCTTATGTTGCTATGATTTCCCCTCAATACTTTCTGAAATTTCTTCAATGTGAAGATCTTTGAAACGTTTTCCTGTAGAAGGCCACATTGATGCCAGTTAGTTGCTGTTTAGTTGGAAGAAGTGTGAAATCTGTGTGCTGTTTTTTTTATTTTGCATGTTTATTTTGAGGACTTTTCAAACCAGGTATTGCTTGCACTGGATTCTGTGGCTGGGACTAACATGGATTGCAAAGGGGTTTACTTGTTGGCTGACTCAATGCCTGGCAATTGTTTATACTTAAGGCCATTGTGATTGAGCTTGAGAATGTTTGGATGAATTTTTATATTAAACAGCAGAATATCTTTGTGTGCCTAAAATCATCATCTCCCTTTTTTTATCCTTGCAGACCGTCTTGGAAGATTGCTTCCCAGATTCAGATAATCCAGAGATTAGTGGATTGATGGCAGTACTGGCTGTGATTGGTGGAGTAGATGGACGCCTGAGGTTGGGTGGTCAGGTGACACATGAAGAGTTCGGAGAGGGGACAGTGGCCCGTATTACCCCCAAGGGAAAAATTACAGTACAGTTCCATGATATGCGAATGTACAGAGTTTGTCCTTTGAGTGAGTTACAACCGGTAGGTGATTATATGATTGCTAAGCTCTTGTCCCTGCCCAAACATATCGGCAGACCAACAGCATTTTGCCTGATTGTTCAATCCATAATCTAAATCCTTATAATGGTTTTATGTTTAATTTCAGCTTCCAATGACTTCCTTCAGTATTAACAACTTGCCATTTGCTGACCTAATGCTGTCAGTCTGGGCTCAGTTGGTGAATCTAGCGGGGAGCAAACTTGAAAAGCACAAAATGAAGAAATCCAGCCAAAGCCTCACAGGTAATTAAAATATGAACTTCAGTTTTTGTTTTGAAATCGAATAGAGACCAAAGAGCACTTTTCAAAAAAGAAAAATTTCTTGATAAGATTTTCAGTGGGGCTACTTTTTGGATTTTAAGGGTTCCATTTATTATCTCACTGACTCATTCATTTTATGATACATTCATGTAGCAACAATACCACCTACATCTTTTATTGACGTAGTTGCACTCAGAAGTAGAATTAGAAGATTTCTTCAATAACTATCAGCCCTCCTTTAAACTTAAAGGCATAATGTTCAAGGAAAACATTCATTTACCAGGCACCATAGTATTTAACTTGGCACAAGACCACAGATATCAATTAACAAGCATTTCTTTCAAAGTCGCTGACACATCTCTAAACATAAGGGGCCATTCCCTGACCCTACCTTGTACAGGCTGGTCTTGTCACAGCTATGCATTTTCGTTGCAAATATACAGTTGAAACCAGCCATTTACTACCTTTATAACTGGATCTCGGATCTCAATTTGACAATTGACACACCGTGTTCATTTCAGTAGTATCCACTACGTTTTTCTCCACATTTTAGCTCTTGAATCTATGCAGCCTAATGTTAGAGATTCCACCCTGATTTACAGGGAATTCTTATTTGAATGCCTTTGTCAAAGGGTGCAAAACAGGACAAAACTTTTAGAAAATCAAATTAAGAACTAACTAATTAAAATAGATGTGCTGGGCCAGGCAATGTGCTGTACCTGAGTGATGTAGGAGCTGGTGGAGCCTGTTGTGGCTCATAGTGACCTATGAGCGTTGATCTAGTGCAAGAACCCCAGCTCCTGTGAAAAGGTTTCTTCCTCCCCGTTGACTCCTTCACCACTGAGTCTATTAGCCTTCTGCTTACAGGGGTGACTTTTCTTTGATTCATCTCCTCTGCGATTAAAGTTTCCTGGGTTAATTTGCCCACCCTCTGAAGTGTTTTGCATCCTGGTAAAGGTTTTTTCTACCACTTCAGATCATTATTACACTCATTCCACCTGGAAGCTACAAGGAGCTTAGTTAGAAAACTATGCACAAGATGTGTGAAAATATACAAGTAGAGTAAATGCTATTAAAGTTGCTCAGTAATTTAGTTTTTGGTTGTTCTTCAGTTGTGATTTCTGAATCAGTAATTAAAGTGTACTGTACATTAAAATGTAAGTTTGCATTAGTTTTCAGTATAATTGCTTCTGAAACTGGACTGAACTAACAAGACAACACCACCTTTGTGCACTTTTGACTTGAATGTTCTCCTCTCATAACGTTGAAGATTGAATCCGCTTAGAATTTCTCCCTGTACTGCACAGGACCTGAGTATGTGATATTTAAAATGCTTGTGCATCATTTAGATATGTTTTTTAACATGAGACGTTTTCATAGCACAACCAGAACATTATAGGTAACTATTTCCCAATCAAATTTGCTTTCTTCCATTTTTCAAAATGTAATTCCAAGGTTGGTGGCTTTTGTAGTGAAACTGTATTCTTACATTAATATAAATGTACGTTTTCCTTCCTTCCCTCCAATCAGATCAAGTGGATTTACACTTGTTAAGATGTCAGCAGCTGAGATTGTACATACTGAAGGCAGCCCGAGCCTTGCTCATGCACCAGGATAAATTGAGACAGATTCTTTCACAACCAGCTGTATTTGAAACAGGACCACTTTCCACAGGTATAAGTCAGTAAAATGCCCTTTATGTCTTGTCTGACTGTTCAAATGAATGTGAAAACTCCAATGAAATCTAATCCTTCACAGTGGAATTGGCTCAGTATAGTACCTCACTCTGATGGTTGTATGCACTGCCATGTAATCTCATGGGAGAAGCATAAAAGAAAGAGGGTGATGAACCGCCATCTTGAACTGCTGCAATCCGTGTCCTGTAGGTAGTTCCACAATACTGTTAAGGAGGGAATTCCAGGATGTTGACAGTGAAGGAGCAGAGCTATATTTCCAAGTCAGGATGGTGAGTGGCTTGGAGGGGAAGTTGCAGGAGATGGTCCATGTATCTGCTGTCCTTGTCTTTCTAAATGGCAGTGGTAGTGAGTTTCTAAGGTGTGGAGGATCTTTGAATTTGTAGTGCATCTTGTACATAGCACACACTGCTGTTACTGAGCATCAGTGCTGGAGTAATGGAATTATATACAAACTTGCAGTAAATTAATTTCAATTGCTTTTGAAATGCACACTCAAGACAAGGAGTACTGTTTGGGTTTTATTATTACAGGAACAATCTTTTAACCTAATTCTTGAAATTTTAGTTCTTAGTGCAGGTAGTCCCTGGGTTACAAATAAGTTTAGTTCCTGAACGTGTTCATAAGTTGATTTGTATGTAAGTCAGAATACAGTATAGTACAACATAAAATATTTGCTTGCAAGTATGAGTGAACGTTTGCATATTGGATCCTTAAAACCAACAGTATGGGGAGATCTCACTCATAAACACGAATGTTTGTAAGTTGGACCTTCGTAAGTCAGGGAGCCCCTACAGCTATAATCAGCATCGTATGAGTGAGCATATGTCTTTGCTCAAAATGGGAGTTCTCAAAACTTGATTGTAAATGCCAAGGCATTCTTGAAATTTGTGACATTTCAGATAGGATCTAGCTGTGTTATCATTTTCAGAGTCAGTTTTTACAGCATGGAAAGACAACCTTTGATCAATTCTGTTCAGGCCAATCATCAAATATCCATTTATTCTAACCCCATTTTCCAGCACTTGATCTGTAGTCTTTATCATATGGTGGTTCCAGTGCTCATTTCAATACTACTTAAAATGTCTTGAGTTCCTAACTTGACCACCCTTCTTCGGCAGTGAATTCCAGATGTCTGATATCTGGAATACCCACAACCCTGTGGGGCAAAAGTTTCTTTAAATCTGTTCTAAACTTCCTGCTCCTTACCTTTGTAGCTGTGTCCCTGGTTATTGACCCCTTGACAAAGGGGAAAGGGTTCTCTCTATCTGTGTTCTCACTATCTCTCTACCGTATCAGTGCTCCTCAGACTTTGTATGCCTCAATCAGATCCTACTTCACTGTCTCCATTGTAAAGGAAACATCCCTCACCAATCTTGTCTCTCTTTATAGCTGAATCGCTTAGGCAACATCCTGGTGAATCTCTTCTGCACTACGGAGTGCAATGATGTCCTTCCTAATTCATGGTGACCAGACAGTACTCAGCTATAGCCTAAATAACGATATACAGAGATTCATCATAACATTGTTGCTATTTTATTTACTGGCTTGACTAATAAAGGCAAGTATCCCATGTGCCTTCTTAACCACATTATGTACCCTTCTTGTTGCCTTCAAAGATCTATGTATATGCTGACCAAAGTACCTTTGATCCTCTCTGCTTCTTAAGGCCCCACCATTCAACTTGTACTCTGTTGCCTTATTGGTCCTCCCAAACTATATCACCTCACACCTTTTCAGGATTAAATTCCATTTACCACTGATCAGCCAGCCTATATCATCCTGTTGCCTGGAGCTTGCCTCCTTGCTATTTACCATGCCATCAGTTTTGTGTCATCTGTGAACTTACTGATCATACCTCCTTGTTTAGATCATTAATATACACTTAAAAGCAGCAAGGAGCCGAGTACCAGACTCTGATATGCCACTGGACACAGGCTTCCTGTCACAAGCACATTACTGTTTGCTTCCTGCCACTAAGGCAATTTTGGATCTAATTTGCCAAATTTTCTGCCATGCAAGGCCTGGACAAAAGCCTTAGAGCTCCATACTACTCTCCTACCAGTGTCATTAGCCCCGTTGTGAACCTCAATCTCTGACTGTTTGTCTTCCCCTTCAGAATGGCATGCGGCTGTTCAGTGACATTCTTGACTTTGGCCTGGGTGAAGTCTACTGCCACAGAAACACCTGTCTGTACTCCTATTGAATCTCCCTCCTGCTATTGTCCTCCTTCCCTCTCTCTGCTCTTCCATTGTGCAGCTGGATTCTGGCTGCACGCCCCAGTGAAACCGTCACTCATCATTTTTCAACGCAACAGATGATGCCAGTGAGATAGTAGGAACTGCCGATGCTGGAATCTGAGATAACAAGGTCTAGAGCTGGATGAACACAGCAGGCCAGGCAGCATCAGAGGAGCAGGAAAGGTGACGCTTCAGGTCTGGACCCTCCTTTAAATGATGCCAGTGCTTTTTTTTAAACCTGATATCAGGGCACTGAAGTCTGTAAACCAGGTCCTGACATTTGCAGTGTTAAATCCTGCTCCGCTGTCTTTGCAGCAGAATCACGTTGCTGAGATCAGAGACTATATATTTGAATGGTTAAGTGACAGAAGCACCATTACTGCTGCTGGCTTCTAAAGAAGCATCAGTGGATTATATGATGCATGTTTTCTGGGACTTGACATTCTTATTAGTAATTATTTGTAATTTACTGTTTTATCTCTTCATTTCAGAGGATGCTGCAGTTTCCTCTCCAGACACTGCTGACTTTTCACCTGAGGGACCACAGCCCCCTTTGATCTTACTCCAGCAACTGCTGAGTGCAGCTACCCAACCATCACCAGTGAAAGCTGTATTTGATAGACAGGAACTTGAGGTTTGACTTCTGAAACTTTTCCAAACAAACAAAAATCTGAATTTGTTTTCACGTATGAGGTTCAGTGAGTTTATTTTAAAATGAAGCCAGTATCATTGTGTAAGTGAGCTGAGGACACTGCTGAACTATTTACTAGATGTGAAGTGATTTTCTCCTGCTTTTGAAGCATGTGAGGCCCACTCAACCTCCTAATCCAGACTTGCACCCGAGATTCCTTGACTGTATTGTTACCTGGGTTCTACACAGCTGCTGTACATTTAGATGCCACCTTAAAAATTCAAGGGCTGAGTGTAGAAAGTTTGAGTCAGCAGAAGGAAAATGTCTTTGCTAAGAGGTGATATTCATTGCATATCAATTGGAAACATGTCATGCTGACTCTCAGTTGAAATGTTATAAGACTCTGCCTGTTTGTTGTTTGCTGCTGCTCATTCAGGTTATTTGTGAGAAATGAGTGTGTTTCGTGAAAGAATCTTGGGAAAAGTACATCAAGACCTCTCTCCAGCTTGATAAACGCTTGTAAATAATTGGTCTGTGTTCCCTATTGTCCCACATTTTGGAACCACTATCAACTCTTTGCTGGCAGAATATTATTATCAAGCCTTCAGTCTTGGAGAAACAAATGTTTCCATTCAATTTGTTTGTACTTTCGGAATAATACCAAAGCAGATAGGTAGCATAAAAGCCAAGATTACAGAGGGTGAAAAGGCTTTACAATGTTCTGGCAAGTCTAGCTTGATCCATGAAAACATTGCCCCATTTGGATCTAGTAGCTTTTCCTGTTCCCAGTGTTTCTAAACATGGAGTTTCCTCAGCTGGGATTAATTGGTTAATGGGTTGCTAAGCTACAGAGAGCCGTTTACACCAAAAACTTTCTGGCATTTACGAAAGAATAAAAGACTGGCATTCATATAACACTTTTTTCATGACCACTGGACATCTCAAAACACTCTCAGCCAGTCACGTGTTTTTTGACTGATAGCCACTATTGTAACTTAGAAATGTGGCGACCAGTCTGCAGACAGCAAACTCCCACTGCAAGGTGATGTAGATCAATTAATTGGATTTTGTGATATTGATTGAGGAATATTGGCTTGGACTTGAGAAAGCTCCTTTAGTTCTTCTTTGAAATAGTACCATGGGATCTTTTATACCTACCGAAGCAGAGGCAGCGGGAATCGTGATTTAATGTCTTTTCTGAAAGATAGTTGTACTGGAGTGTCAGCCTTGATGGTTCCCAGACCTAGAGTGGGACTTGAACCAAGAATCAGAGGGATTGTACTGCCAACTTAGCTCTGAGGAATGTGACTTGCATCGTTATTCGGTGTAAGTAGGCCCAATGAATGCAAACAAAATAGGATGGATGTAGCTGTAACAGATTATTTTGGGGTAAGGATGCAAGCGCCACATTCTCACCACTTTGTCCTTCAGGCCTCCATTAGTCACCAACATCTCTGGGCAGGGACCGTGTACAATCATGTCCAGCAGAGCCTTTGGATTCAGCTAAATTAGGTACTCGTTACCCTCTGTCTGACATACCTGGAGTGAATAAAATTAACTGTACAAGGTAATTTGTGAGCTGCCAGTATGTGACCAGATGCATTGCTTGGCTTTGAAGGTGGTGTCAGTGCCAAGAATCTCAGGAGGTGCCGGCAGTGGCCAGGAGTCCACTTCTGACGAGTGGGAAAATACTGCAAGTGGGGCACCATGGGGGGGGGTGGTACATAGGTTTGGAAAGATAACCTGGGAAAGCTTGCTAAGGCTTGTGGAGAGAAACTCCTCAAATTGACATTGGGCTGAGTCTTATCAGAAATTGACTCAATGTTTCAGAATTGTATCCTTTCGTCAGAACTTGTAAGAGTTAGAAATGTAATAGGTTTTAAACAAGTAAAATTGGCAAGGTGTGGATGCTGGGAAGAAGAGCAAAAGGGATGATGTTTGTTAGAGTAGAAGACAGGAAAGATTAAATGACAAAAGGTTTGACGATTTGCTCAAAAAAGTGATAAATGAGACTAATTTAACAAGGAATTAAAGATGTGTCTAGATGAGATGTGAATAGCAGGATAATGATTGCGCAAATGCAAAGAAAAGGACGTGAGTGGAATGAATGGGTGAAAAAGAACATGACAACAAGCAAACACAAAAAATTAGGCAGAGGTTCTGATTTGAAACAGTTGACCTTGGTGTTGAGTCCAGAAAGCTGTAAAGTTCCATGTCAGTCAGAGCACCTGATGAGCGTGTACTGTTTGACTCCAGTGGAGGCATGAGAGAATCATTTTTTGTTTTGTTTTGAGTATTGAGGAAAAGAAACACTTTTTTTATTAAATGCTTTGTCTTGCTGTCATCAGGGGAGTATTTTAGAATGACCAAGTAAAGGGAACTAAACATTTATACAATATGAGAAGACAATGCTGATTGATTAGCAAGTTGACACTGGTCGGTTTCCCTATTCTGTGTTCTCCTGGGAAATAAACCAGTTACATGATGAATGACAGCTGCCAGATTTTCTTTAAATGGCAACACCAGCTTTTGTTTCCTATCCTGATTCTTCTCCTTTGTAAATGTGATGGTGAGCTGCTTTCTTAAACTGTTAGTCTATCTGGTGGAGGTATACTCAGGATGCTGTCAGGAAGGAAGTTCCAGGATTTTGATCTAGTGACTTTGAAGGAATAAGGATATAGTTTCATGAATCATTTACTTGATGTGCCTTTTGTTAAGCATTTCAGTCTTTTGTTTTTATCTTCTCAGGCAGCAGCCCTTGCTGTTTGCCAGTTCTTGGCAGTGGAGTCTACCCACCCATCTACGCCTGTATTCGATGACAGCAGCTCAAGTGAGGCGACAACACCTGTTACAGTGCAGCCTGTACGTCCACTAAAACACAAGAAGCGCAAGCCTTCTCCCCCTCCACCTTTACCCATTGTAGCTCAACTAATGGAAATGGGCTTTGGACGGAAAAATATTGAATTTGCACTAAAATCGCTTACAGGAGGCTCTGGAAATGCTACAGGATTGCCAGGTAAAATGAAACAATATTAATAAGCCCATTCTGACAAGAGAAAGTACTTGCACATCTTTTTGCATTCTGGTGATTTTTCTTAAATGCAGGAGCTAAGTAAAGAAAGGGCTGTTAATCCAGAGACCCAGATAACATTCTGGGGACCTGAGTTCAAATCCCACCATGGCAGATGGTGGAATTTGAATTCAGTAAACATCTGGAACTTGGAATCTAATGATGACTGTAAATCCATTGTTGATTGTTGGAAAAAACCCAGCTGGTTCACTCACGTCCTTTAGGGAAGGAAACTGCCATCCTCACCTGGCCTGGCCTGGCCTGGCCTGCATGTGACTCCAGACCCACAGCAATGTGATTGACTCTTAACTGCCCTCTAGGCAACTAGGGATGGGCAATAATTGCTGCCTAGCCAGCGACGCCCTCATCCCGTGAATGATTAAAGAGTAAAGTTTCAGGAGAGTAAGTTAAAAGTGCTACGTTGAAGAAGGGTTTGCTGAGGTACATTTGAAAATTGGGGAATTTGTTTCAAATCAATTGTTTATGTCTTACCTGAATCAGGTTTTGCATATTGTACTTTCAAGTAAGAAGTACAAAGCGGGTCTGCATAACACTGACGTCACTTGGGCACTCGTGATCAAATCATCACAATTGTGTTCTGTTTTTAATGTTGTACCCTTTGAATCCTGTGGTGACTCTCTGCCAAACCTGTTTGAAATGTGCAGATTTCCTGATTAACATGCAAACTAATTTTTGTTTAAAGTTGATTTGGCTTGAGTCAAGGAAACAGCAACCTTAGCACGTGGGTAGAATTTGATCAAAGGAGACAAAGCTGAAGGATTGACTCCCAATTCTCAGGTGTTGCAACAAATGCACAATAAAAATCAAATCTGATTGCACTAGTAACAGTTTACTGTCTATTTTTGTCTCAAATTTTATTTCAAAGGTGTGGAAGCATTGGTTGGTTGGCTGCTAGATCACCCTGATGTGCAGATTGCAGAACTTTCTGATGCGGAGAGCACTTTATCGGAGTACTCGGATGAAGAGATTCTGGAAGAAGTTGAAGAGACTGAAGCTGCTTACGCTGTGATTGGCCCTCAAGCAACTCTACCTAATGTACTTTGTGGTTAAAACAGGATGTACTTAGCAGATTTTAATAACATTGTAGTCATTTGAGTTCTGACTCAAATTATAATAACATGCTGTTCTTGATTTTGTAGCCTTGGGCTGCTGTGGTGACTGAAAGCCAAACCTATAAGAAACGTGCAGATTTCCTGAGTAATGATGATTATGCTGTGTATGTAAGGGAGAATATTCAGGTATGGATCATCTGAAGTGATTTATAGCTTTTAACTCTTAATTAGACAAAAGTTAGGTCAGGAATATTTCCATGATAAATTCCTTCCACTGAATTCAAGCCATTCAATGCCATAAGTGCTTAATCTTGGGTCTGTAAGATTGATATAACCATCTCATGGAGAAGAAACTACGTGAGGATTATACCTCCTTCTAAACAGCTTGCTAAATTTTAATAAACTGCAACTATTCAAAAAATGCCCCAGATTTTAAGCATTCAGGATTTCTCTCTCCAGAATATATACTTGCCCCTGCTCGAGTACATTAAAGTATCGGGGTTTATTTCAATTGTAACAACAAAACCTTTTAAATTAGACTATTTATTAATTTTGCAACTTTTTTAGAAATTAAGCAGCACAGTTTTAGTGGATAAGTAAAAAGCTGTGCTAAAAGTCTATCTAAATTTGTAATATCAAAGCTAATAGAATCCAGTTTGATTTTATTTGTAACTGTTGAATAATGCCTAAGAATATATACGAACATCTAAGAATAGAACATCCATCAATATTTAAAATAGTTTTACCGTAAAATCCTCTGTGTGCTTCTCCCAGTGACACACAATATCTTTTGCCGAATATTATCTGACAGTTCCTAATATTTCTCAAAAATTCTGTCAAAGAATCGTATTTTTATTTTGTTCTAATCTCCTTGTTTTGTAAAATTGGGTGCCAGCCCTCTGTATAGGGTCCTGCCACTTTTATGTGATGGTGTATCATTTAACACTTCGTGAACTTTTGTCTAGTCAAATTTTTGTAATGTTATAGCTGTATGAAGGTTTATTTTACCTCATTCTTATTCTTTTTTTAATCTTAAACCTTTAATAATGGATTATTTTATCACTAAAATGTTATGTTGATTTCTTTGTCTTTCGGTTAGCACAAATTTCTTTGTTTTTGACATAACTGTTGTTTGCTGCTGATGTCCAGTGATATTCCTGTGACAAGGATTTTTGCCATATTTTTAGTTGCATGCTTCGGGTCTTATGGGCTCCAGTATCTCTCCTTTGGTTGTCATGTTTTTTTGCCTTGGTGTGATGGTGCCATCTTTGTTTCCAAGTTGCCTTTAATGTGATTAAGTTATTGTTTTTTCCTTTTTGTTTTGTCTGTGCTAAGTGCTGGCCCATTAATTAATAACATGCTTACCTAGTTATTCTTGCTTCTTGGTCAGAATTAGATTTCTAACCAGCTGTTTTACTGCATGTACATCTTTGTGTTTTATGTAATGAACATTTTTGATATTTATTGCACTAAGTATGTCTATACTTATTGAGCTGTATTGTGCCATGCAGGTGGGAATGATGGTCCGATGTTGCAGAACTTATGAAGAGGTTTGTGAGGGAGATATGGGAAAAGTAATCAAACTGGATCGAGATGGATTGCATGATTTAAATGTGCAGTGTGACTGGCAGCAAAAAGGTGGCACTTACTGGGTCCGATACATCCATGTTGAGCTGTTGGGTAGGTGCATGGTTTATTTATCAGAAACATTAATACTAGTTGTAGTTATGGTTGTTGCTACCTTTTGAAGTGCAGCACTGGATCTGTTCAATTTTCATGACTTTTATTTTTGCATCAGGCTTCCCACCACAGAATTCTACTTCCCATATAAAGATTGCTGATAAAGTACGAGTTAAGGCTTCCATTACCACTCCAAAGTACAAGTGGGGCTCAGTTACCCATAGAAGTGTGGGAGTTGTCAAAGGTAAACAAGTCATGCTTGTATTCTCTCCTGCTTCAGTTTTGATTCAAAATATGGAAAGCTACTACCACATAACCTGCAAAAACTAAATGTAGATTTGCAGTGAGTCATGCAAGATGATTAAATGTTGGTGCGTGGCATCATAAAGGGGAATAGGTCCTGCACCCCCACTTTGTAATATATTACTCTTACTTCTGTTTCTAACATAACAGTAGATCAGTAAATCAGTCATTTTACAAATTTCTCAACACTTTTATCCACTTGAACTGTAAACTGCAAATCACACTTTTAAAGCTCATTCCTTATTAGTTTGCTGAGGATTGTGTTCTTTGTACATGTTTTCACACTGTAGGGATTCTATGATTCTGAGTGGTTTACCAAAAAATAATACTGGAAGTCTAAACTGTGTAGATTATCCAATCAAATTGCTTATTTTGGAATTTTTCATTTATTCCACATCTTTTCAGTGATACAATTCACTTGTGATTTGGAAACCAGGAACTCTACCTCCTAATTCTATGTAACAGTTTTATTGTAGAGTGTGCTATTTTAATTACTAACGGAATGCTAAGATTGGACTGGAATAATACATGGGTCTATTGATACTTAGCCGAATGAGTTTCTTGTCCATTATGTTTGTGTCCATCTTATTTAAGATGTAAGCTTGCTGTATATAACATGGGAAAGAGAGGCCTAGTGTGTTTGAATGGCACTTTGCAATTTTAATGGAGCTAATGAGCCAGTTATGGAATATAGTTTGTTGCTGTTGTCGCTTGTGACAAAAAGCAAGAAGAAATGAATATGTGATCTAAGTCTGTTTTGTTGAATGAATGTTACTGTTTGGCAACTCCTCAGGATTTCAATGTGTGATGGCATTTTTATTCTTGCAGCATTCAGTGCCAATGGGAAAGATGTTATTGTTGATTTTCCGCAACAGTCTCACTGGACTGGCTTGTTGTCTGAAATGGAGTTGGTACCCAGTATTCATCCAGGAGTGACGTAAGAACTTCTATGTACTTAACCAAATAGGCATTTTTTTTAATTTAAACTGTGAAATAAAGAAAGTTCTATTTCTTACTCTAAGAAAACTAATGTAGAGTAATTACGCTCCTTTTTATTATGTAGTCTTTTTAAAAGAAGGACGCCTAAAAATTTGGTGCATTGAATTTGGTGAAAATAAGCAGAATATTTTAAATTTATTTTATCTTTAAATAAGGTTTTATTGGCGTTCTCCTGACTTGGGGTGCAGTGTGGTGTTCAGAAGCAGAAGGAGAGAATAGTTTAGAAAAGATTGTTGTGTGAGTGCAAGGTTGGCATTGTGGACTGGAGTTGCTCATAGCTTGTGTTTACTACTGTTATATATTACTAATGCCATATCAGTTCAGACCATCCTGGAGGACAAAGGCGACCTCGAGCTTGATTGTTATAGTTATAGAAAGAAAGTTGGTGTTTGGTACTGAAACCGATCTTTAGTTAGTCGTGCATTTGTTTGCAGAGTGAAACAATTCGAGCTTACACCTATTGATCTAACCACAATACAGTTATATTAAGTGTCACTTGATATATGCTGAAGAGCAACCAGCAATAATATGCTCACTGACAGAGTTTGAGTTCCACCAGAGTGACTCCATTCCTGACCTTATTACAGCCTTGGTTCAAACATGGTCAAAACAGCTGAATTGCAATGGGGAGGTGAGAGTGACAGCCCTTGACATCAAGGCAGCATTTGACTGAGTGTGGCATCAAGGAACCCTAGCTAAACTGGAATCGGGGAAAACTTATTGGAATTTTACCTGGTACAAAGGAAGACGATTGTGATTGTTGGATGTCAGTCATCTCAGCTTCAGGGCATCTCTGCAGGAGTTTGTCAGGGTAATGTCAGAGTCCCAATCGTCGTCATAAGATCAGATGTCAGATGTAGGGAGCTTTGCTGATTGCAAATTGTTCAGCAGCATTTGCATCTCCTCCGATACTGAAGCAATCTGTGTTGGAATGCAGCAATACAGAGGTTTGCGCTGACAAGTGGCAAGTAACGTTCACACCACACAAATCCCAGGCAATGACTATCTCTAATAAGAGACAGTCTAACCACTAGTTCTTGACGTTCAATGGCATTAGCATCACTGTGCCTTCACTATGAACATCTTGGGGGTTAGCATTGATCAGAAACTTTCCTGGATTCACCATATGAGTACAGTGGCTACAAGGGTCAGAGGCTGGGAATCCTGTAACAAGTAACACACCACCTGACTCCCCAAAATCTGAACACCAGCCACCTGGCACAAGTCAGGAGTGTGGTGGTATACTCCCCACTTGCCTGTATGGGGTGCAGCTGCAACAACATTTGAAGCTTGACACCAATCAGGACAAAGTAACCATCATGATTGGCACCACATCCACTTCCTCCACCATCGATGGTGAATAGCAGCACTGTGTACTATCTGCAGTGTGCTGCAGAAATTCACCAAAGATCCTTAGTCAGCACCTTCTAAAACCACAGCCCCTTTGATCTTGAAGAACAAGGGCTGCAGATAAGTGGGAACAGCACCATGTGCAAGTTCCCCTCCAAAACATTCATCCTCCTGACTGCGAAGTATATTGCTGTTTCTTCAGTGGAGTTGGGTCAGCATCTTGGAATTCACTCCCTAATAGCGTGGAGGGTGCATCAAAGCACATGGATAGTAGCACTCAAGAAAGCAGCTCTCAAGGGCATCTAGGAGTAGGCAATAAATTATGGCCCAGCCAGCGACACCCATATCCCGTGCGTGAATAAGATTAAATAGCCCAAACCTGGTTATTGTCCAGGTCTTGCTTCAAAGGACATGGACTCCTTGTGATATCTACCCACCTCCAAACTAAGTCTCATTTAATAACAGAGATAACAAGATGTAGAGCTGGATGAACACAGCAGGCCAAGCAGCATCAGAGGAGCAGGAAGGCTGACGTTTCGGGCCTAGACCGTTCTTCAGAAATGGGGGAGGGGAAGGGGGTTCTGAAATAAAT